TCCTGAGCAGTCTGAAGCTCGTTGAACGAGTGGTTTTGACTGAGGTCCTGGGTAACGTCAAGCGCTTTGAATGAATGGTTTGGACTGATGTCCTCAGTAGTCTGAAGCTCGTTGAGCGAGTGGTTTTGACTGAGGTCCTGGGTAACGTCAACCGCTTTTAATGTATGGTTTGAACTGATGTCTTGAGTAGTCTGAAGCTCGTTGAACGATTGGTTTTGACTGAGGTCCTGGGTAACCTCAAGCGCTTTGAATGAGGACTCCTCCTCACTGCTGAGGCGTATGGTTGCGCAACCGAGGATCAAGTCTTCGACGCCATGTATACTGTTGTTTAAATAGGAAGTATCTGTGACCTGATTGGGACTCTGGGGCACGGAGTCTGGGCATATGCCGCTGCTGCTCTTGGTGCTGAGGCTGCTGGTGAGACTTTGGAAACTGCTGGCCGAGGACAGAGACTCTGGGGCCGAGTAGGTGACCGATCCAACGTCGGCGAACTCTCGGGCGAACCGAACCTTCACCTCATGCTCTGCTGTTTTTTGTAGTGAATTGTCGCTGACGCTCTGCTGGGCAGAAGAGAATGTAATTAATTAAAGTTGAAGTTGGTTCCGTTTACATGATTTAAAAATATTAATGGTTAAGGTTTCAGGAGTAGGTGATGAACGTGGAATAAATCTCCAAGATTGAACTATTAACCCACATTGGTTAACAAGAATCTACACTAACCTTTACGCTACTACAAGTGTACAGAAATTGCAAGTATTCTTTCCAACCGACCGTCACAGAAATTAACAAAAGAATCCACAAATGGCACTTATCCTGATCAACATACTATCCTACTTAACAGGAAATAGACACAAATCTCAATCATGGTGTATCGGTACCACTGGAAATCAGTTTGCAATCATTCAGCACCATACCTCACGTCGATAAACACAACTCTATGCTGAGGTCTACGCTATTCCAATCCTACACCAGTCACAACTGTTGCTCCGAACTCATGAACATAGAAATAAACATAGTATACTCTACAAATTTCTACAAACTCTCTTCAATCCTCAAACGTCGAGAACTACGCAGAAATGGGCAAGTCGCAGGCAATAACGCATAGAGTCTGACGCAAAATACCGGTGGCGTAGGCGACAACGTCCTTGTTGGTATCGCGGCAGCGCGATGCAGCAGCTTATTGATATATTCCATTTCCCGTGGACACGTAGAGTTCACTGTGCGTGTCTAGCGACCAGTTCGTCGTCCACTGAAGCGAATCAGCTGACGCCTAAGCGAACCTCGCGGATTTCTTTCAGAAATTGCGCAACTGTTGCTGTTCGCTGCGACTAATAATAAAATATAGGGGCAGGGAGCGCGAAGGATTTTGTTTTGCTGGATCTTGCGCCAGTCTCGAGCGAGTATCCATGCCAAGAACAGTTATGAGCGAACCGGTGCTCGTCTAGTCGAGGCAAAAACTTGCACGAAGAATCATCGACACTGTTACGTGGTCTCAGCGCGCCGCAACAAGTCACCGTGGTAATTTGCAGGAGACACCTTGGATATCGACAGTTTGTACAGATTTTCTAATTCTATTCCCGTTTTTAGATCTATTTTAATCCCAATCTGGTTAATTATAATTATAATCTGTTAATCTTACTGTGTTTGTTTTTACTTCGCGTATGTTTGATAAAGACCATCTCAAGGCAAATTTCTAAATTGGGCATCCCTATCTTACCAAATTGAGTTTCGAAATGGTGACCTTTAATCTCGTGCATCGTGTCTCGGGGGGGAGATTCGCGCCTCACCTTACGTAAACCACTGATTTCAAGAGAATCTTTAGTCTATCGATCGTTGAGCACTTGGTGCTCAGTGTGAATGTAAAACGAAGCGTTTCGGAGCGATTCAAAGTAGAGTTTGGACTACTTGTCGACTCTTTTTATATTCGAACACTTCAGTGATTCAAATATTCCACAAATATGATTGGAGTGTTTTACACGTATGATGAACATTTAAATCGTATGATGTGGACTATATAAATCAAGTTCTTCAAATTCATTATTCTTATTTGAGCTACCATATTCGACTACACTGTTTGAATAGCGGCACTTGAATACTGAAACATTGCTTTGTTCGTAACACTTGCACGCCTATAAAATATACTAAGCTTAATTTTATTCGGATAGTCCCAGCCCTAATTCAAAGCGATTTATTACGAGATTACCTTGCGGACAAAGTTCCCCATGACTTCCCAAAGGACCTCCACTTTCGGCTGTCACTGGCGGGCCGATACGAACCCATATTTACACGCGGGTTCATGGAACCCCACGTCGTGAACTTTCTCACTTCCCCACCTATGCATCCTCGCCCCTGACACGCTTATTTTCGACCATACCGAAACATCTTTCGTTTGCCATTCACCCCTTTCCGCTTTTGTGTATTTTTTTCCCGCCCGTTTCTTCTCATTTCTACAGCCGTAGGTTTGCTCCAGTTTCCCCGTTGAACAAGCTCCTCGGACGGAACCGATTGTTTTTAAAAAGGGGGCCATTGTTCACTTTATCGCAATCAATGCGGAGTGTTTCCTCGGAATAATTGTGAAGTTTTGTTAACCTTGGAGTTAAAATGGAACTCCGCTTTATTAGAAAATAAAGTGGATTAATTTCCTAATAACGTACAATTTTAATAGACCTCCAAAAGGCATAGCCTTGATTCGAGGCGGCGCCTCTTAGACAGAATTCACCGTATACTGGCCTACTTTGCCTGATCAAATTTGGTATGGTGACTTTTTTCAAGTGGGGACACATCGATGCCAAATTTGTCAAGAAACCTCAAGAAGAACACTTTTACACAGGGTATGCCGTGCAATATTGACAACTATTTTTTAAACCGAAATCGAAAACTTCATGTGTTCTAAACCAACACTAGGAAAGTTCTACGCCAACGTTGTTTTTCTCTGTAGGAAACAAACGCATTTAGAAAGTAGAACATGTAAACCACACAGTAATTCCGTACGCTAACCGCCGCATGCGTGCAAGCTTCTATGTACTTACGCTGGTCTCCTCGTTTCGCGAAATGCAATATTGAATTCTATGAATGTTAATTAAATTTTGTACGCAGAATTCTCCTTATAACACAATAGAATTATATAACACAATAGAATTATTTTACCATTTTTCGGAAAGCAAGAATCAAACATGACACTCATCAAATTTATCTAAATTGTGAGATCCACGCGATTACTGAATATATTCAGTTGATGTGCTCGTAGTGCATAACGTCGTACATATGCTAGCGTTTCGGTGTGGCAATTAACGCGCTAATGGCTGTTTTATCCCTGCATAGCAATTAAGGCGCCTTTCAAAAGCACGAAACTGATTGACATCATACTGTAAACAGACGAACGCGAATACCGTATGTAAGTGAACAAGTGCAACGAAACCAGGGATGGATCTACCATAAAACTATAAAATACTATTCGAACGACGATTCGACACCTTTGGTAGGGTCGAACAATTTCATAATAATAATTTTCTATTCGTAATTCTCATTTCAGAAAAGGAAAGAGCTCGATATAATTAGCTCCCATGCCTTGATTAGTCTAGATCCGTCACTGAGCGAAACAAAGGAGCAGGCGTGCATTGTTTACCTACGACATTTTTCAAACGCGAAAAGCAGCTGGTAACAAAAGAAGCTCATCCCACACTCTCGTAAGCGTACAATGAGTAACTTCGATTATGGACTCGCGGGAAATCGATCGAAGTAGGTACAGAAACATCCGTAGACATTTAAAGAGAAACATTTTCGAGCGCGTTATGTGATAAATAAAACCGTCATTTAAATTTAATGAGTTGATCTCTATACAGAGATTTATTCGTCACCTCTTATTCGAATCGAAATCTGTTCATATCTTGGTAAAAACACAGTGTCGATGCTTCACTCCTGGAGCACCACGAATTATAAGGACATTTCCGCGAACCGTGACGACTATACCGTGCGCTTTTACTTGTTAATGTACGGTATAAACTGAACGCGTTCACTCGAGCAAACCGTATCCGAGGCATTCAAGCGAACGAAGCGATGCGATCAGAAACGATTCACTTCGAAACTCGAGAAGCTCGCGCTCTCCTTATTCGGAGCGTTCTTGACATCATCGAGACCACAACACTCGCATTCGCATGAGTCATTCCCATCTGGCCGCGATGACAGGGAAAAAGAGTAAGTGGGCGAAGTGATACCTCTCACAGGGGTGTGTCTCTCTCATCCCCTGTGCTCTCTTAACCTGTCTTAAGCATCGCGAACACGATTGGTATAGACAGTGGCGGATCAAGACTTATTGGAGTTATTTTCTTTTACTTCTCTGACATACTTAACAAAAGGCAAATGATGTTAAAAAATGTCGACAATCTTCAAGACCAAGAAAGGTTGTCCTATAATTCTGAATAGTGATTCGATTATAAACTGAAGAAATAAAGGAGACCCTTGGGGCAGAGATGGGCAAAATTTTTTCTTTGGAAAATGTTCTAAAGACGAAACGAGACAAACATATCGGCAAACTTCAGATTTATTCGAAGCCTAGGGTTTTGCCCATCAGTGCCTTGGGGGGCCTCCAACGTAGATGCTTCCTTAGATCCGCCCCTGCGTACAGATATCATCCTGACTCTGCTCAGTTCCATTCGATCCGACATAAGAACGAAAAAACCTTATGTCTGGGTCGACAGGTACCAACACCCACGCAGTCTGTTCGTCTCCACGATAGATTCCCCGGAAAGACCACGGCACTCACCGAAGGTGACGATCAACGGAAGATATCTCTGGCAGAAATTCTAATATTAGCGCAGCGCATTCTCCAGTCGATACTCTAGACATCCACCACTACCACTGGCTGGCACGCGCGACAGAGATGGAATATAAGTGTGAGTATGCGTGTGTGCACGCGACGAAGCTTGCGCTACTGGGAAAACGCTGCACAGCGTCTCACCTCACCTTTGGAAAGAACGATTTCGCAATCCCGTGACCAGGCGTCGCGGTTAGACGGCGTCGAACGTGAACCGTAAATCTATGCCGCAAAATAAGACAACCGGCAACGTGAGAGTCATCGCCACCGTTCTGCTACGATAATACGCGTACTAACACTTGCTATGCCCTACTGTCCTAACGCCGAACCGCGCACACGCCGCACAGGGCATTATGCTACGGAGATCACCAACTATGGAAGTGGTGGGATACGACGATTCGAGGCACGTCAGAGGTGCGACCGGCGTGGCGCTATCTGGAGTGACACGTGGATACTCGTTAATCTCAGGCTCGAATACTCTGCTGGTAAATTGAGCTTCGATCGAGAAAAATTGAATTTTAATCCGTTCGTATCCGAGAGCATTTGGTATGAAGTAATGGTGTACAAGGCTTGAGCCTTAGGGATCTTTAGCTCATACCTCAAACTATATTTGGCTTCTGAAATTAATTCTATCATTAGTGAACGCTACTAGAGTTCCAACTGTATCTACTTTGATGTGAGAAATCGTAAAATTGTCATAAACAGATTGCACATAGGCTATATTACTGCTTTAAAACCGTAATTGGATTAAATCACGCGGTAGGAGGTCGAGGCTCAACCTTCAAAGCTGAGTCCTCAAAGCTTGCGTATAATGCTAGTCTTCAAGGCTAGTGGGTTATAGTATTTGTGGCTTGAAACTTGGCTCGAGCTTCCCAGTCCATCTCAACACATTGTCAACAGGGGTCATTGACAATAGAGGTATTTAAAACACCTGAAAACTGTATGTATAAAATTAATATAAATTTCTACTTTTCAGATTAAAAGCAACTATTCTTTATGCGTGAAAGTTGTGTAGAACATATCTGTACAATATCTGAATTAAAGATGTAAAACTACTACACAGTTTTAGACGAGTATCTTTAATGAAAACTTTTAGTTACGTTAATTTCGATTTTATGTAGATGTAATGCCATTACTTCTAACGATATGTATCCTCTAAATAGTGGATAATGAATATATTTTTCAAGTTATCCTTATTAAATCGACACTTTCTCTCGAGTGGAGATAGTGACGCGGTTAGAAGTAGTTAGAGCGCGATCGAGCTCCATGTATGGTAGATAAGATTAACTCGATAGAGGAGATTGCCAAACACTTGCAATCTAATGTGTATTAAGTAGCTGTTTGTAAGAGATCATTAGAAATGATTTTTAATATACTTTCTCCGAACTTCGTTGCACAATAATTCGTTATAACGCGATTAAAGTATAAATTTACGAAACAGATACGTAAATAAAATTCATAGACGCGTATGTCTATAAAGAATAAAAAATGATATACTTACAAAAAGATCGCGTCTTTCATCGATATATATTACGCAATTTCTGTAAACAGAAACGGGAATGCGTTTTTTCTCTAGTATTGCATAGAACCGGTTCAACGGATAAACCAGGTTTTCTTTCGTGGGCGCGAAAAATGGAAAATCTTTTTACGAACGGGTTCCTCGTCCTGTAGATCGAATGGTAAATAACTGTACTCTCCTTAATTTATTATTCCGCCTGCGCGACGGATATTAGGATATCTACGAATATGTAAGGGTCTACAGTTATGCAGTGTCTCATCTAAGGTATTACAATTCGTTTCCTCAGCGATTGTTACGTGTAGCTCCGAGTTTTAAAAGAACGATAAATAATTTTGTTACCATTTGCGATGTCTCTCTCTTCGAGGAGACATCTAATTTTCTTCGTGACAAAATATGTAATTTCGTGAAATTTACGCGAGTGTGCATATCCTTTTCGTACGTCAAAGAAATGCTCCCGCACGAGAAGCGAAACTTATTTTGGTTTCAAGGTGCTTCTGGAGATTCAGGGTTTATTTATAGGGATCCTCCGGCTGTTAGCGACTGTTAGCAATAAAAACGAGAGAAAAGACCCAACAGGGAGGGGGAAGGGCATTGGTAGAAGATAAAAACGACGAATATGCGAATAACATTAAGGTGTCTTGTAAACAGTATTTATACAAAATTTTGTTCCTCGTCGAGGAATACTGCCTGCAGCTTCGATACTCCTGGCGTTCAAGTAAGTTAAGGATAGATAATATCTTGAATGTATAGATACCTTGCAACGAGGAGGTTGCAGAGGAGGTGAATTATGAAGGGATGCCGTGATTTCTCGAAGCACAACCCTGGTGCCTTCTCGAACTGAACCACTGATACTCCTTGGGTTCGACATCCCGGCGATACGAATCAAACTTTTCCCAGATGCGTTGTTTGGTTCATCAAACGTGCTCGTTGCTGCACTATCGTCGAATACAAATCCAGAATTCACGTTGATCGGTGAAACGTTTCGCACACAGAGACCACTTAAAATTTATCGGTGTAAGCATTCACACTCTCTTCTACGACGCTGGGAACAAAGAGACGATTTGCTTCGAGCATGCATTCATGGCAAGTTTCACAATCACTTCGGGTCACGTTTAATCGTGTGGGTTTGGAGTAATATCAGGACGCGTGTATAACTGAAACCTCGTCGAAATAACGCGAATAGGTTCCACGATACCGCCAACGTTACGATGTTTAGCATGCAACCGCTTTCTTAACGGCCGTATCTGGCGTTTGACAACTTGAATGCGAAGAAACCAGCCAATCGCAGCGTTTCTCGACGAAACGTTGTGGCGCTAGTGTGCTGTTTTCGCGGTTGGTAATATCGATTCCCACGTTCGATCGGTCATCGACCATAGCACACTGGCGCCGTGATGGACACTCGTAGGATTTTTCCTTCGAGGAATTCCTTTCTGCGCATGCGTACGCTGACGTCACAGCTACATGTCGTCTGCTACCATACATGTATCCGAACCGCCAGAGGAGGTGCATTTAAGGGGCCTGTGCAATTTTCCCGCGTTTTTAACGGACAAATTAAGTACAAGAGTGTTAGTGTTCCTGAGTGTAATATTAGGGAAAATTTAAAAAAAATGGATAATGAACCGTAGCCGTCCACGTCAGGAATCATCGAGGAAAAGAAGAGGACATTATATTTTGTTCCTTACTGGGATCCAATGGTACCCTAAATTTTAAGTAAGTGTATACAGCAGTGAGGACTGCAACGCTCACTCCAATGCGCATGATCAGGAAAAATCCCACGAATGTCCATCACTGCTGGCGCCTCGTAGGCAGAGTTGCCAGAATTGCCGCAATTTTCGCACATACGTGTTTTCATTTATTTAATATTTGTTGTACATATACAACGAGAAACAAAAGTTTCAATAGAAATTCAAAATCACCTGGCGGGCCGCGTGTTGGCCAGGACTGATTTGGACGCCAGTTTACGTTACATAAAGTAGTAATAAAATATTATAAAAATGAATTGAATGTACACTTCGCGGCCACAACGTTTCAGGCCGCGCATGCGCAAATATGGCGGTAAATCTGGCACTTGGATCATTCGTCGAACGAACGCGCCTAGACTCGAATGTGATCGATATTTTGTGAACCTCGTCACTGTATTATTTAAACATGACAGTACGTGTAATGACAGAACTCTTCAATTCAATTTTAAGATTTACAAATGTTTATTGTCAAATTTTTCATACAAATGTGTATAAATCACCGCGTCACTACGTGCATGGCAGTGTACATGGATCACGAAGATTCAATCCTATTCAATAATTAGTAGTCTTATACTTCGCATTCACATTCATCCCCTCGCACCCTCTCAGCTATTTTTTTTCATGTTTTTTCTATGCTTATTATTAGTACCTCACAATGTACATATACATAAAAATACATTCACCCAGCTCAATAACGCATTGTTATAATACGTTGCGTTAAGATAAAGCGAGTTATATAAAAGAATACTATTCACAATGTTCTCCTTGTAACTAATAAAAACAGTTTGTTTTAAGGACACTTTTCGCAGGCACTAATGTTATCTGGATTTGTGATAATAGTAAAGATTATTCATTATTAATTCATCCTAACATATTAATATAATTCAACAAGTTTCACTGCAGGGGTATAATCACAGAACTTAGCCATAGGCTTCTATGTAAGTTTACGTTTCTTCACACAAGGCACTTGTTCTTTAAACGTCTACGATAAAACAAGTAATATTAAATAGATTCGGTGCCACTTTGGGCACTATAGAAAATGGTTAACACCTTGTACTGTAAGTCTTATTATTACAAATAGAAGTACCATTGCGCGAAACAATGGATTTAAATGGGAAGCACCGTATTATTTACGAAATATACAGTATATACTGTCGTTATCGTGCACTAATGCAATCCCTTACTTACTACCGCATGTGCGATTTTACACAAGGCAGGACAGTTTGAAGCATTTACATGATATTTCCTAGTAGACATATACACTACCGTGTCTAGTTAAAATCATTCACCAGCAGTTAATAAACAAAACACTCCACGTTAAAGGATGAAGTGTTTGTCATTATTTAATTATGTATACGGATGTAACTGTGGTGGAGGATGCGATGGTGAGGTTGAATTCTTTTGACTACTAGATGGTGGAGTTAAGAGACCACTTTCATTTGGGCTCTGTCTACCAGATTCGGTGTTCGAATCGGATTCGTTTACATCACCAGAAGGGACTTCATCCCCCAATCGTTGCTGTGCCCTTTCTAACATATTCAAATCGACTACATGAGTTTGTATACGATGCGATTCGTCCATTACTATATTAGGGACTGTTGCCCTGAGTCCAGATCCAGAATGAGACTCTACAGGTGGTATTGCGGATCTTAAAAGGAACTGAGAACCTTCTTCTGCTGCTGTTATTGCAAATGGTGTAATCCATTTGACACATGCTGCAAGTTGATCCCATGGAATGCGTGATACTCTCAAAGCACATTCCCTTCCTTGTGTATGATAGATGGCTGCTGCTGCAATGTGACTATAGGAGAACTTCAAACTTCCTTCATCTAAAGTAGCCAGATCTATCAATTGAGCTGCTTGGGAATATTGTAAACCCCCATATTGAGGATAAATAAAAGCATTTGGCCTTGACCAATCACCCGATTCAATTTGCATATAAATATTAAGCCAACCAGGAGCAGTGATGGGAGATAAACTCCATCCAAGGCCTTTTAAAATTACTAATTCCTTCCCTAAAATTTCTTCCTCTGTGCATGCGCCATCAGTTACATATGCAAACTCAGCTATTTTAGGTGGATATATTTCTTCAACCTATAAACAAAAATCAGTTTCATTAAATTAATTGATTAATTTAAATATAATATAAAAGAAACTGAAACAAAGTACAAACCTTGGCAGCTATAAAAAGACAGGTGATGCCTATTAATTGCAACTGATTTTTGGGTACATTTTGATGTATGGACAAATATCTGTCTATGTAATCCATTGCAAGATAATAAGTTTCTCTATGTAGCTTGTATACTTCGCAAACTTCAATTAACCAATCCAACAAAATTGCCCGCATTCGTGGTTGTAATGTTGGATGCCTTTGAAACAATTGTGGATTCCTCTGGGTAATGGTCTTTTGATCTCCCAAGCACATGAGAGACCAGACCTGAGAACCATCAGCCCAAGAAAATGAAGGCAATGGACTTGGCCTGTTTGTTACATTTGTAGAAGATGAAGGAGTTAAAAAACAGGTAGCACTTCGTAGTTCAGACCATGTGGCTGGCTCTTGTTGCTCCTTCAATGGAGACACTTGATGTGGTGTACATGAATTTTCTAATGAATGTACTGTATGACATGATTCTGTGTATGATGCATTTGACAATGCCGGTACTTTACTAGGCGGATACACATTTTCAGAATCCTCAGAGATTTCTGTTGTACGCCTTTTGCGTTTTAAAGATTGTGTTACCACTTTGCCCCCTTGCAAGTAAGTCTGTGACTTCTTTCCCTGTAAACTGTATAGACAAAAAAGAAGGAACTTTTTATTTTTGTCATCCCAGTACTTCTAAATATTCATTTAAATTGAATAAACCGAATGTAATGTTATTACATAGTAGATGAAAGGCACTTTTGGAGTATAATAGAGAAGTACGTCATAGAACGTATAATATTTTTTTTAGAACCATACACGTCATACAGATACTTTACAAAGTAACACAGCTACTCATAAATATCTCACAAAACAATAAATTAAAAATTTCTACGCATATTATTGGTATAATATTCGTAGAACTCTTGAGAAGTGAGTACAAATTAAAAAAGGTTATACACGCATATTTCAGCATTTTTTTCAGAATCAAGAATTGCAAAAACTCGCTCAGATCAATGAAATCTATTCTAAATAACTTGAAAATACTCGTACTAAAATAACAAGGAAAACTAACGGAATTTCACGGCCAAATGAAAAGTCGTTCACTCACCTCGTCTGTGGCATCTTGCTGCAAAATTGTCGACGTGTTCAGAAAATATTTCGAACGGTAACGGGCGTTTTTAATTTGAACACAAATTGACTGATGGTTCGATTGAACGTCCCACGAATTTTTACAAAATACGCACGAGAATTTTCCCAGGAAAACGCCGAAAAGTAAAAGAGCGCGCGAAACTTACACGCACCCGATCGCCATCATGCACGTATACTTGGCTGCCTTTGATTCGATATTTTATATAATAACTTTTCACCCGCGACGAGTTCCGTTGCACAAATATTCCTTCGAGTCCTTTCTAAAATTATTTCAAGCCTCGTGGTATCACAGAATGGTAAATCTTCGGAAAAATAAGGGACGTGGAAGTCGAAGCGCGGGAGACCAGCGCGCGAAACGATGACCAACCCCTGCTTGCAATCTGGCACTGTCACGCCCTCTATATGTATACCATAACCTCAAAGGGGGAAAAAAATTCCAAATTTCCGCTCAACACCTTCTTCGAAGTCCAATTATTTAATTCCCGTGGGTAAACACCATTACTTTCACGGACACGAGTCGAAATTAAGGACTATGCAAACATGGTGCTGCATTGGCGTCCTATGACAGACGCTTGGTTGTCCAGACACTTTTCCGTAGTAAAATCTCGTGGAAATCCGTATAAATCACAGTCCTTTAACCAGGGGAGTCGTGTTTTACCCTGGCGATGCGATACATTCGTTTCAAAACCCAAAATACATCATTTAGACGATGCATAAATCCGAGGAGTTGCGGCACCCACGCGTACTGCGCATCTGTGTTTCCCGCTCGATTATACCGCGAATTTTTCAGGGAAACACACGAAAATATGGTCACACTTTAACACACGGTGCACAGGTCGAGTAGAACAGGCTTACAAACGCGTGAAAACATGCACGTGCACACAGAATAATGCTTTTAAAACGAGAACTGTCGTTTATGAATTACTTTCGCGGGAACGCCAAACCTGTGGTCACCGGCCGTGTATACGCGGCGCTGCTGTGCTATCCACGCGCGTTTCCTATTGGCCGTTACGAGAAACACAGCTGGCGCTCAGCTGATCTGTCGTAACGCACACCAATGCGGTACTATGCACGCATGCACTTACGCCCGTGACCACGCGGGAAATGTGCGCGCGTAAATTGTTAACCGCGATCGGGAACCATGGAAATAAAAACAAGACCGCCCTGCCACGTATCTTGCCTACCTGGTGTCTTGCAAGTTAGAAGTTAGGCTACTTCGCAGCGTTTGCTTATTTATTAGGGGACAACGAAAGTAACTGTACTTCAGTGGTGCATTACATCTTCGTAGGACCCAAGACACAATGGAATTTAGGGGGGCCTCTTTAGGAGGCAATAAAATTTTACCTGTTCGGACTTTGTGTAGTCTTTGCGTTGAGAATTGTATATCTAGTGTAACTTTTTAGTAGGAATTATTGACAGATTGTTCGACAGAATGTTTAATATAATAGGTAGTTAATTTTCTCTTTTAGTTAGTCGATTAAATCTAATTTTTTGGGATGTTAGAAATGAATTCATGGTATCAGTGTGTATGCATCAACATAAATGTATTGCGTAGATGTACTTCTAGTTTCTTTCGTATACTACATCGGAAAACAGCAATGATTTTCCTAAATATTACAATTATTGTTAACGAATATTACCATCAAACACAAGAATGATAAGTGCGGTTACTACTTTTCATCCAGCCCTCTTTTATCAACAGATCATTGCGGTTTCAGAAGTAATTCACGCATGGCGCTAGATTCGCAATTGCAGTTTCGAAGAAGCTTCAACTGTCGAGTGTAAACGTCTCTGTGCCATTTCTATTAGTTCATGTATTTCACTAAGAACACATGTAACATTGTCAGATGTAATAATCTCTTAGATTGAATTAAAATTTGCTGTTCTCAACAGAAACAGAATGAAAAATAACAAATAAGAAATTTCAGTTGTTACAAAGCTTTCAAGCTTTTTCTTTCTTCTTCTGACTGCTTAAGCTCTCTGTTAATAGATTAATAGAGTCTTTCTTCTCCCGAGTGCTTATGACGCCACAGTTTGAGAAACACTAGTATTAATTGCTATAACCTATAACTGTTCATTTTAAATCCTCTTCGAATAGAGGAGAATCAAGACACCCCGTATAATTAGAATAGGGGTTCCACGTGAAACGAATCCGATACTGTTCCTGGTAGAAAGCGTGACGTTCAGTTGGCAAGCCTCGGTGACAATTAGGTAACACGGGGTGCCTGAGTGACACACACAGCCCTGGTTTTCTGGAAATCGTCAGCGGTCCGGGGCCATTAAACGCTTTATATGTATCTTGCAATTTGATCCCGTAGCGCTCGGTGCGCTGATCGGAGAGTAATTTACGCGAATTCCTCGGCATCCTAGTCTCTGAAGGTGGGCCTCCTGGGTTTCGTCTTACGACTGATGCCTTCTGTGTCGCAGCAATTGCTGCACCATCTCGTCACACGCACGACAATCGGGAGCCGTCAGATCCAACATCTCAGAAACACGGTCCTCGCTAACATTGTTCCGCTGACTTTAACTACGTACGTAGACACCTCGTACCTTGTTCATTCACTGTTATCGTATCGTTGATCCATTCTCAATTGGAGCATCGAACGAACAACTGTATTTACGCGCTGTCAATTACTTGCTCTTTTTTATTTCGAGTCACTACTCCTTTTATTTCTGCAGTTTACAGTAATATTATCAAAGAATGTACTTTGTCAATTGTTTTTATGAAATGATCATGCTTTCAGAACGTAAATGTACATGAGCTTGTGAAAGGTGATGCAGGGCATTATGCCGGTTAAAACAAAATCCCGTGTTCCTGAAAATATGGGGATCACTGGTGGACTGGTAGATGCCAGGGATAAACAAGTGTTGAAGGAAGCTGTGGAGGCTGTTGTTAATAGCTTTGCAAAGCATACTCAAGGCTATGGAAGAGGTAATCAAATAATAATCAAATTTTCTTAATATAAAATTAACTATACTGATTACTTATTATTTACTATTTTTATTATAGTAAATGTAGTAGAAGCACTACAAGAATTTTGGCAAATGAAACAGAGCAGAGGAACTGAGCTAAGGAATGGAGCTTTAGTTATTTATGAATCTGTTCCTGGTACCAGTCCGCCTTACGTTTGTTATGTGACTCTTCCTGGAGGATCATGTTTTGGTAGCTTCCAAAACTGTCCCACTAAAGCGGAAGCCCGTAGATCGGCAGCAAAAATTGCGTTAATGAATTCTGTTTTTAATGAGCATCCTGCAAGAAAAATAACAGATGATTTCATAGAGAAAGCTGTTGCAGAAGCAAGAGCTAGCTTTGCCAAGCCTTCTGCACCATCTAACAATGTTGGTAACCAAGCGCAAGTACGTTGTTTGCTTATATATTTGAGTATATTTAAGCATCTTAGATTGCTATTTAAGTTGCTCTCTATTTGTAGGGAAATGGAGACGAGAAAGAGGATCCGAACATAGGTATAGGGGCGTTTCGTTTTATGTTAGAATGCAATCGTGGAAGAACAATGCTAGAATTTCAAGAGTTAATGATAGTCTTTCAATTACTTCATTGGAATGGATCTTTGAAAGCTATGAGGGAAAGGCAATGCAGTAGACAAGAAGTAGTGGCTCATTACAGTCATAGAGCTTTGGATGACGATATGCGTAGCCAAATGGCGTTAGATTGGGTAGCAAGAGAGCACGAAAGCGGCGGTGGCGTTGTCGCCATGGAACTGGCATTAGCTGAAAGAGAGCTTGAGGCGGCACGGTTAGCTGGCAGGGAACTTCGATTTCCTAAAGAGAAAAAAGATATATTGATGCTTGCTCACGCTCAAGTATGCCCCCAGTGATTTTAATAGAAGGATAATGCGATTTAAGAACATATATGGAACTGGTTTTGCAAAAGCTGGTGTTAAGGGAATATATGTTTTTTTAATGAGATGTTGTAATGTCGCTATAACGTGAAGTGCTTTATCATTGTTTAGCATTGAGACACGTAAACAATTCCGTCCTTTCTACGAAGAATTTTTGGTGATAATAGATTATTAATGGGATTATAAACTTGACGTATTTTTAAGAATACTTTAAGCGAGTAACTGCCAATTTTTAAATCAAAATTATTCATAATTTGTATATACATACGTTTTGATACAAAATCTCGTCTTCCATTACTACTTTATGCAGTCTTTCCTATAATCATAGCATTATATATTTTTATCATACAACAAGAAATGCTTAGTGATATATTGTGCTTGTTCGAGGAATTATGTCAAAGTGATTTGAATGATTTGTTATTAAAATATTAATTCATATGTTTATCATCTACGAAGTCGTCGTTCTATATTTTATACGTACGTAAAGTTTACGAAATACGAGCAAAACGCATACGATATAGATTGTAATTGTCTTAAAAATATTTTATTACTATTTTTAGATATTGATAAATACATGTTTTAATAAAATTTCGTAATTTTAATTAGGTTTATCTCCTAATCCTAGTATCAAGGTTGCAAAGTGGCCTCAAGAGAAGTTTCTGTTAACTTTGTAGTATCTTCTTCTTCCTCTTGCAAAGGATGAGTTAGTACTTTATCTATTATTCCAAATTCCTTTGCTTGAAATGGACTCATGAAATTATCCCTTTCCATAGAACGTTCTGTAAAATTATAATACATTGAAAAAAGCTGAACTAACATAGCTCTATAAATTGACATACCTATTTTTTCTAGATCCATGCCTGTATGTTTAACATATAAGTTGTTAATTTGCTTTTTGAGCTTTAATATCTCTACAGCTTGTATTTGAATATCTGTAGCCTGGCCAGATACTCCTCCTGATGGTTGATGCGTCATAATTCTTGCATTGGGCAATGAATGACGCATTCCTTTTGCCCCTGCCGCTAATAATAAACTTGCCATTGAACATGCTTGCCCTACACACCATGTTGCAACTGGAGGAAGAACATACTGCATGGTGTCATATATACCAAGACCTGCTGTTACGCTTCCACCAGGTGAATTAATATACATATGAATTGGATTTTTACTACTTTCTGACTGAAGAAACAGCAGTTGAGCAATCACTACGGAAGATACATTATCTGTGATCTATAAAATAATATATTCCTTTTTATTTTAACAAATCCAGACAACTATTTTCAGAGTAGACAAAAAACACATTACAATGTCTTACTAATACTATGATTTTTAGAAGGTTTTAAATTTTAATATAACGTTTTATATATGAATATGACATGTTTTAATTTGTACCGGGCCCATTAGACATATAATCCGTTCCTTTAAAAGACGTGAGTAGATATCGTATGCACGTTCACCTCGTCCACTTTGCTCTACCACAACTGGTACAAAATTTAGGTATCTTTTACTTATGTTTTGACCAGAAACCTATGGAATTCGAAATATTTTTTATTAATATTTTAAATACTAAAGAAACGATTATAATTGGTAGTAATAGTACTCTACGATTAAAGTTTTTAAATATTGAGATAAATGGTGTCACTAAACGATTCTATTATTTTTATCCGTTATATAAAATACTTACTGAAACTTGCAGTAAAGTGCTTATCTTTCGTAATAACATTTTGATAATTTAACGTTTAGTTTCATACAGTACGAATACGTATCAATGCAGAACAATGCTTCGCTTACAAACTTTATAGAATGAATAAGAAATAAAACATAACCTAAACCAAAAGAATTATTTTAAAATGAACTGTTGATCAAGCAATACCAACAAACAGTTCTTCTATGATACGTCAATGATAACTTTATCATAATTAACAAAACGTGTCGAAAATCATTTATTTTTCGTTTAAGAATATTTTATCTTTTGCAGGTTATATTTTATCTCTCTTTAACTTTTGCTTTTTTTTAATACGCGAAAATATTTAGCGTAACTTATTTTTCATATCAAACTATTTACTCGAGCGAATCAGAATATTCAACGGCGAATAATCTTTATCGTATGTCGATTGAGACTAACTTGTTTTAAATGTTTCATAAATAGTCAACTTATTTTTATACGAGTTATTTTTATTTACGTTGTGACAGTTGTGATAACCTAATTATTTTAATAATTTTTCCGTTCTGTATACTATGTACACTGGTATGTGATGAAAGTTTTATCTATAAAACAGTACATGTGAATCGTGCTTTATTATCGTTGTACATGGATAGCATGAACTGACTTCAGATTCTACTATAAAATAAATGTAATTTTGCAATTACAACGAAACTCAAGGCACGTTGCACAGTTCATATTTTCCATAACTGTTACATTAGTTTGGATTCAAGTGTTGTTAACGATTATTGGTTAGTAAAATCAATGTTATTCTTCGAGTTAACCTAACTCTTCGTTCTTGTAATTTAGGAAACTGTGTTTAGCAAAAAGTAAACTGATTACATTTGCCACGATTACGAATGTAGTGAATACGATTAGATTACATTTTGCTCTATATTGTTAGGAATCTCACACTTGTAAAGAATATAGTTTTTAAAATTGTATATGCTACTTCTATTTACATTAATTGTATAAATATATATTTACAGGTACAATGAACGTGTCTCCATTACTTAGAACCATGTGTCATACTATAAGTTCAATAGCTCCAAGAATAATGTCAGTGGCACCATTAACAAGTATTTTCAATCGTACCATGCATCATATGTGCAGTAGAGTAGGTGTTTCAAGTATATATACAAACCAAATTGGTTCATTAGATCTGCTTAAACCGTCTTTACCCATGTATAATCTTACCTGTGGAATGAAAGTGAGAGTTGTTTTAAAACGTCGTTGTAAAAGTTGCATTGTTCTGTGGAAGAGCAATAGAAAATACATAAAATGTAAAGAACACCCAAGACACAATCAAGTGGAAAGGTGGAAGCGGCCATACAATACATGGATATTAACATTTGCTTCACAAAAGCCAGTACGTGATTGGTAGAAGAATAATGTATTTTACAGATGTTATGTGTACTATATATTAAAGTAAAATGATTTCAAGAAAATCTGGTATCTGTCCTATTCAGTATGCCACAATAAAATATTCATTAATAAATATATTTTTATTCATTTTATACATAAGTAGGATGATACAATACATTACAATTTTATATTACTTTGTATCATTGTCAAAAAGTGTTCGACCCTTTATATAAGAATAATTTACTTCATTACAATATATCATTTAGGGAATTCAAATTAACATCTGTATGTGCTAGATGCTGAAAATGAGGAAATTTTTATTTCTGATTATATAAAAATATATATTATATTCTCAAAAATATGTGTATAGGAAGTCTATATCTTACTATAGGGCGGGCAAGTATAATTACTTCGAACATTGCGTAATGTTGTGATTGGAGAATATTTATCGTAATACAAAACGTAAGATGAACAACCACAGTAAGGAGCGCGAGGAAAATTAGAGAGAACAGCATATGGGGAACATGTTGCAGAAAAACAAACCTGTTAAAGTATATCAGTTATTAATTTAATGTGATTAAAAGTAGAGTATATTTTCACAGTACTTAAATGAAATTTTATTTTACATTCATCATATGCACGTAAGAACTTACTGTACAAGAATTAGTAGAAGGATTTGCTATAATTGTCGGGGGAATTATTGGTGGTTGACAATAAGTCGAACAGTCTGTACACGACATATTTAAATTATATACGCTTTTTATACTAGAATTTTAATTACAATAATTTTTCGGAAATTATTTATACGATATGCAGTACAGAGTTTACACAAATATGACGATCAAATCGAAATATCGTCATTTATTTTAATGATGTACGATGCATACATGGTTTCATCAGCGTAATGCCTGTCTCGTACTATTTTTATTTTTATAATTTGAAGGAATTATTTATCATGAGTGATCATGAGTCATCTATCATGATACAAAGAGTATTTTAGAAAAAGAATAGTGAGAAAATATTGCTTCTGGCAATGTGGCTGCTCCAGGCTGTTCCGCTATCGCGCTGTTCAACTGCAGCGCTGCTGTCGTCTCTGAGCAAAGGTTGCCGCATTAAAGAGGCATTTCTGCGCCTACGAGATGACAACCGAACCGATAGACCAACCAGTATGGGTTGCCGTATACTGGTGCATCCTTGCGCCTACAAGATGACAACCGAACTAACAAATCGGCTAGCATAGGTTGCCGCATGAAAGGGGTACCATGAAAAGGGAAAATGAAAGGAAGTTATTGGGAAATGTACAAGGAAATGAAAGGACATTAATATGCCAGGAAATGAAGGGAAATTAAAGGGAAATGTCACAGAAATGAAGAGAAAGTAAAAGGAAATGTGTCAGAAAATGAAGAGAAATTAATGGAAAATGTACAAGGAAATGAAGGGAAATGAAAATTGTGGCAAACTTACCTACACAGGGTGAACCTGAATAGGAATTTATTTTATTCTGTAAATATTATAATATGAATTTTATTTTCAATATTCTTTTCTATTATTGGATAATATGTGCATTTTGTACTTCCTTGAACATCCACATATCCTATAAATGCATACAAAGATCCGCAGTCCATCTATGAGTCTAAAACCATGGAGATGTTATAAAATAATAGTCTAGAACTCCATATCAAGACCCTGAAGTTCGCGTCAGGTAAACAAGAAGGGAAAAGAGAATGCCACGACCATTCCCTGTCATAAAGATTAATTAAGACGTCCACGAGGCGGGTTTATTGTTTTAGAGGTCTCCCTATAACGTCTAGGTGTGCGTCAATACATTATAGGTTCCCTGAAGTAGTAGAAATTCGATTGTCTTGCTTCGTTGAAGTCCTACCACACGTGTTCATGAAATTAACGAATAATATAACCTTACCTATCAAGTGAAGAATTCAGAATGCGAAGAATAGCGAGTGTTTTCAAGCCGTCATACTTGTGTTTGTTGTATGATCTGTTCCTTTTATCGATGAAGATTTCTTTCGCCATGATGGCAGCCGCTGTTAAAATGATCGTACCTGTTCGTTCAAAGAATCTGATAGGAGAAACTGTGGTGGTAAATTAGAAAATAGAGTGGAGCCATTAGTTTGCGTACTCGTCGTGCGCTGAAATGATCGCAGTGCATAGAAGGGGTAGTTCACTTAGGCTCCCCTTTGTCGAAGCCTGCAGGACTTGAAGACAACAGTGTAACAGAATAAAAATCTTGGAAATTGTTAACGTTAATATAATAGCACTGCAAATAATAATAATAACAACAGAGTGCTACGCGATATATTGGTTATCTCGAATTTGTTTGACTGTTAACTTTATATTTTCACGTTGATATTGAACAGTCCTGCAAGCTAACAAAATTCAGTCCTATCTAAAAGCAATGAGTGAGCAGCCACTGATGTATAACACTATTTTAATGTAACGAACGACGAGGAGACAGACGATCCTAGACATCTTTTCTTCAGATCACCGGCGCAGGACACGGAATTGGTCGCGAATTGGCCATTCAGTTAGCTTCCTTAGGCTGCATAGTCGTCTGCTGGGACATAGACGTCGAGGCGAATCGTTCGACGATGAGCGCCGTTTCCAAAAATGGAGGGGAAGTCAGAAAAGCTACTTAGGAATAAAGAACAACTAATCTGTTTTATTTAAGCAACGTTCATTTGTGATTTCGAACTGTTTAGGTTTATGGCTATGTGGTCGACGTGTCGAACAGACTGGAGGTACGCGAAGCTGTAAGATTGATGAGAAAAGTGGGGATTCCTGACGTCTCCATCCTGATTAACAATGCTGCCGTGTTGTACCATCACTCATTCCTGCATCAGGATTCAGATCTCGTCACGAAGACGTTCGATGTTAATACTCTGGCTCACTTCTGGGTAGGATAGTCTATTAGGTATAGACGGAATGCCCGTGGAATTGATTTTTTCATTTTGCTAGACGATCGAGGCTTTCCTCCCAAGCATGATACAAAACGGAAAAGGGCACATAGTGTGCCTGAGCAGTATGTGCGGCATCTACGGGGTGTCGGAAAAAGTCACGTATTGCTCTTCGAAGTTTGCAGTGAGAGGTATAAGAACTCGTGAAACAAAGTAAATTTTAATTGAATTTAAATTGAGTCGTTCGTTATAATTCTGCTCTGTCTTGGAAAGCCGAACAAAAATGATTATTATGATAATTAGTCATAATTAAATATTCACGTTTATAGGATTAATGGAAGGACTTAATGAGGAGTTGCGACTGGATCCTAAAACAGCTGACATACGATTGACGACCATTTATCCATTTTACGTAGATACTGGCTTGGCTAGAGATCCCAAGTACAGGTGGGCTATAGTTAGCAAATTACTATATGTCATATTATTATATATTCATTTGAGGATACCATTATAAATTCGAATTTCATCATAGATTTCCTTACATATTCGGAGTAGTATCGCCAGAGTACGCAGCGCAAGAAGTGATCAAAGCAATGCGAAGAAATTACACAGAGTATGCCATACCAAGGTGTCTTCTAACTTTGAACGCCATTAATAGGTCAGAATGCCATCGATCCCAACAAAATTAAATCACAAAGTATTTTGCAGAAATAACAAAAGAAATTAGCTCGAAGTTTAATCTCATTTTGTACGAGATAGTATAATAAACTATTAATGATCAGCTAGGCTGGTTGCTCGTCGAATTAATTAACCTTTAACAATCACTAGTCACTCTCCCAATTAAACAATCTTCGTTTAGTGGTATTGGCGAACTGTTTTTGAATTTGATCATTTTATAAACTAAAACTTAATTACAAGTCATGATGATGATATCCTTAATGTTGTTCTGTTTTTTTTTTTTTTAGACGTTATTGCAACTGAATTGCATTTTTGCTCTTCAAATCTAAGCCACACAAAATAAATAATCAAACAAAGAACTAATTAAAAGTAAGTCATTATCGCCATTGTAACTCACTATTCCAATAATTATAATTTCAGAATGGTCCCCGACAGCGTGATGAGATTAATTTTGGACTTCCTGGCGGATGTGGATCGGAAACGCAGAGAAAAGCTCATCGCCTGCAAAAATGTCGCGTCGAAATAACGTTATCGGTTGCACAAGTTAATCATTCTGTTGTATTAGTTTCGTTGCTATGCCTTTTAAGTTCATGTCACGCGATTCGAATGAGGAATTGAAAGACAAATAGCGTCAGAGATGATGCTCCATTACGGAAGCTGTGATTAAATGAAATGTTTTCTCCAAGAATTGGATGCATTGACTAAGAATACAATCTTAACTTTCTAGAAATAGTCGTGCAATTAGAAACGTGGTAATTATAGTTATTATCTTGGGTACCTTTGTGGGCGAATTTGGTTTAATGAAACTTTCGAAGTTTAATTGCTATGAGGCTGAGAAGTCACAGTTGAGTGGAAATATATTTTATTAGTTTGTATTACCAGTTGCCGTAGGTCAGGTTATATTGCAGTCATAAAAGTGTGAGCAATTCAACGATTGAAAAACTGCGAAGAATTTAGAGGGTGACGTACAAAAATTGTAAAACGCCCATTTCCTTGAAGCAGCCATTGTTTGTCTTTGTTTAGCACCTCTATTAAACTGCAGTAAAATTAACTTTCTCATACGTTGGGAAAAACCATGTATCTTCGTTACTGTTGGGTCCTGTCAAACACGTGAACTGATAAACAGTGCGAGAAGTCAACTTTTTCAGTCTGTCACACGTGTCCATAAATTCATGTGCCTGTGTTAGGTCTTGTAAACAAAATACAATTTGGTTAATATAATATACATTGTTCCACTTGTTAATGAGAAATTCCTATTCAAATCTAAGAAAATTCTATTCAATCCTGTTTTTGTGGCTCAAGAAATCTTCTATTGTTCCTTTTTGATGGCTGCTCTCATCTGATTCAGATCACTCCAGTGTTGGATTTAGGGCTTAGGAGTTGAATAGAAGGCCGAATAAATCGTCGAATCTCGAAGAGTGAAGGAAGGAGGACGAAGGAGGCGATGACCTTGCTGCTCTCAACTTATCTCAACGTATTCGAACGGGACGGTGTTCAGTCAAGTTCAAGCTATCGGAGCGCGCTGTCGAGTTGAACCTGGGGTATTCCCCTTGCACTCGTCGCTGCATCCTCAGCAGTTGCTCCAGAGTCGCTAAGCCGTTTGCTTCACTTTCGATATTAGAATTCACTTTCAGTGTTAGAGTTCACTTTCAGTGTGAGATTTTGTTTGCCAATCGAACGAATTGCCAGCGATAGTGATCACCTCAGTTCCCCGAAGGTCACAATCATACGGAAGTACCAATTGCATCGTAATTACATAAAGGTGTGTTAAATATATATTTCACAACTGAAGCTATCAATCCAGTGAATATTAAAGGAAGTGTGTATGTTTTTGAATGTTTCTTTAATAATCCCTGTTGTTAGTTATTTTATTATTCAACATAGTAACTGAATTCTTATTGGAAGTGTACACTGCAAGAGAGCTTCGCATAAGTAGAACATTTATTTAACTTTTATAGTAGATATAACAGAGGTAAAACGCACAAAAAAACAATTAGCAAGTCAAGAACGTTCAATACTTTATTTTTAACGTGACACCTTCTTCTATTGACAGTAACACGTAGCACCTACTTACGAAGGAATCCTGATCTGTCTATTTACGAAGCTTATTTTCCATACTTCCATGTGAATATTTGAAAAACATCTCACCAATATTAACTCTGGCGAATTCTGACTAGTGACGATTATGAGAATCGCATCTGCAACGCGTTGGCGATACATTCAAATGGGAATTTGGCTTGGTCTTTTTTTTCAAAAGATTCGACAGACCTACTGGAACCAGTTTACGAACTCACAAGGGAACGTATCCAACTGTCCCACGCCGATTTTGATAAAATTTACGTGGTACTTACTTCTCAAAAAAATACGTGTAAAATATTTTTTTGATAAGTACTTACCACATAAATTTTGTCAAAATCGACGTGTAACAGTTGGATATGTTCCCTTGTCAGTTACTATGATAGGAGCGTTTGACTCTGGAAAGTTTCCCTACGAGGTCTTTGTTACAACATGAAACATTCAAGAGTAATCCTGTATTCCTAATATTGCAAGGAACTTTGTAATAACATTAAATCAATATTGTGAAGCAACTGTGGTTCTATTATAATTTTAAATAATCTATTAGTATGGGGCAATACAACAACCGTGTTATACATATACACGATACAATATAATTAAAAATTTAATAAAATCACAGTTGCTTCACAATACTGCTAGAGTGTTTTAAAAATATTTTCAAAAAAAATATCACACAGGCATCTTGCTTAAATATTATATCGTCTTGAGAAAAGAATGTTCCAAGTGTCGTTCTCACTGTTCAACGCAAAAGTGAACTTATAGCAAAATGATGATTCACGTTTATAATAACTAATATTAATTTACCGTAGATTCTAAATAACAGTGATTTCATCATGGATCGACGACGACCGCGTTATTAAAGTTGTTTTCCTATTCGTAATAACAAGTCGTTATAGAATTATTAGGTTTTTTTATTATTAGGCTTTTTATTATTGTAGGGTAGAGCCATGGATTAGGGCTTATGTCAGACAAATTGTAATAGATCACATCTAGATTCACGAAAACACTTTGCAACAATATATAATTTAAAATATGTAGCAATGATATTCTTTGGCAATAATCCTCGGGCTTAATTTTTTTTCTCAAGGTTAAACAAATTTAGGAAGCTCCTATTTAGTTTCTTCCTCGCGTAAAAAGTTTCAAGAGAAAATACTGAAATGATATAATTGACGAATAATAAAAAAAAAAAAAGAACTGTACTTTGGTCCTGGATGATTAATCAAGTATTATAGATCATGAACCCCGGAAGAACCTTCGGTTGGTCGCGGATCAATGACCATCATGCTGTTCGTAAATGATAGGTGTCTACCTTCTCTTGCATCACATTCATGCTACCAGGTACTGGATGCTTGCTCGAGCATCTTTTCTTTTTCTCGCTGTACACGACAAAAACGAACAGAAATTCTTTCTCGATTTAGCGAAGTGTTTTCGTCGATTTTGGCACTCGAGTGCAATTAAAAAATGGCGAAAATAACTGCGATCCGACGTGAGAGATACGTTGGTGCCTGTATTAATTAATCGCGGAGTTGATTTGCGAATCTAGCGGTCGAATCGTGGCGAATTGTACAGGTTCACCTTGACTGGACTTTGAGAAAGGAGAGGCAAGTTCACGGCGAACTACAATAACGCTTTTACGTTGCACTTGTGTCGCACGACTGCACGCACTGCCAAACTGTTCGCGGAGTCGTTGACACCAAGGGCGCAAGGTTGCTCACTGCACGCGAGGCTGTTGCACCTGGATGCAGGATGCAACTGGAATTTATAAAAGTAGCGTTCTATGAGTCACCTTTAGAGTCTAATCAATTATTGGTGCGTGGTATGGTTCATCATCCATTGGATGGTAGCACGATTGATCCCCTCTTGTAACGATACTCAAAAAATATATTTATCGGGGATAACGATAGAAGAAATAAAATAGAAACATTTTTGTTATGTATATTTATTATCTATTTAATGTTTGGAAATTAAAAAATCGAAATGAATTAGGAGATAATGGGTGAAAGTATGGTATTATTTATAGTAAGTAATTTCTTCTTAACGCTTCGTATAAATTGTATTTCAATCATTGAAAAGAAGCAAGCAACAATTATCTTAGAATTATATGATTGGAAGAACTTCTTTCAACAGTAAATTTATTAAATGAATTCAATTTGCTGGTAGAATTTTCTTTTATTTGCCTGATATCTTTGTGCCAATGTTTGAAAGAAGCTAAAGTGCTGTTTCTAAGCTGACCATAATTTACACAAACTCGGAACGGTATCAGATTTATGGCTTAATAAAGACTTAATTCGCCGAGCTCTTTCGACAGATTTAGAATTCTACCGTTCGAAACACTTTACAAAATCACGTAATAGCAGCAGAAGACCTTGGCAACAGGGTCATTATAGCATAAAATAATTTTATTCGTACCTTATAACTGTAAGTACCTATACAGATAAATGTCTGCTCGTACAGTTGATTTGTACTCTCTACAAAATTATTTCTCTCTCCCTGTTAAACATTGCCATCTGACCACATTGCTCTGCTTTCACTGCATTTTCTACCTAATCTGGTATTTATTTTTTCAGTGCACAATGTTTGTTTCAAGAGACGAAGCCATGACTGTAAACTCCAGAACCGGTTGCCCTTCCTCAACAGTCTGGCTATATCTCACCGTTGAATTCCTGATTGGCATGTTCCTATCAGGCATTCTAGCCATCCTCGGGGTCGTTAAAACCCTCCTGCCCAAACCACCCAGAGATTTAGCAGGAGACATCGTTTTGGTACGTATTTAAAATTGTTATCAAGGCCAGGTTACAAAACCTTTCGAAATATTAGAATCAGCCGAAACTACTACTTGTAGCGAGGACCATTCAAGGGTACATGCTACGTGATGCCCTTAGGCTACGTTAGCTAAGAGGAGTCCCTCTCGTGAATACAAATATTCAATATTAGTTTTGTGATTAGTTCAAATGGCCTAGACAGAGCAATTCGATACCTAAAACGCATATTGTGTATATTGTATGTAACAGTATAGAATTGCGAATCTAAAATAGGATTGAAAAGAATTAAATTATTTAACGAAGAAAGAATTCAAAATGAATAGATATGAACAAAATTAACGAGCACGATCATGTTATTCACAAGAAGAATCCATGTCTAAAAAAGATACGATTATTACCAAACATAGTACTGACAAGACATCCCCTGAATAAGAAGAAGCAACTTTGAGCAAAATCAGGGCTGGAGAGACACGACGTTCTGATAAAGATGTTTTGTTCTTGCCAATCCTCTCAGTGATATTAATATCACGTTTTTATACCATGTTCTTCCATGTCCTCGCTAGTTAATTTAATGGTACTCGCTTTAAAATTCACCATGCCAACGACAAACAATTATTGGGAAGGACGCTGTACGATAAACAAAAATTTCAATTTGTAGACGTTCTTGTAGAAACTTCGTTTCCTTTGATGCTTGAGTTTCGTTTATTAGTTCTACAGTGAAAAGTACTGTCGCCCATATATGGGTGACGCGCTCAAATTTAACGCTCAAAGTGTTAAATTGTTAGATTATAAATAATGCTTTGTTGCAATGTATGAATAAAACTATCGAAGTGGAAAACTAGGTACACACCGATCGAATGATCTGTCCTCCGACTCTCTATCATCGAAGCTCCATTAAAATTTGTTAAAGGACAAAGTCGTCCTACTTTTATTGTTCTCCATGTATTCAACTTCCTTAAATTTCAACTAGCACATCCTAGACAACCGTTAGAACGCCTTATCCATTTAGGTAGCTGGTGCAGCCTCGTCCCTGGGCGAGTCCCTGGCAGAGGAGTTCGCTAAAGATGGTTGCTCTGTGATCTGCGTGGACAGCGACGCCGCGTCCATAGAAGAAACAGCATCCAGACTACGATCGAGTTACCCCAGGGTCGAGGATGTCGGATCCAGCCACGGGAAGGATGCACCGTCTGCAAAATCAACCATATCAGCCTACGAGTGCGATTTGCTAGATAAAGATGATATAGGAAGGACAGCGCGGAAGATCAAGGATGAGATTGGCAAAGTCGACGTCCTGGTGACTTGCGTCGGCAACATGAACCAGGATATCTTCGACACGGCCAGCACAACCTTGATGAGTCACTTCTGGGTAATGCTTCTTTTATCCAATGATGGGTAGAAATTCAGAGAAACTCAATCTCGTTTAATTCCTCGTCATATACCTGATTGGACAGGTGAGAAGGATCAGAGGGACGTAGGTGAGAGATTGATCTGGGGTCGACGTACTCGAGAATACTGTCTCTGTTTCTTCTATTAGTCAAGAAAATTAATTATCCTTTCAATTCTTAATGGAATTTAAAAAAAACTCCATAACTATAAATGAAAAGAATGATGCAACTTCTGTTAACGGTTAATTCAGGTTGTTAATTACCTTCCTAGACGGTTCTAGCCTTTCTGCCACTGATGCTGTACCGCGCACGAGCGCACATCATCGGTGTCACGCCGGTTGCCTCGAGCAGAGACGCGTATCACGGTTCAAGAGCGGCGATAGCCAGTCAGTATTCGATCTGTCATTTATAGCGATAAGAATCATATCGTAGCAATATGACTTATGCTAACTGGTTTTGTGCAGGCCTCATGGCGAGCCTCTGCCAGGAATTGAGTAACCACAGCAGCCACCTCACATTTATGGCGTTCACTCCCATCGCTAGGAGCAGGTAACGGTGCTTCTTGAGAGATCATTACCATATTCAAATAGTGGACTTGATACAGAGCTTGAAATAAAATATCTAGCTATTATGGTTGCATTTTCTGAAGATCTGAATCTTGAAATTGGTCCCTTGGTGACATTTAGTATAAGGTTAAAGTCTTTTGCGAGTCTTTTGACTGTGCAGGTCAGCAAATGCAGCTTGCAATTTTGATGTTTTTTTTAACTTAATAGTAATTTTTTTTTTAAACTACGTGTTTCTGAAAATAATTTATTTTACTAATCAATGAGACACTTTCTATTTCTTTAGTAGTTTTCTCTTATAGGAGTTGATTAATAAGTCGTCGATTTTTGTTAAAGTACAATGAAGGAGGACGAACAACAGGTAGCAAGAAATATCGTCCAGGCTGTCAAAACGGACCAGAGCAATTTAAGTGTCAGCTGGATGCCCAGGTTCCTGTATCGACTAGGGTATGCGATTCCCTATTACCTCTCAATTGGAACCATCGAACAAATCTGACAATAACATATTCTTCATTCTTTATTTTCAGCTGCGCGACGTACCACGGAATAACGACGTTCACGCAGTGGGTTCGCTCGCAGGGATGTGATTATCCAGCTTAAAAATTATTCAGATTCCTAGACAACGAATAATACTGATGGAACAAGAGGAGCCTGGTGGCATAAAAATGACGACAAAAATTAAATCGTCGAAGAAGTCTCAGGACCAGTTCAATTAATTCAAGGCGAGCCCAGAAATCATGAATGGACTTCGGAATTAGGAGGATTCACGTACCTCCTGCAATCACAAAAACTTTCACAGCAAAAAAAGAAAAAGTTCGAACTACTTACCACGGTATTTTATTCAATTAAAACCGAGACAATCATCTTCCCGCTCGAGAAGCTCAGGGAATTAAGAAGATGGAAGCAATAGGCGTACGAATGTTAGCAAAAATAAATATATATTAGAAAATATAGCGACAACGAAGAGAAGACAGTGTCCAGATCGAGTTAAATGATCTCCAGAAGAGCCAGCATTGTTTTCATTGCAGATACGAGGCTGGTTCTTGAAGCAGGACGTCGTAATGGCCACTGTCCGAGTTCCCAGTGAAAAGGAGCCTCGCGGTTTCGTACTGGGCGCTCACGAGGTTGTGAAACACCCGTTTCAGCTCGTGTCTCTCGTTGATCTCGCGATAAATCGATAGATTCATGTAGTACATCTTCGTGGCCACCGTGCACTCGAGCTCGCTGGCGAACGTCCCTACCATGCTCATGTAATTGCAGTACGCCTGGCGCTCCGAAATGTTCCATTCGGCCATTACGAACGGACCGTACTCGTGCCAATTCTCTTTGATGTGTTGGACAACCTGGATTGATATTATTATATGTATTATTGTATATTTGCGTTGGGTGTGTTCTGATATGTGGGATCTTCGAGGACCCATGAACAATGAAAGAAATTCATGGTATTAAATACTTGAAGTGTTAAATTTCTAAAATTTGGCCTCAATATAGTTTGCTTTCAACGCGTGGTAGCGAACGTGTTGATTACGCTAATCGTGGCCTTCTGCTAGAAGGAGGTCTCGATCTTAATAAACACGAATGGTACGTTATGTATGTATGAATGTTTGCGTTTGTAATATTATGTACAGATCTCAAGTCACAGGAGCTAATCGCAAACTGATTCGCAGTGGAACTGTTACAAGAGAGGATATAAGAAAAAATAAAGCGCACCATTGAACGAAGGTATCGGTGTTCGTCTTCATTTCGCCACAGGATATAGCTGATCGCTCGGAACATGCAATTCCCATCGCCGTAAATGTTGTGCACGCGAAACGTGCCCTCATTGCACCTTAGTCGAGCCGTACCTGTCAAGTTATATAAATGTTAGAAGAAAACATGAAGAAACAGCCTCCTACCAGTAGCTTTCAAGATGAAATAATAAAAATAATTATTTCATTTAATTAAATTGGGAAACCTCGGTCCGAAGTATTTTTTAAATATTTTGTTGAATGTCACTGGTAGGTGTTCTTTAGTTAAATACAACATTTAATGAGTGGAGTGGAATAGAAGGCAGATTTTTACGTGCGTCGAGGCACCTTTTTTGAAAAATATAGAACGTTTGTTTTTATCTCGTTTGGCCCGACAATTGGCCCGATGTTTGGCTGATAATTCGGTGTAAGAGATCCAATCGGCCTGCCTGGAGCAGCTGGACTTCCCCCTTGATGTCTTCGAAGCACGGCAAACGCTGTTGAAGTCTCCTCGGTCCAGATACTGTTCACGTCCGAATCGATTGTATCCTTTAGCATTCTTGACTACCGACAATCGACGTTCGCAATTCTCTATCGATAAAATTAGCGAAGATCAGTTGACAAAGGAACCACTTCTTAATTTTGTATTATTGGAGTCCAGTATCATCTTTCAATTAATGTATATTTCATTATCAAGATCAATTCAATAGCGTTCAAGTTAGTTACATCGCATCTAAATTAATTTCATCTCATTTAATTAATATCTGTGAACACTGTGCTCCAACAACTTACAAGACAAGAAGAGTTAGGTTTGATTTACCGTCTTCGAAAATGTGGCTGCAGAAATAGAAGCACCACAGGCAAGGTATCAACAGTGTCTTGAAGAATGCTAATATCTGGACTCTTGAAATGTCCAGGTTAGATATGCTTCAAGATCGAAGGAACGCTTCACTGTCGTCGATAGCCGCATTTTTCAATTGTGTTCGATTATGGTCACAAATTCACGCGTGGATTATTTATACCAGTATAATTTACTACGTTGACGTTTGCATTTTGAAAACTGCGACGTATTTATCGATCTTCTGATGTCTATTGCATTGCAAAACAGTGAAGTTGCATATATTTGCTGTTCTGTAGGAAGAATAATAATAATAATATGAATTTAACTCCCCGCGCCTACTAGATGCAATCGGCGCTATAGCCCGACACATCTGTAGCACCGGTTGCCAACTAACAGGGGCACCTTCTGGAGCCTGCTAGATGCAACCGGCTCTATAAATTGAGTACATCTGCATCGCTGGTTGCCAACTATCAGGGGTACCTTCTCGCGCCTACTAGAGGCAACCGGCGCTATAGCCTGACACATCTGTATCACCGGTTGCCAATTATCAGGGGTACCTTCTCGCGCCTATTAGATGCAACTGGTGCTATTGAGTAATCACATGTGCATCGCCGGTTGCCAACTGTCAGGGGGATTCTGTCACGAGATAGACAATTTGTTCGACTCATTTATGAAGAAATACACCTTTTTCGTTATTTTACGTATAAAATTTTAACCGTGAGAGATAGAAACAATCGTCTTATACGAAAAGGTACACCGATATAAACGGTTTATCATTCTAATAACTCCGCTAGTGCTGTTATCACTGCGATAACACTTTCTTCGATATAATGGTCATTCATTTAAGAACTATGTGGCGTAGAAAATTCCCGAGATAAGAGAGATTAAAAATTTCAACCGCATCCCAGGACGGATGTAACTCAACAATGGGAACATTTCTGTATGTTAGATGGAGCTTGTTGTTGTGACACAGCTTTTTGCGATTACTGGACTATATTTCGGCCGTGTCGAGTACATTTTTCAAATGTCCAAGTAGCCAGAGGAACTCCAGCTGTTGCACCGTGTATTTTTGGACGCTCTGTATAGTCTCGAGTAGCGTCGAAGGTGGGGAAAACTGTTTCCCCTTCCTAAACCGAACTCCGGAGTCGACGGATTCGTGCGAGCAGACTTGTAGCAACTTGTAGACAGTCCGTGACAAAGCGAACGGTCGTGCTTGCTCGACTACACAATATCCTAGCCGCGGACCGAAGCGAGTGCATGTCACTTGCACTTGCACCAGTCACCCACGAGAAAGGGACGGAACAAGTGTCGAAGAAACATGGCGGCGCATTGGAACGTGCCACAGTGATGCAGCGTACGCGCAACGAAAACCGCGACTCAGACTGACCAAAAAGGCCTCGCTCACTAAACATCCATCTGGCCAAATGACATGGGAATTTGTAATCGAAGACACTTCCTGTTGACAATATGCGTCTTGCAACTTGTGAGTTTCGTTCGACGAACAGAACCCTTCTCAATTCTACCTCTTGCTTCGTTATCGTTCGTCATCGCGATACGTAAGCGTGCATTTTCACGGTTTTTCCCAGGAGGATCGAGTCATAACCTTTGTTTCCACGAAACTGGTTTCGCGACGAGCTTTCCACCCGGAGTAATTCGCCAGCGATACCAGCGATGTTTTGCATAAGTTTCGAACAATTTTATCGATATTACGGACCGATCATCGTATCGCTTTATCGACCCGGAGGTCGCGTGGTTTATCTCTGTTAAGTGGAGATCCCCGTAGAAACTAGCCCAACTATTTATTTAATGCCGCTTTTCCTACTTTCTACTACTTTCTTGTGCTCAATAACCGACCACTTTTTATTCCCTATGCTCTGCCTTTATTCTATTAAGATTCGTCATGATCTTATTTCATAATTGTGTTACTTCGAATTCTTTTACATCCTGGCTTTCTTCCAAAGACGAATTTTATTCGAATATTATTCGTGACTTTATTCTATTGGGAACAGTTATTTGAGCAAATTTTCATTCATTCGTTGTGTAAAATGTAGTATAAGAATTTTTTCCACCTGTGCTTTCTTTGTATCTTATATGAGGAAGTATTAATTGGTATAATATACCTGAAGTAATCTGTTCATTTGGTAAACAAGTTATGTAAAGTATAATTAATATTTTATCATTGATCGATCAACAAGATAATGTACCTTTAATGAACATCAAATAATCTGTATGCATAGATGAAAATAAATAAATGAACAAAAATAATTGATCATTTTGAAGTAAATCTTTTCTTTAAAAGAAATGGATTCTGTAGAGATGCTTCATGGACAATGGTTCTGACTCAGAGTGGGTAATTAATTGAGTATTTAGAACACGAGGCAATTGGTGCAGATTAAGAATGCACACAAAAAAGGAGTTAATAGAAATTGAAGGAATTACATACTGTTGTAATAACAGTATATTTACAATATGTTGTTTTTTCTTTATACTCAGATCACTACCATAGAGCGCCAAGTTTTCGACTTCCTGGGCTTCATGTGGGCCCCGATACTGGTCAATTTCTTCAATATTATATTTGTAATCCTAGGATTCTTTGGGGCCTTTCAGTATAGACCTAAATATATCATATCGGTAAGTAAGAATTACTATTTGATTGGAGGATTATTATCATTGGAAAATCACTTATTTGTTTCTCAATTTATTGTAGTATTGCATATGGAATACGCTATGGCTAGGGTGGAATGTATTCATGATATGTTTCTACCTCAACGTGGGTGTGCTGGACAGAGTAAGTTTCAAAATTCCATATAATTTTACGACCTTACTTGTAAAGAGTAAGCTACAATCACTCTGAACATTTTTTAGAATAGTGATGTTTTGAACCTTGGCACTGGCAGTTTTTCCTGGTGGCACGTGAACGGACCAGGCTGCAAAGCTGTTTACGATGTTACCGAGCCTGAATTATTCAGACCTGCGCGGCCTACAAACGTAACAGACTGCGTGCTAGATTACGAAGTAGTTGAAATTTTACACGCGTCTACTCAATGTATTTTAGGTGTAAGTACCATCTTTGCGTTTATTCTCGAATGAAGTTGCGTCGGTCGTCTTGCTTAAAATTATCGTTTCTATGTTTCAGTTTATTGCAATCGTCGGTGGTATTTGTCTGAGTAAAGTTTTCCTAGAAGAAGACGATAGCTGTAAGTATAAGACTTGAAACCCTTTGTTTCGATTATTGCCAGACTCAGATTAGTATAAAAATTAGTTCGTTGCGTAAAACTATGTTGACTTTAATTTTGGGGCATTATTTGGTGGTAACTTTGGGTAATATTTGCATTGGTATTGGTAAACGAGACTTAAGGGAAAAACATTGATAAATCTTGTGCCTACACTTCCGAAACTTTCATGTATCACTATTAGTGTAGCAAAAGGTGCAATGATAAATCTTATTTTCTTGTTACATTTCGGATACACATTTGGTATTTACGTTTCATTGTAAAATGAAATCGCAGCAAATCACCTTTGGTGTTTTAATTATATAAACGTCTGAGATTTATTATTGCTTGAAAAGAGGGTTGTCGGTTACAGTTGATTTCATTGGTGGATTTGATCCTCCATTTTGGTAAGTGCTTTGCCTGATTCATCGTTTGCACGCATTTTATCTACCCACTTAAGCACGAGTAATAAGATTTTTATACGTATCGCGATAGCCACTGGATTCCTCGTTGTTTATTGAAATTCTTGGGCACGTATTGGTACCACAGAGAATGTTAGAGTATCGTGAAGTAACGTTATGCATCGTGGATATTACAAATTTATTTCTACTTTATGTAGTTATGTAGAATTGTTAATATAGCATGTACTCTTTGCAAACGATAATTCGTATCATTGAACATTCATTTCCGACAATTATTCAAATGCATTGATAAATCATTAAGTAATGTGGCAGATTATTCGCTAGTATCGGCCATACCAAACTACAATTAATTATACCATTTAAGTTACCCACAACGAAACGAATCACCTTTGCGCAAAACACAGCAAAATTTGATCTAATACAATGGATTCTACGTCATATTTCAGTTGACTTTGTTGGAGGTGATGACTTTGGGTTGGCAGGCCACACAGCGTTACATCCTATGTACGTTAGCTACTCGGCTCTTCCGTCACCTGCCCACCCTCAAAAAACTTCCAATCAAAATTACCCTACAGGCACTGCTAGCTCCCAGCAATCCGTTTGTAACGATACCAGTTTTCCAAAGCATAATGACAAAGTGTGCAATAGCTCGGGACGTATTAAAAACAATAGTTTTAGAAACGACACCATCCGAACGAATAGGAGCAACGTGTCAAATCGCGAGTTGAAGTACGTAGATTACTCAAACGATTACTCCAACCCTTTGGATCACTTGCAGAGGCCCGTGTCTCCTTGCGACGAATACGATTCGTTAGACAGTGCCGCTAAATTGAGGTACCAAAAGAACAAATTGTATTATCCACATTCGTCAAAGTACAGCCCCGTTGCGTCGCCGCGGATCAAATCATGTTCTGCAGTTGCGAAGCAAGCTAAAGCCTCCAACAAGCCTAGAGTCTTTACAGATTACGTTCGGGAACAGCCATTGAGATCCTTCTATTCCGATCCCAGATTGGCGGTCGAGAATCAACAACAAAATACAAGCGAACAAGAAGCACCGAGTAGGTCTCACAGAGACAGCAGACCCCTGTCGTTGTATGCCAGTAACTTGTAGGTTTAAAACTTGAGGGAGTATTCGGTTTTTTCGGACATAAAATAAGTAACGTCTATTTTGTACGAATGTTTATAGAAGTCTTGTAAGGAATTAACTTTTTTGATCCGACAAAGAGAATACCCCCTTAAGGGTAGAGCGTTCCCTTTGTTTCTTTCTCTAGAGTTTTGCGTGAAATTTCTTTCTAGCTTTGAAAGCACACGACTGAGGTTGGTGTACTTTGACGCTGTTCTGTGTAAATTTCGGAAGCGTGACACACAATTCCTATACTTGCCAAATAGATAGAACAATTAGAGTAGCTAGTTTAGGGTGCCTTTCCCATTTTCGATTTACATTAATCTAGATATAATTCTATCCATTTTTGTAACATCACGCTCAACGTTCGTCTACATTTGAAAGTATTGACTGATATAGTGGCTCGAGTTGCGTGTTCACTAGCACTGTTTGCTTTCGTGTTCATATTAATACAATTTCTTTTTTTTTTTTTTCATTTTTTTTTTTTTTGCATTGAAGATTTATTTACAATTGTTCATAGCGTGTACAATCGTGTTGCTTGTAGTTAGTGACACGGATTTGTACGGATACATATGCACTGTGATACGTATAGAGATATGAATCATGTTTGTTCGCGAATGTTCGAGGCTTTATCGATTGTGAATTTCGAAAATTTATGCTTGACGCAGAATTTTTTATATGGAACGTTGCATAATGAGAAATGCAGCACGTACAAAATTTTATTGTAATCGTTTACGTATGTTTTAGGATTTTGTTTACGAACCGTAGATTTATTAATAATTTTTATCATCGATATTCCCTCGTAAGGATTAGTACTTGCTAAGGATTTATTTCGGCAATACGCGTTGGCCTGGCTTGAAACGGATAGCACATGATGTAATATTAGGTTTGCATTTCTATAGCTTGTTGTATCGTGATGGTGGACAAGTCTTTGTTTAAACGGTGCTACGAGAACTTTTATTTTAAGGACACGTTTGAATATTGCAGTAGTGCATGCTAGCTCTTGTTCTTTTTCACAGTTTTAAATTCGATAGAACGTTTTTTTTTTTTTTTTTACATCTTCCTTCGAGCAACGATTTAGCCGTAACGTCTACGCACGTAGAAGAAAAACGTACAATAATACGTGCAATCAATTATCAGATACAAGATAGATTTCTCTACAATTTTATTTTGTAATCGTGTACTTTTCAAATTTACTTTCGACATTCCATAGATTATCAACTGAATATCTAGTAAAAAGTGAAATCTGAAGTGACAGTAGCTGTACGAGATGCTTTTCTGGTTGTTTTTTTTTAATTTTTTTTTTTTATACAGAACACAGAGTTGTTCGTTTTTTGATAGACTGCATACATATTAATCGTGCAGGATGCTCTGTAAATTGCGGATCAAGAGCTAATAAAAGTACATGGGTCAAGTGTGATGATTCGAGAATAAAAATATTTTACTTTCAGAGGACTTTACTTTAAATATTGCAGAAAAATGTAATTAACTGGTGTTTCTCAAATTGTGGTCTCAAAGTATATTATCGAATAATAATTTCATTTTATTGAACAGGTCCCTAAAAAAGAGAAGTTTGAGAAACACTGTTCTAAACGATCCACTGGCATGGAAATTAAATTGCTAGTATTGTTGCACTACGTACACTGATTGATCGATCATCAAATTTATTGCGATCTAATAATAGACAAAATGTATGATATATATTCGAGACGCATCGCGCTGTGCAAATACATTTTTTCCATCACACTTCACCAAGATACTATCGTTAGCTTTGTTCTTCATTTATAATGCAACCTGGACAATACCTAAGTTCTTTTACCTTAAGTAGTCTTAATCGAACCATTGTTATTTATCGATTAGATATTTTGTACATGTTGCAATACTTAGGATACCAATTGTTACTTAATCCTTTTACGTTTCTTAACGGGGCATACTTGTCGGAGTCACTATCATAAATGTTGCTCAGTGAAAACTAATTGTATATAATTTCATATGTTCGTTTTAAGTTTATGTGTAACGCATGTTACGTGATTTATTTATATAACACAGGCACACTTTATTGTATCACGGGGTTAGAGGATTCAATGTTGTCGAATAATACCTGACTACGATTGTTAGTTGTACGTTAAAATTGTCACTTCAGATTGGTCGTTCAACGTAGTACCAATCCCTTCCTCGTTCGAAACTTGTACAGTAGTCGTGTGTAATTTGTTTAAAGGCGTAGTTCTTAGTTTTATATTTATTTACTGTATCATATAATTTACCTTGGTGCAGTTCATTGGCGACAATAAACGTGCAATGCTACTATACTTGCTTGCTTTTTTATTTATTAACCCCCGTTCTCTATTTCTTTCTCTCCTGTCTCTCTAACATTCTCCTCCTCTGCGGTTTCTTTTCGGGGAAACTGTTGTTTCGTTTACTTCTTAGTTAATTCTTTTGGTGATCGTTTCAAGTCTCTGCGTCGCTGTACGATCTAACGCCAGGGATGGGCAAAATTCTCATCCTGATAGGAACATTTTGAACAACGAGTAAAAGATAAATGAATTTTAATTTATTGGTTATCTCTGTTAAAAATCTTTCATTGCGTTTCCAAAACTAAGGTTGGCAAGGAAAGATGATGGGCCGAATGTTACTCAAATGGATGACTAGAATGTTACAGAAATATTGTATTCTATTATTTCAAACTTTGTTTATATTCAAAGAGTAAGTTATTTATCTTTTATTCGTCATTCGAAGTCTTTACCTAGATGAAAAAGTTTGTTCGTCTCTGAACAAGAGTTTACACAGTTGGAAACACGTTTATGTGCACGTGAGAGCCGCGTCTATAGAGTTCATGAGTAACTAGATCAGCGTATCGACTATTCCCCATCTGACATTCGCTCTGTTTCCATCCCAGTGCAAGCTAAACGGAAGAAAAAGCAGCCGAGGCCGTTGTACAGTATCGAGTACTCTCAGCCTGAGCCTCCAGTACACGATGACAGCGTCTCACCCAAGCCGATGACGCCTCGCAGAGTGAAGCGCAGGTCGGTGATCTCTCGAGACGGAACGCGAAGGTCCAGCCGCAGGAGCTCTGTGAGACAATCCCGCAGGAAGAACCCCGTGAACCGAATCATGGACCACCAGGAGAGCCTCTACGCCAACACCACGCCTAGCAACCTCACCAATCAGAACGTCAACTCCCTGTCCCAAGGTACCCTCAACTACGACCGAATCTCAATGACCTGGGACAGAGATAGGAACTCCAATTGGCAGCCAGAAGCTGTGAACATGGCCGTGTCCTCTCCCACTTTATGGAACCAGGACTCTTCCAACAACTACTCCAACACCACCAACTACACGAATCAAAACTATCCCAATTGGGACGCGAGCAGTTCTACTAGGAACCTGGCTGATAATTGGCAGCCTAGCGAGTTGAGCCCTATGCAATGGCAAGGCCAGAGTAATCCTACTTTCCAGCAGACCAGCACCCAGAGCCTGAACGGCGAGGATCTGGATGACTTATATAATAATCGACCAGCCAGCGCCAGGTCCAGTTATAGCAACTATCACGGGGTGAGGGCCACGCCACAGGTGCCTAACAGGACTGACATCGTCAGACAGAGCCAGAGACAATTCGTTCTCAGTGGACCCCCTGCTTATCAGGACACAGTGATTTGAGGTATCGCTGGTGATGTTGGGAGCTGGCAAGAAATGATCTTGGTTAGAGTTTACTGTCCTCGTTGTTTCATTCAATTAATAAGGAGACCAATTATGTTTGATTATGTCTCCTTGTGAGAAATACAGAGTGTAGTTCTCTATTTTCCATGGATGGGCAAAATTTTATTTGAATACAAAATTATATATGAAATATAGCAATCTATTTATAGCTACATTTCAAGAGAAATATCTATTCTACCTTATATTTGTTACATGAAAACTAACTAAGAATTTTGCCCATCTCTGCTACTGATCCGTGTTAAAGCTTGACTCTTAAAACACAAGTTTATTCTTGTTGATTCCCAACAGTAAAAGGCCTATGTTTGCTGTTATGGATGAAACGCAATAGCATGTTACTATGTACTTAACACTTTGTTACTTTTAAGTTTACTACAGTAAGTGAGAGAGATTTCTCTCGCTACTTCACCGACTATCAAGCTTTACTTAATCCTCTATGGTCCTATGTCGAGGGAGACTCGACAAAAATGTACTGAAATCAAAAATCTGGACCGCAGAGTATTAAACAGGGGATGCAATCCCTGTTTGAGCTGCATTTTGTTGTGTACAATCAGGACCCTGTGCAAGGGACATCTTGGTGAAATTTTAACAATTAGACTGTGAATTTCATTTAATTATAGCGTGTATTAATATAGAAAAATGATTCTGCACACGTCTAGCACATGTTTTTCATATTTAAATACGCTATAAATGAGTGTCCCTTTGTTATCCTATGTCGAGTGAGGTTCTACATAAGAAATCTGGATCACAAAGGGATAAAATTCGTAGTCTAATAGCAACGTTCGAAGGATTTCGAGACTAGCAATATTTCACAGATCTCGTAACGACCTTCCATCTTCTTAAACCTCCGTCTTTCATCTCAGGACTCAACGAGTCAGAGTTTCCCCCTTTTCCTAATAAACGTTTAGCTGTTCGCACATTTCACCATCGATACGGAACCGTAGAATGGTATATCTTTTATACGAAATATATATGTACATATAAAATTTAACTATACAAAATTTTCAATACCAATTTGTCGCAATGATCACTTTTTGCTATGCGCTTTTCTTTTTTCTAATGCAATTTATTAATTATTGCTTTACTTCGAGTAACTCGATCAAATATTGATCTGAGATTAATTGATAAAACAAATAATTCTTTTTAGATGTTACAAAACGATTTACAGCATAAAATGAATAACTAACGTCGTCGCAGGTTATTTAACTCGTCATTCAAATTTTCGTCATCTAAAGGATCATCTGTAAATATCCAGTTAATAATCATTGCCTCGAATCATTCTGTACAAAAAGAAGAACGACGATCATCCTTATTTATAATGTTTGAAGCACCTTGAAGCCTTAAAAACGACGCACTCACACGTGACTTATACAATTTAGGGAAATAGATAAGCACTCCTCTACTTTTCTACGTCCTATTTTCTAAAGGACGTGTTAAGATTTTTACCGAACGCCATTGTATTCTTGCAATTGTGTCATAGTCTTCCAGACTGCGAGAACAAAATAATTAAAAAAAAAAGTATGTATATGAACCGCTCAGAGATCGAGAAGGGATGATAAAAATCAAATTCTTCGAGAATCAATTCATCAAAGTAACGATGTATTAAAAATTAATAAAATGTGCGTAAAAAAAAAGTGATTAGAAGTAAGTAGAGTCACTCACGATTGGTCGCTGAGAGTTTCATAAATGTCCAGTGGCGTAACCAGAAATGTTGAGACTCGTGTATTAATAGTTATAGTGTGGCCCTTACAGAAGGAAGATAAATTTAAAAAAATACAAAGTGATATTTTTAATTTAAAAAAGAAGTAATTTCTAATAAGACAAAAATTATATTTTATAAAGTTGGGTCTCCTAAGTTACGCTACTGTATCGGTCTCGTGTAATAAGCGTATCGTTTTCAATGCACTGCGCGTGAAAAGTGCAATAAGAGTTTCTCGTCGGAGTTGCAGACTATTTTTTCATGCGGTGAATCAAAATACACATAGATTACGTCGATGGCGTTGTTGAGCTGCACGTGCCTCGATCAGAGATGGTCAGAATTTAATTTGAATAATAGCGGTGCCACAAGGTGATGCTACCACACGCCTCAGTGGCACCATTAGTTCCCATACTCGTCGTACGCTGAAACTATAGTGGTGCTCAGACTTGGTATAATCACTTACTGGCGGTATTTATTCGATCGAATCGTTAAATTCTTGTTTGTTCACTGTTGAATGAAATATTTTATTTTGCAATAAAAATGTTAAGATACAACTTATAGATAAGAATTTTGCCCATCTCTGGCCCCGAGAACTTTGCAGATTTACCTGGTAGGATGTGAAATGTAAACCAAAGTATTAAACATCGATGTAAGTTAACGATAATACTTGTAATTATTCTAATGTAAAACTGCCTCAACTTTTACTCTCTGACTGTCGTACAACGTAGGATTTAATTTTAGCGATCTCGCACACGATTGATTTAAGTACTTAATTCTCGTCGATGAAGAATCTCTTAACGCTTTGCTCATCGATCAGGATCACTGCACTTGCTGCCTAATACCGTAAATTGCATCTTCAATATTTCTTTATAAAATAAAAGAATAACGAAACAGTGGACTTTTAGTTACACAAGCATCGATGAACAGAGCATTGACTTGTTTTCACACTTTGAGTCGACGCGGAGTAGATGGGATTTAGCTTAAGAAAATTAGTATTAATTCGACGAGCGTTTCGTTGTTACATAATTTATGTTTAACGATAGTGAAATTCGCATGATTCTCGATATTGTCATTTTGGTGAGGTGATCTGTTGCCATACTGTGCGAGGGAAGAGCATAAATTAATTCGCGTTTATTTCTGCTTCAATTCTCCATCGCACAGTGCAGCGATTGTATTATTGTATTTTATTCTCGCGTATTCGTAGAATTATTGTTAGGTGTACTAGGTTTACACGAATGACAGCTATTATGAGCGCGCGAGGAGATTGCCATAAACTCCTCCCCGTACTCATCGAGACGCCGCCGCGCCGTGGGTTCGTGGCGCTCTTCTCGCTAGCGCGCGATACTTTTAACTATCAATCACGAACAATGTGTGTCGTTTTCGACGCAATCGGTATCTCCTTATTATCTGTTTACGACATCTCACGCTCAGGATTCAACTATACGTCATCACAGTGATACAATAGCCTCGTTAACGGGAACAACATGTTCTATGTTTTCTATGTATTATTGTTCACCACTATTGTACAATGTATTAGCAATAATCACAAGACAATAAACGACTACTGTTCGGGACTTTGTATCTTGGTTAATTGTTCATACGAATTACCTACAGTAGATAGTCAAGATCTCATTTATACATGTATCAGTGTCTATCTGAATTTAATATATAACAGGTAAGTTGGTTTCATTTATTCCCCCATTTTCGCTACTATTTTTATTCGATTCAGGTGAACAAATTTTTGTGTCGTTACTACGTATTAAAAAAGTAGCCCAAGTCGTCACCCACGTTCATTTTTCTCGCGCGGAAACAGTAGCACCCTCGCCCCAGGCCGAAGATAGTCCACTGCGTTTGATTCCCAACAAACAAACAAAAAAAAAAAAAACCGCAGTGTACATACAGTGTGTTGCGAAATTCAGAACACCGCGTCTAAATCGCGCATGTGCCCCAAGTGGCTGGCCTCTCCCCTGGCAGACGTCCCTTATAATAACCGCAGTAACTCCTAGTTGCCGGGACGTCGAGGGTCGCGCTATCGCGACACCGTCTCTGATAATACGTGCGTACGCGTGCGTGTCAAAGCCGTACCAAGTGTGCCAATCCTCCACCGCGTGCTCCTCAACGAGACAGGTCGTCTACGAGCGATCGTCAGGGGCTCGAGGATGCTGAAGATCGTCAAAGTTGGAGCTGACGGGCTCAGGAGGCTCCATACCAGCAACAAGGTGCGAAGAACTCTTAGTGCTGCGATTATTGATCCATAAAATTTGCAAGAAATTCGGTTCCCCCTCTATTGATCCACGAGGGTGCCTTTTAACCTTTTCCTTGCTGAATCGATAAGAGGATCATGTGTGTATCTCGCAAATTGGGAGCTTATGAATTTATGAAGAAATTAAGTAGACTTCAAGGTATCGTTGCCTCGATCTCAGAGAAGATGAATTGATATTGAACTTTAACTCATTCGGATAGATCGACGAGTCTGGCTCGGACCTGGGCCAAAACGTGCTAGCTACGAGTCAGACTCATAGCTGTCGGATTCAGATAGCGCAACGACGCAATTTGGTGACGAGGAGTGTAAAATAAATGAAAGCTGACTGTGGTAAGATGTCGTAAGGGATGTTTCCAAGATGCGATTCCTCAACCTTCGATCTAGAGCTATTCTGACACTAAACCAATTAATGTCGATTTTCTTTTACGATTCTCATGGAACAAAGGGCATAGAACTGACAGCGTGGTACTTGAAAAATAAAGAGCTCAAGTGCAAACTGGAGAAAACTATCGAGTGGCTGAAGAAGGAGCCTTGTTTGCAAAGGATTCGCCGCTTCTGTATTGATATAATGCGTTTAACGACGTCGTTGCGATTTCTTCAACAATTGTACGATTAACACAGTTGCACAGAGAAGCTAGTTGGTAATAGGGAGTTGGTTTAGAAGGGAGATTACAGGTTGAGAGCAAAGAGGGTGAAGGGACTCAGTGATTGACCTCGAGGATCAAGGACTGACAGTTCTATCCTCTTTGTTCCACGGATTTCGTTAGTAGGATATTTTGTAGATTTTTGCGAAAATAATAGTATCGATCCATCTACCCGTACTCTGCTTAAATCTATTCACGTTTGGCGTCCACGTGGGTGGCGGCAGTGGCCTAATTCAGCGACGAAAATACTCGAATGCCGCTGCGAGCGACGCACTTTAATCCGATCACTGTCAAGCGTCTTTTAGCAAGCTACGTTGCTGTCAATCATCTGTGATGTATCGTTCTACTGATAGACAAAGCATCTACCTAAGGACCTGATCAAGGGGGCCCCCTAAAATTAAGTTTTCAATCTATTTGTGTGAGAACTGTGCCAGCTATGTTACTCTAATAAGTAGAATCGTACTTTCCTATATGTAGATCTATCCCAGATCTACCCAGGGTCCCAAATAGAAGGGGTTCCCCAAAATGTGGAAGCCTGGCGCCACGAGGGATAAGCGCTTCTCAAGTTTTTGTTTTCGGGCGCGCGTCCTACTGATCCGTATTAGGGGTACACGTGGCAGGTTTCGGCTTAGAGCACTATAGGGGTCGATTCATGGAAAGATCAATACAGCCATGCTTGGCAATGGTCGCTTTTGCACCCTTTTGCACGCTACAAAGATTCGGGAGCATTTTGTGTTAGGGGTGCCAGGGGAGCACAATGACGTCGGACCATCGCAACGTTCCACGTTCATTACAATCATTATTATTAGACTAGTAATCGAAATTCTACAAATTTCTTCGTAGCCGTCATTAGAAGGATGCAAAATTTACTAAATGCACTCTTCTCGCACGCGAACAGTACTTTACACGACAGAAAACGATTATATTGATACGTTCAATGCGTACACGTTTCCTTGAAATTATCGTATTTTTTTGAACATCTATTAAAAAAAAAAAAAAAAAAAAATGTCGAATTGAGTAACCTCCACCTTTTCGAAGTCGGTTAAAAAACATATGGTTCTCGATGACGTCAATGATGCAACAGGGATTCTGATTGCCACGACGGAATTGATTGGTTGCAGAGACGAGCCGCAGTACCAGCGTCGAAGAAGCTTGGAATTTTAAAATACTTGGACGCCGCTTACGGAAGTGCCTTAGAATTAGAACGCGCGCAGACACGGTAACGAACACGTTCTTTACCCTTGCAATTACTTATTACACCCTTCCCCCCCCCCCCGCCCTCCCTCCCTTCCCCCTTGTCGAGCTGACAATTTCGTGAAATCATAACAAAATCGCGTTCTGTAATTTTCCGTTCGAAATTCTTCCATTTATTTATCAAATTCCTCGTTTTAGAATCTTTTGGTCACTTCGGTTAGAGCGTACCCTGTTTAAGAGGCGTCGAGTGCGTAAGACGTCGAGCTGTATAAAATCCGTTTCCGTTAAAATCCGAGAGTGCCTCTTAGACAGGATTCACTCTGTTATTAATAATTTGAGCAGCGTTGCAGTAAATAGCACGAAAAAAATCATGGAATATCTTGACGAGTACATCGATAAGCAAGAAAAGTTTAAATTTGAAAGGTTACGTACTTTTCTCCCCAAAAAGTATTTCAACTGAGACAAGCGAAGGATCCTTAAATTTAATTTCGTGACTATGAATGTTCGTCAAACGTTACCCTAATCCGTCAGTGTCACTCTGAGTAGTTTCTGCATAGTTAGACAATGAAGAATGCGAGTTCTCATTGTCAGTTATGCAGAGTGCAGCAATTAAGCGATACGACTCGGTGTTTTGTTCGAGCGTGTAAGTCGACACGTAATTATGCGTATGATTCGCGAATTGCGCATGCCCTCGACTGTTAAAGGAGAACCATAACGGGAGACTAGGTTCCGAGTGACATACAAAGCGTGCGAGGCATAACGATGACGATGGATTAGAAAATTAATGAAATATTCTATTGTGATCTTTGACGTAATTAACTATGAATTCATAAATATTAATTACGGTAATCGATAGTTCAAATACCAAGAAGGAAAGAGATAAAGTTTTGCGATCGAATGCAGCCATGAAAGGGTTGATAAAAAAGTAATTCAAATAAATAAAATTAATAAAAATACAATTAGTGCAAGATGGAGATGGTCTAAAGATTTGAGATTGAGAACCGTCAATTAATGATTGCATCGGATTCATTGGTTCCCCATTGTGCACCGCCCAATGCGCGTATCTATTTCTTCATTGTTCCTCGACTAAAGAGAACAAGATAAATGATTAGCCTTATTTTAAATAAGCAACGCAGACGTTTGTGGCGCTTCGTATAAGCAATTGGTCTATTACACGTATCAGTTGAAGTTCAATTAGAGTGGCGAACTTATTCATTTATTGTCTGAATTGTGCAATCGATTACCACTTCAACATTGCAATTACAAGGTTGAACAGCAATCTCAAGCCTGTAGGCAGTACTCGGAGTGTGTAGTAAATTATGTACACCGTAAACACGTTTTATAATTGTAGACGTATGGCGACGTTTAAAATGACCAGGAGTGAAACTAATCTAGAACTAATTCTTCCAAATAAAAATGTAAATGACTATTCATTTTGGCCCTGTTCGATATCTACAATATTAATAAAGTATAACGAAAATTACAGTGAGAGTAGCGTTAAGAGGTTTAATAATATTTTGGGTTTCTCTGGAATGGATAATGGTTTATCTCTGCTGTAAAAACTATTTCTAATCTATTCCAACCTATTTCTTATTTATTTCTAAATTTATTCCTAACCTACCTTCGTTTAAGTAAACATTTCATCTCTATTTCTAACTATTCCTCTACAATTTCTATAAAACTTCGACGACCGTAAAGATTCCCTTCGTGCTTGGGTGTCTCCTCTACATTTATCGATGAGAACCGTCAATTTTCATAGATCCGACCCCAAGTATCGCGATTTATTGTCTCAACGATGCCGCTCCGCATTTAAATACGTTCTGGAGACGATGGCTCATTGTTCGCCGTAACATTGTCCGATCACGAAACGGAGGATCTTCGCGGGAAGATCGCGCGTTCAAGAAGAGTCTCGCGTTGAAGTGGACGTTGAAATCGAGCTCGATATTTCTGAGAGTGATGGACGTGTTCGATCAAGTACCATCGACCTCCGAGCGGAAATCGATGGACGATTTCAACTTCCCTGGACTCTCTATGGAGGACGTCGCTGATTTTTATAACAATTGGCCTCGGTGAGATTTAGAGAGTTGTTGTATGGCTGTTTTTTATTTTTTGTATATATTTTGTATATATTTTGTATTTCTATATGTTGTTGTATGGCTGTTTTTTATTTTTTAACGGATGAAATTTTATGGCGGGGGAAATTGCGCGTAACTTTACTGACGAGGAATGCTGATATTTTCTGAGAAATAAAAGATAAATCTGAGGAAATATCTTTTGTACGTTCGGTAACGTTCGAGAAGAACAATGTTATTAGAAACACTCGGACATACACGACTCTAATTGAATCTAATCGATCGTCCAACCATAGGTGGTATCTACCATTCGGTGTTCGTCACGCCAATTTGCACGTTCAACCTCGTAATTTCCGTAAATTATATTACTTTTGCGCGCAATAAGAAAATCAATTCGAGTCAATACTGTATTCTTCGGTTGAGAAACAGTTTCGTATGAAATATTTGCTGGCAAGGAATTTTTAAACGTTGAGCATAGCCAAACGTTGGATAGCCAAGAAACTAGATAGATAAATTCATGTTCGTTTTGTCAAAGAAAAGGAAAATTGAAAAGTGAACAATCTATACGAATAATTTTGCTGATTAATTTTGATTAATTTCGATCTAATTTCATGCCCTCGTAATCTAATAAAATTAAATAAAAAGGTTTATATTCTCCTAATCTGTTGATTCATTCATCCAAAGAGCAAACCCATCTAATCTTTCACGTTTTAAAAAAAATTAGATACGCACATATAAAACCTAGCGTTGGTTCACAGTCCACTCTAATGTGTTCTCACTTGCGCAATGCGAAACCACCAACAACGTTTCTTGAGATTTTCAATTAACGAACCCGCTTGCTACCGGAAGTATTGAAAATCTAGCTTGACCAACTGACACCTGCACTATTTTTGGCTCGTATGTTTTTCTCTAAGGGGGGTCGCAAGCTCGCATTTTGCGAACGCTATAAAGACACGGTCTTCCTCCATTTTGCACACACGAGGTAGCGAAGCAACGCAATATCGATCGCAGAAAAATCGTCGAACGCTCTCGATCGTTCGCGAAGCGTTAAACGAGTTTCCACCTTGGTTACTTGAACTATCAAACGACTTCTTCTCAAAAAGAAATACAAGACTGAGTCATCGATGCAATCGTAAAGTGGAAGAGGGAGAAGAACGAAAGCATCGTTATGCCTGGCATACAGAAGAAAGATGATAAGATCTCAAATGGAAATATGGAGTTAGTCCCGTTGGAAGGCGAGAAGGAATACTCGATCAGGTCGAAGGTCGCGTGCTCCATCTGGATAGAAAAGAATGGTGTTCACAAGCCCAAAGTGATGCTGGCGCGATTCCTTAGGTAACGAACCTAATTTTATCGTGTATTGATCCTCGTTTTCGTTGTGTTTTTCCAGCGACTACAGCTTCATTCATGACAGCCACTACATGTAGTGAGTACTATCAGACCTTGTATTACGCATTGTAGTGCATGGAGGGGGCAATCATTTGCTGGAAGTTATCAAAAACGTGATACTGGAATCATATTGAATTAATGAAGAATTAAGGCATATTTTTTGTTTAATTTTCCTATTCTTCAGTTTTCACTGCGAGTATAAACATTAGATTTCATTGATAATTAAATGTTATCCAGGAATAATAAAATAACAAAAGCAATCTTCCACAAAGATACTCCAAATATTCAAGAACAAATGATTTTTTCAAAATCTATACCTCAACGAAGTTGTTAACTTCTGAGATAAACATTCTATGTTTTTATTTTCTTTTTGTTCCTGCGATGTCGATGATAGTGCTGCGTACGCGACATGTCATCAGCATATAGCTGGAACTGGATGTGAGAAAACAAAGACAAAACAAGGATAAATTATGGGGTTCGGTTATACATACATGAATATTAAAGATAAGCAGAAAAAAAGACAAAACAGCTGGCTAACTGGTTGGTCCAGGCCAGCTAAAAATGGAACGTCGCCGTGAACACTGCTTTTGTCATCTGAAACAAGCTGTATTATATCTAAACAAGACTATAGGCCCTGCTACTTAATAAAACGTTAATAAATCAAAGTCCAACTCATAATGGACTTCGGAGGATTTGAAAAATGGTAACCCTCCACTGCAATAAAAACAATTATAGTTTGTTATGGCGATGTCTAAGGTCTCTGGATCAATTAAGCCAAGAAATAATTTCTTATTTAGAAAATAAAATCATGGTCAAATTAATAACTAATACCCGAAAATAAAATTCATGTAATAGAGGGTTAAGAAGATTTAAAAGTAGAGTTATGAATGCGTCTGATGAATACGTCAACGAAAACTTGTTAATTAGGGACGTCACGAGCAGACGATGCGCGTAAATTAGCACTATACGATCACACTTTGTTCAACCTATCGGTGAATGTATAGTTGCAGTACATATTTAGCTTGTCTCGTGATAGGAAGAGTAAATTTATCGTGGCTGTGTACTAGTTCTACGATGCCTCTATGGTTCGGAGTTTTGTCGCATATTTGTCGTAGATACCTTTCGACAGTGTAGATAGCTTTTTGGCGTGTGCCTTTGTTTGCATGTGTAATCGTTTCCCTGTGTTTGATATTCGTGATTCAATCGAGATTAGAATTGGTAGTTTCGAAAACAAGCGTATCATTTAGCAACGTTTCGACTACTTGATTTTTGTGAATCTGTGAACAACACAATTACTTTTTTGCTCTTATAAAGTTTCATTAAAATTACCACCTGCCAATTTATTCGCCATTATTTCAATGTTTCCAGTACCAGAGACCAGGACCAAGCGACAAATGCCGAGGATGTGCTATTCGACATGTTCAAAAACGAGGAGACTGGTCTTCTACCGATTGGCAAGTTCTTGGCCGTGAGTAACTATTCCATCTCACCCCTAACGAGCCACCGCGAACCTGAGTCAATTAGTCCGGGTGGCCCTGGTCAAGGCTAGACGCTCTCGTTACGTTCTACATTATCTTGTTTTCGCTCGAAGGCTTTGAGGACGACCGGTTTACGAAACGACGACCCCAGACTTCAAGAATTCACGGACAATTTGCGGAAAGAGCACTTGAGGGGGGGACACGAGGGTATCTCGCCAGAGACGCAGAAGCTGAACAAGGAACAGTTCAGAAGGTAAACGACTCCTACTTCAATCTCCTTTTTTAATTATTTTTATTATCCTTTTTATTGGCAATCAGTTTGGTTGCCGTCTCTAGAATAAACAAGGAATACTGTATTAAATTGGAATGGATCTTCTCATTGTTAATCTCTGTGGCACCATACATTCTGTCTTTATTGCTACCTCGAACCATCCTGAAACAATAAAATTATCATGAAATACTAGTTCCTACTACTACAATTTCACCAGCAGTGGCTACATGCTGAAGGAAGTTAACTATGTCCCTTGGAAATCTCTCGTGGATATAGCATCACTTAATCTGACATTCTATAGATCAAAATTTGGAAATCCCTAACTCTGTCCTTATACTGGACTGTATATTCTAAATCATTTGAAAATTAAATCTCTTATTCCTTATCCCTTTTCTTTCTTTTTTTTTTCCTACCAATTCCTCAATTAGCCTCCTGCCCTTGCATATTCGTTATACGATCCTCTATCTACCGAAGACATTTCCGCTCCGATTTCAGGGTCATCAATCCCAACATAGTCCTGATTTCGAGGGCGTTCAGACACCAGTTCATCATTCCTGACTGGTCGGGTTTCACCAAGCACATAGAGGACTTCTATTGGAAATGCAAGTCGAACTCCGAGGGCAAGGTCGCCTCCTACATACCACAACTGGCGAGGATGAATCCGGATTACTGGGGCGTCTCTGTCTGCACGATCGATGGACAGAGGTTCAGCATCGGCGACACGTCCATTCCCTTCACCCTGCAGAGCTGCAGCAAACCTCTGACCTACGCCATTGCTCTGGACAGGCTAGGCCAGGAAGTCGTACATCAATATGTTGGCCAGGAACCGTCTGGACGAAACTTTAACGAGTTGGTGCTGGACTATAACAGTAGGTTGCCTTCTAATCTGGCCACATCACCAAAGTGTTTACTTTGACTTTCTATTGATTCTAAAACTCTTGATTCTATATTCTTGTATGTCGAGAAGGATACGTAGAAGACTCTCAGAAAATAGCAAAAACCCACCCTCTCTAGTTTTTGAGAAATAAATTCTCAAACACGAGAAATTTATAATTTTGATTTTAATCGTGGAGCGAAACGTTAAAAAACGTTATTTTTGAGCTTATTCTGGATGTTCTTCCATATATGTAAAAAAGCACGAGTCAGAAACTCCTACTATAGTTCACGGTTATCTTCCATTAAAACCTAAGCAACAATTTGCACTTGAAAACGAAACTTCTTCGACAGAGAAACCCCATAACCCCATGATCAACGCCGGCGCGATACTGGTCTGTTCCCTGTTGAAGTCTCTGATCAAACCAGAAATGACTCTAGCCGAGAAGTTCGACTTCGCCATGAACTACTTCAAGAAGCTAGCTGGTGGGGAGAACCTAGGCTTCAACAATGCTGTCTTTTTGTCCGAGAGAGAGGCTGCTGATAGGAATTACGCTTTAGGATTCTACATGAGGGAGCACAACTGTTATCCCGACAAGAGTAATCTGCGGGAAATAATGGACTTCTACTTCCAAGTATGTGTATCTTCTTCCAAGACGAAGACGTTTCTTCGAGAGCCTCAAAGTTAAGTTATAGTGTCTACAATGTTCTTGCGTTACAAGTGCTGCTCTATGGAAGCTAACTGCGACACGATGGCGGTGATGGCAGCTACTTTGGCCAATGGAGGCATTTGTCCCATCACAGAGGAGAAGGTCCTGAAGCCTGACAGCGTTCGAGACGTCCTCAGCCTGATGCATAGCTGCGGCATGTACGACTACAGTGGTCAGTTCGCTTTCAAGGTGAGTTTCATTGATCCTTTTAAGTCTTAGGACATTTTTCATTAACCATTTTGCTGAACAGAGGAAGGCTTACCTCACAGGAGATTAGCATTGGTACACTGGATGCAATCTGAAAAGTAATAGAAATGAAGTATTCAAAAATTGAGTCGATACCAGAGACCACAGTTGTTTCATGTTTAAAGAACAACTTTAACTATTCATATTTCAACTAACGTCTTTGAAACTATTAGAGTAACAGAGTGTTAGAGTTTTGAATACTTCGTAGTACTAAGATATAAAATGTCGTGATTGAGTGGTGGGGAAGATTGATTCACTTCTAAATATTTTAGAGCGGTATTGTGAAAGAAAATGAACGTTTGAACGTAGGTTGGTATACCAGCGAAGTCCGGGGTGTCTGGTAGCCTTCTGGTGGTCATTCCTAACGTAATGGGTATTTGCACGTGGTCGCCACCCTTGGATCCTCTTGGCAACTCGTGTCGTGGCGTGCAATTCTGCGAAGAGCTAGTCACAGAGTTCAACTTCCACAGGTACGTAGACCATTTATCGATACACGATTAGTTTCAATGCAAGATATGTTGATAGTTTTGATAGTAGATGCAATTTTCACACGTACGTTCAACACACTTGCACGAAAACTTTATACACTTAACGGCAAAGATGTGCAAAATTGTATTCAAGTTAAACTCGAAACCGCTCATCTTTTTTGGTTGTTAGTAGACTACGGATGTTTATGTAAATTCTCATGTTTATTGATCCGTATAAAGAATTATTTTTGCAATTGTGCGCATTTTCATGGATCCGCCAATATTTTCATTCGTCGTAAATACATAAACATCCGCAGTTTAATTATTATAAATATTTATTCAGATACAGATTCCGCCCATCTGTGTCTAACCATCTAGAATGCAAATTATAGAAAAGGAAACAAACAATTAGAATTTCTCGCACAAGTTTATAATTTTCACCACGAGATTTCGCGTTTGATTATCTCCGACTCAACCCTTTCGTTGCCATAGTCGTTCATGAATCAACGAAAGAAATTATCCGATTGATCAGTGTTTTGCGTGTTAGAAACGCCCATGGGCGTTCGAGGAGCATACGAAGTAAATGAGTGATTTAGGCTCCCGCACAGAGGGGTTCGAAGATAGAAATGATCGGCGACGAAAGGGTTGAAATGGAATTTCGAACCTGGACTTAGTGATAACACATTAATTAATTATTTATTTCCTTCCCTTTGCTTTTCTCACAACCTCCACAACACGCATACCTGCACGAACAAAAATCCGCCTGCAAAATGTCTGCCCACATCATCGAATCTAAACACACGGACGACTATCGACCGACGTCACTGGGACTATTTTCTTTGTCTCCCGTCATTTTCCATCCCGTCCCGATTAGTGTAGCACCTACTATGATCACAGGTACGACAACCTAAAGCACGCGACGAACAAGAAGGACCCGAGGAGACACAAGTACGAGACCAAGGGGCTGTCCATCGTCAACCTCTTGTTCAGCGCGGCTAGCGGTGACGTAACTGCCATGAGGCGGTGAGTTACCATTGATATCGTTAACTAATCTTTTTTATCTCAACCATTTTTTTCGAGAATCAGTGCAATGGGGTGATTTCAATCACAGATGTTCAACAATTTAAATGAGGGTGTTAATATATATAAAAATGGCTGATCCAATACGACGGTTTGAAACAAAAAGGAGCGTGCTAGGACTCATCTTCATCGGATAAACTCTATGAATTCGTTTTAACCCTTTGCGCTCGGGTGGCGCCTCTAGGGCGACATACGTAATTTAAAAGTATTAGGTCGTCCTAAAAGTTCGCGCCATTTATACTTCTATTTCTCAAATTAATATGTGAAACATACTCTTAAGCGTCACAAGAAAAGATAATCTGTCTCATTTCACAATAGTTTCTCACCTCTCTCACATAGTCATTATACCGTTACTAGAAAATTTCTGTGGTTTTTTATTAAATTTCGACACAGTCTTCGGCACGAACATATGGGACGACCTAATACAATTTCAAACTCACTTACATCAGAATACAACTAATTATTAATTGAAATAATAATACATTGAGTCATGAACGTTCGTAGATGTTTTTTTATTTTTCGATGTAGAGTTTTTGGTTTCACAGAAATTTATTATAAAAATGGACGGGATTTGATTCTATAGGAAAATGCCTCGAGCCCAAATGGTTAAATTATTGATATTCAGGAGAAAGAAGCTAAAGTAAGTTATTTACGCGACTACTCTAATTCCAGGCATCGATTGAGTGGGATGGACATGACGCTGTCGGATTACGACGGGAGGACAGCCCTGCACCTGGCTGCCAGTGAAGGACACTTCGACTGCGTCGAGTTTCTGCTCGAGCAATGCGGAGTCCCGCACGACCCCAAGGACAGGTAACGTCGTCATACTTAATTTCGTGACCAGATATCGAGTAATTTGATCGACAGTGGTTCCTACCGAGACTTTCTCTCGTCTACTTTCGTTGCGCCATCAGGAGGACCAGATTGCTGTCCCAACAGTCACTCGATCTCTATATTCCTTTTTTAAAACGTTAACCGCCAGGATCTCTAAATTTTCCATTAAAAGGAAATCAGATTTCTGGCCACTGTATTATCAAAATTAAGAGATAAAAAAATTAAATGGAGTTAGCGAGAGAAAGTAAAGTCTTCAAAGTTCCAAGTCCAAGAGTAAAAGTCGCATGTACGTGACAATGGCGGCGTATACTGGACCTTCATTACTGGTATGTGGCGTTGAATCATTGCGTTAAAGAATAGAAATACTTCCAGATGGGGAAAACGACCGATAGACGAGGCGGAAACCTTCGGACACATGCAAATAGTGGAGTATCTCAAAAACTACGCGCTGGCTCGCAAAACGGAAATAGAGGATGAGGTGAAGGAACCGGAAGAGGAGACGACGGAGCCGAGGAAAGTCGTGGAAACGGCGGGCCAAACACCGTTGCCCTAAACGACGCTTTAGATAGGATATTTTTCATGGGTAACGTGACGTGCGTGTGAGATTCCCGAGTAAGAATGATAATGGGAACCCGAGGTCGTCGTGAATTGATTATTTTCGTACGGTGCGGCTGATTTATGTTCGTTTCTACTCTAACTTTTAAGTATTAGCCTAGTGTTACGTCTCTCTGTGACCCTCTCTATCAATAGAATTTACATTTTTTTTAATTTATGCATCTCAACATACATTTTGGAATTTAAAACAAAGTGATTGGCAAAAATGGCTACCATGGAAATGTATCCTTGGAAACTGATGAAAATGTGTTGGTGTAAACTACTCGATCAAATCTTCCAATATTACTATTAGTTTATTAACAATTGTTTGGCAATGAGAGGATATAATTTATCGTTCAATATTCGTAATACTTAAAAACCATAGAAACGACACCTTTACTATTTAATTTGTCCTCTTCGGGTACAGAATTTATTTTCGTTCTCACCAGGAATAACGATAGATCCAGGTATATATTTTTCTTTTAAATTTGTTATGTAATATCAATGCGTTTTATCATTTCCATGGTTTGCTGGAAGTTAACAATGCTTAGATATTCTAAACTCCCAATAGACTGAGCACAATGGCAGCCGGAAATATTCTGGACTTTCGTGAATTTCTAGAGTTCTTCATGTATGACTAATATATTTAAGCATTGTCGACTTCCATCAAACCATTGAAATTATGAAGCAATTATTACGTAGCCAATTTAGGTCGACAAGCTTAAATTTAGGCTGTTTTTTTTTATCTTTCCGTTGTGGATCGGAAAAGACGGCCATTTTGGTTTATTATCTGAAGTGGACCACAAACAAGGTGGCGTAATCGTCGGTCACAAGTTTTTCAATATTTATGTAGAAAGAACAAGAATAAAATTTAATAAGTTGCTACTTGTTAAAATTATATTTTGCTATTTATGAAAATGAAAATACTTTTCGCGGAATTCCTGATTTTTTCATTTATGAAAGAATAGTTTATCGTGGCATTTTTAATGTCAAAATAGTGGATTGTTTGGGTTACAGAGGGCTAGCGTGTAAGCCATGCGTTACTTAGAAAGACGATAACGATCATTTACAGTATTATTTGCGCGTATCTGTTGAGATCTCGATCTGTTTCAATGAAAGAGCGCCTAAGATGTGGTAATAATTTATAACGAAACCATCGATAGATCATAATTGAGTTTTTTTAATGCATTAAACGTAGATAACTCGATTAAGAATCCGGAAGATTGTACAAGAGATGAAATGTACACCGAAGGAACATCTTCGTATAGATAGCGTTTTATTCGTTTATGTGATACTCGTTCCTATTTATCTACTAATTCAGACTACGTTTGCCACTTTTTTTTAAATAAAGTCTGCAACCGAGATTGATCTACAAGAGCATCCTTTGTTTTAAACTCTACAGTTTTCGCAATTAATACGATAATTTTGTACCAATCCTTGCACTTTGTTAAAGGTTTTACATTAGAAGAAAATTCATTGTCTAAACACACTTTCATATTATCAGCGATGGGTCACTTATCATTCGAAACACTTATCCCTAAGGATCATTCATTCAATTAAATTTTACTACTTCTGACTCAAACATTTAAAAATAAACAAATGATTTAATCAACCTCGATTACTTTATACCTAAAGTGATAAATGACCTTGGTAAATGTACAAACCCTAATTATATTTGGACAAGTTTGACGTAGAACAATACTGATTAGTTGTGCTGACAATAAGTCGTTCTTCACGGGAGAACATTTTTTATAAATATTTTTCGAAGGTGGAATGTGTGGAAGGCAAGGCACTCGCGAGTTAGGCTTCTAATCGATTTTGACCATCTAACAGCATGGTCCAAGTGTATCGAAACGAGATTATGAAACATTGAGTCTGACTCGGTTGCAGACTCCGTGATTTCGTGACTCAATGTTCGCGACCTCGTTCCATTTAAATATGTAAGAGTTCGGTCTGAAAGCGAAGCAGCATATTATGAACAGGAACTGTGATCCTCCGCGTCGTATGCGCGAAGCCATAAACGAAATTAGCTTGTACGATCGCGAACAAACGAACAGAACTACCATAAGTTAAGGGGGCAAAGTGCGCTGAAGCATTTTTTGTTTCCTGTACGAGTAATATATTTCCACTGTTTATTCGTTAGCTAAAACGGTTGAAACTTCATTGGACGTAATTGAAAACAAAGTGCTTTCAAAGTACATATTCGTCGAAAGTGAATTTCAAGAATTTTTGAAATTAATTTCTTTCGTTTTAAACATGAAGAAAGTCCAGAAAATGAAAATAGAATTTTAAAAATGTATATATATATCATTCTTTTGTTTAATATTTGATGGAAGATTCATATTTTACAAATTGTCTAATGAAGGATCAAGGATGCCACTATCGCCTTTCGTCAATTACTTCAAAGTCTGCCTTAAAGTCGACGAGAAATGGGTGTACGCGAGCAGAAAGCAAAGAATCAACTGATTAGCTGCCTGGCAAAAAAAAAAAGAGAAACTAGCCAAGAATCGAAAACGTGAATATATAATAAATTTATTAGAGAATACAGATTGTATCTCGTCCGATGAACATGACGTTTGCCGCGTTAGAATATATTTCTCGAATAAACACAGTATATTCTACATATCGTTCAAAGTGCGTTACCTCATAAATGTTGCGCAATCTTTGCCAGAATGTATTTTCCAAAGGACGAAGGATAGTAAGAATATATTTATCTCGCGAGCAAGCGGATCTCCTTCCCTCCAACTATTCGTGATTATTCAGAGGTGGGCAAAATTCTTATTTAGATAAACTATTCGAATAACGAATGAGGGTTACTCGTTAAGTAAAAACTCCAAATTAAACTACAGAATTGAATATATCACAATGAGCGAAGAAAAGTAAAACTACAAAATATTATAAAGTACAACTATTCGATCGAATAAACGTCACGAATAAATTGCTATACGTTAATCGTATTCGTTATCCATTATTCGAATAAAATTTTGCCCTATATCTGCCATCTTTCGGAGTTTAAGTTCAGATAGGAAGAGACAATAATTTTTATTAATCAAATCGATGCTTTGATTGGGGATCAAACTATTTTCAATAGAAGTAGTCAAGAATGGGCAAAGTTTTTATCTAAACAAAAGTTTCAAATAACGAATAAAAGGCAAATAATATTTAATCTGTAATCATTTCTAATCTTAATAACTGTACGATCATCTTCAATGTACACTTACACAATAGTGCACTACAGACGTTAAATATATGATGAATAAATTATTTAAATAAAACTTTGCCCGTCTCTGGAAGTAGCAACATCGTTGAACGTTCGAGTTTCATTATAAACGCAATTTTCAATATGAAAATCATAGTTCGAGAACAAAAATCATTCGTGTGTTAATTGCGTTAAGTTCCGAGAGCGAATGAGTTTCAGTATTAATTGCTACGGTCGATTAAGTTAATTTGTAAGATATTAGTTTCGAGATACTGTTTCATTTAGGGAAAACTATTCTGAACAACTTGTACACTTTCATCCTTTTACCACAAAGTTGCTTGTGAAATAAATGTTCAAAGTAAACATTCGTTGTTCTTTGATTGATAAAACAATACGTGCCTCGTTTATGAAGTGAGTCGTTACGCTATGACCTGGTACGGTTGATCGAGAAATCGATGTCCACGCTGGAGTCCAAGCTAAGCTCCGACACTGGACGTCTTCCCCCACTTTGGATACGCGTACCGCGACACGCACATGTCGCGATCCACTCTCCCCTATGCGCTACTACACCCTGACGCGTGTCTCTCTCTGCTGCGGCGAGTAGAGAGGGAAGCCCGCGGCTACCCATTCGCGCATGGATTCCTCTTCTCTGATTAATGTCGATAGCTTTATTAAACATATACATTCTTTCGTTTGTTTATTGTTATTATGTAATTTATGTAAATTTTTGGATTAATCTATATATCTTTCATAATGTTAATAAATGATTTATTATTGAAAAAAGTAACGAAGACGATTGCTGTTTGAATAACTACGATACTAAGCCATAAAGCTAACTATACACTGGTGTCCGAATATTTCTGTGAGTCACTGTATGTACTCCTTTTCATAAATGTTTTTTTTATGCTACAAAGTAGCTCTAGTCTCTCTTTTTATGTTATATAAATATTACACCTTCATTTACTATATAAAATTGTTGATTAAATATTGTTATTTATCGAATATTCTTAAATTCAGTATTCTATTAGGATGTGTGTCCATTCTAAAACATAATATTCGTTGAAATAAAAATGACAGTTTGTATTGTGGAATGAAACAATTTGATAATTATCGAATAAAAAGGTACTTATATTTTAATTATAAAATTTTAATTATAAATTATAATTTTGCCCGTCGAACATTGTTTAAATAACGAATAACAGAGAACGCGGAATCGTCGTTCAAAGTTCTGGCATTCATCGCCAAACATTCGCATTACGTCACGGGGAAAAGAATTCCGTGTATGGAATTACAATTAAATAGTTAATTTTTGCAACGATGACCATAGACTGACGCATAGAATAAACACTATTAAATTTTCTTGCACGTCGATACTATTCGATCCCTTTCACTCACGTATGACTTCAAGAAGTTACTCTTCAATTCTAACTTCTTCACCTACGGTTCAAACTTCTTCCATTTTATCATTTAATCTACAAGTGTACAATTTTCCGGAATTTTCTTCAATTTTTAATTACTCTACAGCCTTCTCTCTTCAATTAAATTAATTTTGTATTTTAATGGATTATTACTTTATCTTTTTTCTGGTAGATCGTTTCAAGACGCATACAATGACCTGTGAGCCAAGGTCATTCAAGGTCGTCGAAGGTCAACATGATATATGTACTAATTATAACGAAGAAATAGCCAATGAAAGGATGGATAAATATTTATATTAAAGTTTAACTTGAAACGTTTTGTAGTTTTTCTTTTAAAAATCCGAAAAATTACCCAGACATTGAGGTGTTCTTCTATCGTGTCCCAGCAGAATTACCGGATGTGCGACGGTCATCGCGTAAGCTAACCTAACTTAAATTTTACGTTGGGTTTTCCTGGTCTGCCATCGAATTTCGACGCGCGTCAAAGCGAGTCGTTTACGAATGAGTCACCAAGGCTAACCGTCTCAATGAAAGGTTCCCACTGATTCCCACTGTTGTTTCGTTTCATAACAACAGTAAGATTCGTATCGGGGGACATGCTCGTTCCGAGGATTTTGACCCAATGATCTTCATTTCTACATAGTAAATCGGTATTCCTTTTTCTTTGAGACTAAAGGCAACGTTTAAAAAGAAGAATTCTGTTAATTAAATAGTTGAACCCACTCCACGCGTACCATATAACTAATTACAAGGACTAATGAAATAAGAACATTTTGAGTAGGTTTGCCGACCGTGAATCAAGGAGCGGGATTCCCCGCAGGGATCTAATTGGAAGTCCTCTCGCGAGGTTCTGGAATTCTAACTAGCGGTTTATGGTGTATGATTCGAAAGGAGTCTATGTCATCTATTTATTAAACTCTGGTATCATACGCTCCGTATGAATCACTGCCGTAGGTGGAAACCTCGGGGCAGTAAATGAAAATAAACAAGAAAACCTTCGGTAGGATTCGACGGGTTTTTTCAGTCACAACTTCAACGTTTCCGAAGAAATAGTTAAGGTTAATTTCGTAGATCCATTGTTCGAGAAATAATTATTCACTGGACTTTCCAACGCGTGCCTGCGTTATTAAAAAAATTATTTAAAAATGCTTGTATTTCGAATTTTAGATAACCCAGCTCTGAAATACAGTGATCGCACCGAATTAGGATATAAAAAGTGACGAACTTTGTTAATTTAAGATATTTTTAAATACAAAAATTGCAACACAGAGAATTTTCCGTTTGTCCCCAAGAAATTCACAAATATGCACCTATTCTGGGCCATACGTAAGCTTCCTCCCTTAAGAAGTCCAAATGTTAATAACGAACATTGTTCTTCTAAGAAGACTCCATTACGCATTCTGATTTCCCAAGTGCACTTTGCGATATATCGTGGCTTATCACTGATAGATCACTGGCAATAGTTCGCGTTCAACTCGCAAGGTTATTCGACTTATCGCTCAATTCAGCTTTTTTTCTGCAAATGTTGATGGTAAACAACGCGAGGCGATGCGAGAATGACGAACTTATCGTGCTCTATGGAATTTCGAAGGAGCATGCTCGGCTCGTCGAGGCTGCAATTATTTCTTTATCGAAATAAATCTCTAGGGAGGCCGGGTCTTGGGGTTTCCTCGTCGTACGTTAATAGAATTAATTGCAGATAACTGCGTGATATCCGTGGACCATTATTATTAAAACGGAATTATTTATCGCGAGAAGATCATCTTCTGCATACTTGCACCGGATTGCCCGCTTCGCTGGCTCCATGAAAATTATTGGTCGAACGGTTTATCAACGATCTGGAACTGAATTTTTCTCGCGATTAATAATATTTTTCTCACGATGAGACCGAGTGAAAATTATTATTAAAGTGTCGCATCGAATATTTCGCATGTTATTGTTTACACAATTGTTTGTTTGCGCTTCGATCACATTATGCTGCGTTACATCTTTAATCTTTTATTTTGCTTTTATTTTGATAGATGCGTGGACATGTTTCAATCGAAGTAAATAAATGCTTCAATTGAAGAAAATCCTAACTTAATTTTCTCTTAAGCCTACTGGATATTATTAGAATTATCAGAGAAATAAGTTTGAAGCATTTCTGTTAAGTTACATCTAAAAGTTTGTTGAATGTACTCGGTTTGAACGGTAGCGTAAAAATCTGAAGATGTCCCTCGAGGAGTTTTACGGATCAAGTCAATTATAAGATTTATTTTCTGCCTCTCGGTGTAAAAATATCAACCGGTTCCTGGACCTGATTTGCATAATCGCTTAGGCTCGGACGCCTAAGCAAAAACAGGCACACGCATAACACGGTATATGGTCTGTGATCGTTAATTTTATACACTTGGGATAACCTGTGTACCGAGTTCGACGAAATGAAATGAAAAATTTCAAATTTAAAGTGCACGGCTGACCACTGACGAAGAATTTGAATAATAAATGGCAACGGAAGTATGTGTATCACATTGAAAGGATCGTCAGATCTTCTTAAATATTGTCCAGTACATTCTTTTAACACATTTGTAACATTCGTAGGTTCTGAAGATGACACAACTGATTACAACGGAATTTGACGCCTCGTATGAGTGTCACGTGCACGCCAGAGTTAAAGAATGAAAAACGAATTGGCGTCCGCTTTTAGCCGATCTGATCGGTAACGGTGATCGACTTTCTTCCTCTCTCGTGACTACTTTTATTACGACCGCCGGTAGGCAGTCGTTGAACCTGACCTTGGGGATACTGGTTTTCAGAGACTGGGATGGAAATTACAGGATCGTTCCCTTTGTGCAAAGGTTAGGCCAGAAAAGGTTCATTTGGGTCTGCCTTTTCCCTGACGATACTCTGCTAGGCGTCAACCTTGAAAGCATTTCAGCGTATCAAGAACCATCGGAGGGATTCGGTATAGTCATCGAAATCCTTGATTACGTCAAATGGCATTGCAGATGTCCAAGACGAAACAAAAAGAAAACTCGACACCTGGCAGGTCCCAGAAGTGTGTTCCCTGGAATTAAAAAAAATTCATTAACCGATTAATAAATTCCAGAAATCGATATTTTCAAAGAAATCATCGAAACGAGTTCTACTTTCCTGTTTTCCTCTCTTGGTTGATTCTCGCGAACAGATCCTTGACCCACTATCAGGATTCGCTGAAATCGGTCGATACCAATGGTAAAAGAGAGAGCATTTCGAGGCTCGTCGATTATTCCCGCCCATCTCAGGAGAACACATCGCGATTTTTAATCGAATCGTTCATCGGTTTTCCCCTGTGAACTCATGGCGTCACGTGTTTATTTCAGTGTCCACTACTACGCCTTTTTTTTAATTGATGGTAAATCACGCGAACGATTCTAATTTCGTATTCCTGTTCGCGTTGATTGAGATCAGTTTCATGCAATTCCGCGTCTATGGTTCCCACTTGGTATAATTTATGCTCGAGGTTTCCCCAATCTCCGATCATCTCGAATTTTATGACTTTTTAAAGTATTTTTGAACGAATATTAGTTTTAATCAATTCAGATGCGTTATAGTCCTTGGGTTTAACGTGCAAATTGAATTGTCAACGTCTGGATTATTTGTAGAAACTATTTGTAGAATAGAGGCTCTAATATAATCTATTATTGTATTTATTACGATAGGAACGAATCAATTATAGAAACGTTGTATCATTGGGGTTGATAATTGATCAACCATGGTAACAATTGATCAATTATGGAGATAATTAATCATACAACGCAACGCGGTTGTTGGAATACTGAAAACGACTCGTGACAATCGCAAACGTCTTTCCAGGCAGTATGCAAATCTTATCAGCATGTCTATCAGCCATTTAAAAATATTTCTAACAAAGAGGCGCCGCTATTAGAATTTTCCTAAGTGAATCCTAATGTTATAACACGATCTATCGTTTACAGTCATAAAATTCAAATTACTGAAAGCTACCAGAAATTGTAATTTCTTAAAACTAACGACGAAAGCTTCTATTGCTCATTATCTCCCAACGACTTTCGATTGTTTCTTATCTCGCTTCATCTTCCAGTCAATTTCCTCTTCTGCAGCTGCAACTTGTTTCAACAACAAATATACGATACATAAGCAAGCAATAACTGCACGTAGAATCGCGAATTAAAACGCTTACCTTGCATTCCACATAAATTTTTGAAGCATCGAATCTTTTCTCATTTTTAGTTCTCAGATTTGCTATAGTAAAAAGAAAGATTGTAAATGTCAAGTGATTGTATAGAAAATTATGTAAATGCGTTGGATAAAATTATTCAAATTTAGTTCTTATCGATTCTCGCCTGAAACGGAGAACCAAAATGGACGCTCTTCGAAGGTATCTTATATAATCTCCTTTTACGTAACCATAATTTGCCGAAAAAGATGAACGTCGGTCGAAATAGTCTCAGACAATGTGGAATTTTAGCGAGACGACGCGATTGTTAATATCGATGAGCAACGAGTGCGTGGGAGATGTTAATACATGCATGAACCATTGTATACTTCATGTCTGGCGTTATTATTACGATGAGAGAATAGAGTTTTGATAATAACAAGAGTAATGATGACGATGATTGAAAAAGACACGAAGAAACAACATAATAAATATTCCTATTCAAATCCACAAAGAGTCCATCCTCTTGCACCCAAGTCTTTCTTCGATCACGCGTATAAAACGTGCACCTAATTAATAAAATTAATTAATCATGGGTACAGCCAGCTTGCCACTCTGTTATCGTTGTGATTCCTCTAAAAAATCGTTATCAACAAAATTCCCAAGAAGACAGATCCACAGTTTGGAAAAACATGAGAAATGAGCGTGCGTGCGGTAAGCAGGGATACCCCAGGATGGAAAAACGCGAGGCGGTTCGCCGAAGCGATAAAGACCTTGACAGTCAGCTCCCACAGTCGCCAGAAGAAGTTTTGTCTCTATCCCATAGGAAGAAGCTCGTCTCCCCGTCCCAATACACCGAAAATACCTGGGACGACTGGATTAGCTGTCTCTCTTCCGATAGGATAATAACTGTAGATTCAAAGTTTTCTGGAAAAATGAAGATTCTACTGACCAAATCGCTGACAAAAGCATTGGCAGGGCGGAAGCGACGCGCGGTGTTGAGTAACGGGCAATTATTGGCCGACGTAAAATCCACCGGTGTCTCCGTATATAAGTTGTTGTCTCGTTCAAAGAGCTTCAGTCGTTGCTTGACTCTTCGGCGACGGAGATTATCGAGTTCGTAGCCCGCGGCTACAGGAATTAAAAATTCGTGCTTGTGCTGTTTCACTGTTGAGAACATTCAGGGTGACAAGGTAACGATGAAGTTGCTGAAGTGTCTTGTGCCGGTGGTGGTAATCCTGTTCGTGGGATCTTCGAACGCCAGACCTGGTGAGTCCACGTTTCCTTCCGAAAAGGGCATTTCCGATTAAGAAAAGGGCCCCAGGCTTGGAGACGTTGAAGATTGTTTGGTTGATGGAACGTAGAGCCTTGTCCGCTGTTTCGAGTGGTTTTTGCATCGATACGCTGTTTTGGTATAAAGGTTTTGTTGTAGAAAACGGGGTGCAAGAATAGGGCTTCAAGAGTTGAACTTCAAGTTGAGACTTGTGGACGTTGAAGAATGATTAGATGATAGCGATCTATCCGGGATAGTTTTGAATTATCTTTTGAATGGCATTCCTTTTGGGTGTTGAGTTTGTATTGCAAATAAAAAAGAAGGTTCTAAACGGGGAGGTCCAAGACTTGAATTTCAAGTCGAAACTTGGAGGCTGTTCACTTATTGTTAGTGAAACTATTCGAGTGATCTGTCGAATGGACACCAAACATTAATTTAAAGCCGTGGTGAAATTCCTTTTGTAGTGATTTCCTGAGAAAAATGTTTAATTGTGTTACGTAGGTTTGCTCGGCGAGTTGGCAGCTAACCATGGACTCAGTTTGCTGGATCCACTGGGTCTCTTCCAAAAGGACAGAGGTGCCCAGGCCTCGAGCAAGGCCCAATCCATCGGAAGCAACTTCAGCCTGGGACCACTTTCCCTTTCTAGCAGCATCGCCTCCTCCTCGTCATCGGCGCATGCTTCTGGCGATGGATCCGCCTCGGCCAATGCCAAGGCGAATTCACAAGCCTTTGGTAGCGGCACTGCGAACGCTGACGCCTCTGCCACCGCCAATGCTCAAGGTATTTACTAAACACTATTAGATACGAACCTACTTTGCAACCCTCATTTGATAGACATACTATACACTCGATTTGCAAAAGATTCTGGCGTAAACGACGGCGCGTCGGCGTATCGACTCGATACTCTTCTTTTATCTTGTAACACAGTGACAGTCTATATAGGTCTATTTAGTAACGTCATGAAATTAAGGGACAAAATTCGGGTCTAAGGGATTCCCCAATATCACAAAAGTCAAATATCGAAATCTCAACTCAGTAATAAGGTGCATTTCGAAAAGAAAAATGATAATTAATCCCAAACGATGATCCGAGTTCTTCCCATCTCCAATACGAAGCGTTTTCTTTGAACATAGGTGGCTATGGTTATCCGGGAGAGAATTACGGTCCCAACTCGGGTGGTGTCTTCGGTGGCGATTATAACAGTTACATTCCACGACGCAATCGGCATCACGGTAGTTACGGTGGTTCTCAATCGGGCGCGGGTAGTGGCGGCGGTTATGGCGCAAGCGCCGGCGCTAGCGCGGGCTCCAGCGACGGTGCGTACGCAGGCGCGCAAGCTGGAGCACAGGCTGGAGCCAGTGGCGGCGCCTACGTTGGGGCGGGAGCAACAGCTGACGCGACTAGCAACTCGAATGCTAACGTCAACACGAATGTAAACACCAACGTGTACTCTGTCGCCAATACGAACGCAAACGCAAACACAAACGCAAACACAAACGCGAACACAAACTTGAATACGAACGTGATTACGAACGTAAACACGAACGTGAACCAAAATGGCGGCGTGAGAATACCGGGTGGCTACTATACCTCTGGCAACGTCCAAGCCAACGCTGGCGCCAACACTGTTGGTACCAACGGAGTGGAGCTAATCCCTGAAAGACAAATCGGTTATGGCCGCCCTGGCTTCCCAGGGTATAACAAGGAAATCGAAGTGCTTCCTGTTCCTTCGAGACCTCCGCCATCGTTACCAATGTATCCTAGACCCGACGTGATCGTTCATCCTGTTCCTACATCGCCACCGCAGCAAATCCCTCACTTCCCGCCGCGCCCCCCACAGAATGGAGGAGACTCGGTGATACCGGTTGTCGTCGTGGAAGGTCCTCCGTTTGGTAGACCGATGCCCCGGCCCAGACCGAGTCATCGCCCGAAACCGAAGTACGAGCCGTTGCACATCGTCGTGATCGAGGCACCAGAGCCTCAACAAGGCCAAGGTGAGCCTCTGAAAGAGAATGTTCAGAGCCTTGTTGCTATCGTCTTCTCCCACCACCTTTCCTGTGGATGATCGTTTACTTGTGTTGATGCATCCTTCTTGTAGTCATCTGTCCACTATGTAGACCCTGGAAGGCCATAACTTTTTTAACAACAATTCGTAACATAGGTTACAAAGTTCTTCTTCGTTTCGAAGACTTGCTGGCTCTCTGCGTAGATACTCTTTCTCAGACGTTCGAGGAGAATGGATCCTCAAAGATCCACCAGGGTTTTTCTCCGATACTGTATTTCTCTCTAATTAACATTTAACTGATTAACGTTCTTGTGGCTAAAGTAGAAACATCTCTTCTTATTCACGTTTGTCTATCGTATCGTCTCTAATATTAATTTAACGAGAATTGTGGAGATGCTGAAGTAGAAGCATCTCGAATACTCTCTCTTACTCATCTTTGTCTATTGTATCGTCCTTACTTTTTGTCTAAAGAGGTCGTCGTCTGCTGGTTTATTGGTACTTTTCAAGATGTTCTTGCTGCAAAAGATGAAATGTATAAAGTGTCTTCTAATCACTGTCATTAGTCACTTCTAATATAAATTTACTTACCTTTTTTTCTATACAGCGAAATCAAGTAACAACCAATACTTAATCACCAATTATTCCAGCAGGTGGAATTGGAAAGGGATACTACGGCCCAACTGGTCAACTGAACGCTGGGGGCATAGCCAGCGCGAATGCTAACGCAAACGCAAATGCAAACGCTGGCGCCAATGGGAACCAGTACCCTGGATCAACAGGCTACATTCAGCAACCAGAACGCTACCCTGCGAGTGCTCCATCTACCCCCATCGCTTCTAGTAATCCCTTCCTGAGTGGATCATCCCAAGCAAACGCTGGAGCATTGGCCACCTCTAACGGAAACGGTTATCCAGGTTCCCCAGGTCAAGCTCCAGGATACTCCCCTGACAGTGGCTTTGGCGCCCCTATTGGATCAAACAATCCTTTCTTAAACGGTCAAGCAGGCGCCAACGCAGGCGCCAACGCAGGCGCCACTGCAACAGCCAACGCAAACGCAAACGCCGGCGCCAACGCCAACGGCGGCACTCCAGTTCAAATTGGATCTCAGAATCCCTTCTTCAACGGTCCAGCTCCTAACCCTGTACTCTACACCAACAACAGAGCTCCCACAGGTTCATCTCTAGGAGGAAGCACTGCCAACGCAAACGCCGCTGCTAACGCTGGTGCTCAGACCAAGCCGAAAGGTGTGCCTACATCGTATCCAGGTCAAATCACCGGACCAGGTAGCTACGTTCCGGTTTCTGGACCGTCAGGATCTGGAGCATTGGCCAACAGCAATGCCAACGCTGGAGCTACGTCCGGAGGATACGTACAACCAATGAAAACGGCTCCAGTGATGGTTTTACAACCCAGTGGACCTGGCAATGGCTTTGGAGGACCTGGCTCTGGAGCATATGGAGGATCTGGATCTATTGGGTACGCTCCAGTCAAAGGTAGCCCTAGCTATGGAGGCTCCAGACCGATCGGTGGCGGTGGAAACATGTACGGCAGTTCAGGTCCTTCTGGGTCGGGTAGCAATGGATTTGGTGGAGCTAAGGCTGACGCAGCGGCAAATGCTGGAAGCGGTAGTTTTGGAGGAAACGGTGGCGCTGGAAATGGCTATGGTCAGACAGGATTAGGCTTTGGCGGCCAAAGTGGAGGATTGTCTGGAGCTAACGCTAAGTCTAACGCCCTAGCCAATGCTGGAAGCAGTAGTTTTGGAGGAAATGGTGGTTCCGGAAGCGGTGGACTCGGTGGAAATAGCTACGGTCAACCTAGTTCCGGTTTTGGTGGAAATATGGGATCCTCTGGGTCTAATGCCAAAGCTGACGCGATAGCCAATGCTGGAAGCAGTAGTTTTGGAGGAAATGGTGGTTCCGGAAGCGGCGGACTCGGTGGAAATAGCTACGGTCAACCTAGTTCCGGTTTTGGTGGAAATATGGGATCCTCTGGGTCTAATGCCAAAGCTGACGCGATAGCCAGTGCTGGAAGCAGTAGTTTTGGAGGAAATGGTGGTTCCGGAAGCGGTGGACTCGGTGGAAATAGCTACGGTCAACCTAGTTCCGGTTTTGGTGGAATTGGAGGATCCTCTGGATCTAATGCCAAAGCTGACGCGATAGCTAATGCTGGAAGCAGTGGTTTCGGTGGAAATGGCGGTGCTGGAAGCGGTGGATTCGGTGGAAATGGTGCTGGAAATAGCTATGGTCAACCTAGCTCCGGTTTTGGTGGAATTGGAGGATCCTCTGGATCTAATGCCAAATCTGACGCGATAGCTAATGCTGGAAGCAGTGGATTCGGTGGAAGTGGTGCTGGAAATAGCTATGGTCAACCTAGCGTCGGTTTTGGTGGAGTCGGAGGTTCCTCTGGGTCGAATGCTAAAGCTGACGCCATAGCTAACGCTGGAAGTGGTGGTTTCGGTGGAAATGTCGGTGCTGGAAACGGTGGTTTCGGTGCAAACGGCGGTGCTGGAGGTTTTGGTCAATCAGGATCGGGGCTAGGCGGATTTGGAGGTTCCTCTGGGTCGAGTGCCAAGGCTGACGCTATAGCCAACGCTGGAAGCAGTGGTTTCGGTGGAAATGGTGGGGCTGGAAGCGGTGGTTTCGGTGCAAACGGCGGTGCTGGAGGTTTTGGTCAATCAGGATCGGGTCTTGGAGGATTTGGTTCTTCTGGAGCTAGTGCTAAGGCTGATGCGAGCGCTAATGCTGGAAGCTTTGGTGGCGGATATGGCGGTTTCGGAAGTCAAAATGTTAAAGGGTCTGGAGCTGGTGGATCAGGAGGATACGGCCAAGGTAAGTTTTGTTGTTAGGAAAAGTTACCGTGTTGCTGGTTTTGGTTAAAGTCTTCAGGGGTAAGCTGCAACTAAGAATTGAGAACTTGTTAGATTAAACTTGTTAGATTAGACTTCTTCAGGGATTAAATACCAATATGCCATTTGACCTCTGAAGAAACAAACCCCTGCAAACTTGGAAATGCTTTGGAATATCCTACCCAAGCTTCAGTTATCTCAACCCTGAAAGACTCAGATATCTCATAAACCAGTATGTAGTCCTAACGAAGCCTTTGGTGTTCATTCCGCAGATTCAAGCGCCGAGGCGTCGGCCACGACGATGGCCGAGGCGATCAGTTCAGGCCTGGTCATAATTAAATGATTGCTCTCCCTTCTTCAGGCTCGTCGAGCGGCCTCACCAACGCCATATCGAACGCAAACTCCAACGCCTTTTCAAACGGAGGCTCAGCAAGCAGTTCAAGCAAATCATCTGCGTTTAGTTCCGGCAGCGGGTCAGCCAAGGCGCAGGCGTCCAGCACCGCGACAGCTAGCAAGATTGGTGCATCCAGCTCAGCATCAGCCTCTGCCGACACGAGAGACATGCTTATCTTCACCAATTAATCGTCGATAACCATTAACGACGTCCTCCGAGAACCTACCGTGGATCAAGGCCACCAGAAGGTCACATAAGGTCTTCCAAGCGCTTTGAAGCTGTGGAAAATTTCGGAAAATTGTGTACAATCAAGGGTGTGTGTTTGTAATTTGGGACCATTCATGGTTGGGGACCAAAAAGGGTGAAATCGTCCCTGTGATGATGTTTCTTTCTTCTCAGGATATTTTGAGAATTACTGGAGATATTTAAAAGGAGTTTAAACAAAATTTGCGTGATTATTATGTACCTACGAGGTAGAGATATAGGAATAATTATAAAAATGATTTAGAAAGCATGGATTCATCGTTCTGTAGATCCAAATGTAGCATGCAACTTTTGTTCAAACTTCTTTTCCATTCTGAAGATATTCTCGGATCTCAAGAAAAAAAAATTTATCTGAGAAGTTTCACCCTTCGACAGTTTTAATTTAAAAACCTGCACTCAACGTTCCAAAATTTTCTGAGCTTCATGATCATTCGCAGGGTCCAAAAAGCTGCCAGTGATTGAATACTTTAGAGTCATCGATAAACGACCATCGTTAACGCGTCGAGTGTCGTGAGATCGTCGATTTAATTGCAAAACAATTGCATACTTTGTTGACGTTTAGATGACGGACTCGCACGACTAGCGCAATAAACATGATGACATAACGCATCATTTGCTGTTACGTGATATTTAATTGCGCCTCGTCGTTGGCGAGAATTTTTTTGAATGTTATTAACAGATTTATCTTAACGAAACAATAGAATATTCGACACGTTAACGATTCGATACTTTTAACCCTTTGCGTTCGACACCATTTTTTCTATGGCGACCTAGCAACCTCAGACGATTTTTTGAACATTTCACGAACTTATGACTAACATATGTTTATTTTACGCACGAATTAATGTACATAAGCATTATATTTAAATATTTCACGTATCTTCACATTTTGAAAAAAGACAAACGTTTCTAATGTTACGTTTTAGTTTATGGACACTTATCAGGATGCATTTATGAACGAAATTTGTTTCTTTGAATCGATTTAACAATAGAAATTTGTATATAGTTTCGAGACTTCGGGAATAATAAAGGCCTTTTTAAACAACTTTTTGCTACAATGAGAATTAACGCTGGAGATGTCAAAGAGGTAAAAAGTCTTATCGTTACTTCAAAGTGTACCATTTTATAAAGAACATACTCGATATCAATGCTTTGAGGATCAAATGAATCGAACGTAGAGATTGTCGTCTCTCAGTCGCCCCCTCGAATTCATACGTAAAGTGGCGACTGAAGGTTGTTCCTCGAGTGCAAAAGGTTAACGAAAGGACAGCGATTGGTGACTTGTGATACTGTTCTTGCCAATGTACAATACATAACGAATACTCTTTCCACGTTATCTCCAAACGCATTTGTGCACAATTTGTTTATCTTCGATCACGGAAACAATTACACGGATTCGTTGAGAACGAAGAGAATTAAATTATTCCTATTGAATCGTTCCGCGTGGACCAATTGGTTTGGTAAACGTTTCAGAATGTGTTTATTTTTCAAATACTTTTTAAACCGAGGAAATTGAACGAATCGATAATACTCTGATTATTTATCGGTATACGACCAGTATACGGCTAGATCGTAGATCGCTGATAGTTTTACACGCATATACTCGCAACTCAACTTTGTAAATTATTTGTTTTTTTTTTGTAGCGAAGTAATTCGTGACGATTGTAAATTAGTGTCACGCGAACGTCGAAGATTTTTTAAGGTATTAAACTTCACCTTGTCGAAATTAAATCTCAATTTTTGCAAACCCAGTTTGTTTTTCCTTCCTCTTCTATTTTTTTTTTTTAGCGATCGCTATTGTTGGCTACGAAACGAGATTTTTATGGTAATATTTATGGTTTTGTCGAGTACCCACGATTAATTGCGCTGATTTTTCAAGCGTTTCCAATTCGACGTCGAGCGTAGTTCTCATAATATTTATTTATTGCGAACCAGCCGTACGAATTCGATGACGCACGTTTTTCTTTTAATTTCAGCGGAAAAATGTTTAGGTTACAAATTATCGACGAACGCCATTATTGGTGTTGCGACATATTTCTTTCCATTTCTCTTTTTTATGATCGATATGAATACGTTGAAAGGATCGATGCAAATTTTTAGAGATCCGGCAGACAGTGGAATACTAAATACGTGTCACCGTACCGTAAATATAGATTTTAGAAGAGGACATTAAAAATCCTCGAGAACTTTTAAAAAGGAGGGAAAGTGGGATTCGTGATTTTCATTCAGGAATATTAATTTCCTTTAGAGTTAATATCGCATTCAAATTCGAACTGTCCGTTGGGAATGAATGGATTATCAAGCAAATGAATGAAATAATTTTTAAGAATTTTAAATTATTGGATTTTTGTGATAAACAAATTATTACAGAAAGAGGGAAGTTTAATTTAGAAAATTAGACTTCGCTTTTCTAGTTTGGATTAAATTTACTGAATTTATAATGTAACTATTGTTGTACTTTTGCGTTAAAAAAATAACAGAAAAGAGAAGCGGAAGAGATACAGTTGAATAGGAGAAACTGCAGTTGAAAAGTGTCGAGATGGCCGAGTCGTTCTTCCCGTACCGTTAATAACCGTTCATGCGACATTCGTAATTCGTCTGTTATTATCGATAATCACTTTTGCATCGAGTATCACTTATTCCGCGGTTTCGCGGAATTTCCGTCTATTATCATGCCTTATCGTACGACCGCGGACACCGGCCCTCCGCCTCGCTCTCTTACATAATATACATATATTGCGCTGTCTGTAAGAATTGAATAAACTTTACTTTTCCAATACCAAAACATTTTCTCACTTTTTCCATTGTCCATAAAAAGGTGTGGCATAAGCACGCGAAAGAATTAATTTCAGAAATCGTAAATAATAAAACATAAAAGTATCGTATGAATCTGCATTGTTAAACGCGCAGAATCGTTAATGTAAATATCTGCACGACGCAAGACGACGACATTGAACGCAGGATTGCGTATACTATTATTGGATTCTCTGTAATTTCTTCATTTACCATTACCGCTTCGAATATGCAGATACAATTTGCTGGTCGCGTAATCTTTACACGGGATTCCCTTACGGCAGACGATGAGACAACGAATCGAACGTTAATCAATAATTTAACATCATTCTAATAGCTCGGAAAAATCCTACTCAAAATTAGATAATTTAACACTTGACGTAGTATTTAGTTTTTTAACTTCGCTAAATTCACGAATTATATTTGGATTTATTTTCATTGTCGCCTCACCTACGGAATTAATTTTTCTAGTTCCTTAATGAAAAGTCCTGTCACCCATTTCTAGATAATGTGGCAGTCAACTTGATGATCAAGACAGCCGTTATTATTTAATCAAAGGAGATCACTCGAATTTCTCATTTGCATGGCAACGGCTATCGTTTGAAACGTTTGGAATTTGAGATATTTCGCCATCGAGTGGGAAATCCTGAAATAATTCTCTTTAATTCATTATCGTCGAATAGGACAACGGTTCTTAGTTGAAGCGGTCTGTTGCAATTCGGGGCGGAGGGGAGGAGGTGCGATAACGGTTTTCCATGCAGGTTAAGGAACCAGGCGACGTCTACCTAGAACCATCCATTTCTGGAAACCGCCCCCAACACCAAGGAGCCATATAAAACCATACCGCCCTAAACGAAGGGAATTCAGTTCTGCAACAGTCGCCCTGCAAGAATGAAGTTCTTCGTCTTCCTGTCACTTCTCGCTGCAGCAACGCTCGTTGCTTCCCTGCCATTGGGTGGCGAAGCCACGAATTCGTTGTCGGATGGTACGAATATTTTACATTTTTATTCAAAGTTCCAGATGCATTTTGAAAGTTTAAATTTAATAGAAGAAAGTATCGTGCGTTTCGTGAGAAATTCGTGTACAGTTATTTTGTTCTCTTCTGACTAAAGTGTGCTTCATCCCTTGAGTTGTATTCTGAAACTGAGTTGAGATTGTGTGCTTCGTTATTTTAGTCGTTGGACTACGGTTTGCGTGGTATTAGAAAGCAGTATCATTTTATTTCAGGCGCAGTGTATCGAGAGGATGGCGAGGCTGCCAGTGAAGTTACGAGGATGAAGAAGCATCTCCATACGTATAAGACTAAGTCGGATAGCTCGAGGTGAGTTTCTTAAAATATGACAGATAGACTTTCGAGTGTCTTAATAAAAAATTCACTATTTTCAATTGTTATATTTTTGTTACTCAGTTCTAAAATCCTAGTATTTCATTTTCAATTCGTATTTACGAACGCTGACTGTCAAATTTTATATTTTCAACTGTAAAATCCCAATTTTCAAGGACGAATGGACAACATTCTGATATTCGATGGTGAATTGTTTCAGTATTAGTCTGCAAACGCCGTTGACCAACATTGCCATCCAAAAATCCAGGGTCAGAACTCGGCCTTTGCATTTGCATCAACCCCTACGCCATCTTATACGCGATAGGGCTGAATATCTACACAGCATGTCGTTTGGCAACGAAGATGCCGCTGCAGCAACCAACGCAGAAACCGCGTCAGCAGCCAATGGAGGAACCACAGCAGCAGCTAACGCAAATTTCATTGCAGTAGCCAACGCAAATGCCATTGCGAACGCAGGTAGCCGGATCCTGGTGAACGGTGTGCCCTTATATCCAGGTCAAGTAATCTTCCTGGGTAGTTCCTGTCCGATTTTTGGGACGTCAGCCTTTGAAACTTTAGGCAACAGTGTTAATGTTGGAGGTCCTTCTGGATTCTATACAAAGACTGGCGTGACAGCAACCGCTGAAGGCAGTAATAACGGAAAAAACACCGTTGCTGAAGGACATAGTCAATCAGCATCGAGGGTGGCCGGAACTGAAAGTGCCTCTAAATCTTATACCAGGACTAGCGCGACAGCAACCGCTGAAGGCAGTAATAATGGAAAAAACACCGTTGCTGAAGGACATAGTCAATCAGGATCGAGGGTGGCCGGAACTGAAAGTGCCTCTGAATCTTATACCAGGACTAGCGCGACAGCAACCGCTGAAGGCAGTAGTTATGGTAAAAACACCGTTGCTGAAGGACATAGTCAATCAGGATCGAGTTTTCAAGAATTTGGATTCTTTTCTGGAGCCAAAGTTGATACGAGCGCTAATGCTGATGTCTTTTCTAGACCTGGCATTGGTCGTACAGGATTAGGCTTTGGCAGTCAAAGAACAGGATTGACTGAAGCTAACGCCAAGTCTAACGCCATAGCCATCACTGGAAACAATGGATTCGGTGGTAACGGCGTTGCTGGAGGTGATAATCAATCAGGATCGTGGCTAGATGGATTTGGAGGTTCCCTTGAGTCGAATGTCAAGAGTAGCGCCACAGCCAACGTTGGAGCTGGCTTTGGTCACTCAGGGTTTTCTGGAGCTAAAGCTGATGCGAGCGCTGGTGTTAGAGCCTTTTCTGGACCTAATGTTGGAGACTTTTCTGAAGCTAATGCTAATGCTTATGCAACTGCCAATACTGTAAGCTTCGGACCAGGTGGGTTTTATCTTTGGAAAATGTTGTTTTGTTCTGCTTAAAGTCTTCATTGAGATCTTGAAATATTGGGAGTAGTATTGCGAGCTTGGAGGTCTCGTTTATTATCGCTTCATTCGATTGCTTCATTGCTACGTGTTTAAAAATCGAGACGAGGTTGTATGCATCGTTAATAGCGAACAATTAGTGTTTGTGATTATAATTTGATCGGTATCCTTTTTTCTTACAGGTGTAATCTTAAATGAGGATATTGGTGCTTCCAATGATCTTATCAGGATGAAGAGGCATCACCATTCGCATAAGACTAAGTTGGGTAGTTCTAGGTGAGTTTTCAAAAATATGAATAGAGACATGAGTGGACGTCTTAACTTTCGAGTATCTTAATCAAAAATTCTCTATTTTCAATTGTTATATTTTTGTTACTCAGTTCTGAAATCCTAGTATTTAATTTTCAATTCCTATTTATGAATGCTGACTTTCAAAATTTTTAATTCTCAACTCTAAAATCCAGATTTTCAAGGATGAATGGACAACATTCTGATATTTGAATTGTTTCAGTATTTTCTTGGAAACCCCGAAAACCAAGCTTGCCATCGGAAAATCCAAAGTCAAGATTCAACCCCCGGATTTGCATCTCCATGGACTCCATCTTTGACGCGAGAGCGCTGAATTTCCTCGAAGCCTAATGAAGACGCCTGTTCATTTTTTTTGTTTGAGATTATCAGAACAGTCGGAATCGTATTAGCTAGTGAAGAAATTTTTTTTAAGGGAAACGGAAAGGCAAAATATACACGTCGCGTATGAGTGAACATATGCGCGAAACAAAATTATTCAAAACATTTATTCGATTCCTTTGAACAAATTTGGCAAAAGTCTTATATAATGAATTTAAAAATAAAAATACTCCTTAAATAAATATTTTTTTTCGTACATACGGCAAAACTGACTGCACTGAAGCGAGTGGGCTTATGGCAATGCCAGTGGAAGGTCCATGATTCGACTACGTCATCGACACCTTTTGAACGCGGATAAATTCCATTTAATATCCAAGATCACGGAATAAAATGAATAAAACATGATCAACGCGAAAGCGTCCCGTCTACGGGCCACGGATCATTATCCTAGTCCAAGGCAAAAAACTCATCTACCTGGAATCCCCCAAAATCAATGTCTCAAGTAGTCGCTGTTTGTAATCGTGTTTAATATATGAAAAAAAGTTTCCTCATTCGATAACTGTCATATTAATTTAACAATTACTCAAATAACTATTAATTGATTCTACTTGACACATTTTTCTTTCTTCGAGGAAATGGAAATTTAAGTTGACCTTCTTTAATGTACAAAACAATGTAATACTAGAAATAAAACAATGAAAGTAGTTATTAAATTAGACGTAAGTAAATACGAGAAAAATTGTGTTATGATAACAGGTGACGAATAAACGAATATTTATCGGAAAAGAAGTCTTCAATCAATAATTCTCCTTTACACCAGATTTTATGATAGCAAAATTAATCTATACTTGTATACTACTATTATAAAAAGGAAAAATTGTTTGCATGTAGAGAGTAATTTCTGGAACTACTGAACTCGATTCTCGCAATTTTTGAAGGAACAGAAAGCTACGATATCCCTAAGTAGCACAGATTCCATACTATTTTGACAAAAATAAGTTTTCAATTAGACATTTCTATATTTGCAAGCATTGCACTAATACGAACTATCGATTGAAACATCTTGGTTATAAAAAACAAAATACAGCCACCGATTCATAACGAATAAAAAATAATCGTTTTATGTAATAGTTTAGCCAAACGTGTACTCGCTCATTGTGAAATATTTCACTGGATAAATAAAACTCATCTTTTTATTTCCTCATTCTCTGTTCCCTGCCTCGGGCCGCGTGATTCCCCTGAAGCTAATCATCGAAATTCACATTATGATTAACGTCCCGACGGTTGTACACTTTTCTACGGTCCACTTTCGTATGTCCTTGGACTGTAAGGTCGTCCACTCGTTACGAGCCAATAACAAAACTCGTGTCATCGTTTCCGAAGCCAGCGACACGCGCGGGGATGTCTTCGATTTCGGCAGTGAAGGGATCCTCGTATAAAAGCACCTCGAGACGTGAATATTCCACGATTTGTGCTTTTGCTTCCTGACACGAGCGTTTCTAAAAGAGCCTAGCCGAAATGGCGTCGCGATTTCTGGCCGTTTTCGTCGTGTGCGCGGTTCTGTTCGAGTCGTGTCCCGCGAAACCAACGCAATTAAGAGAAGACCCATCGAAGGACACCGACCCCCTTCGTGAGCTGTGGATCTTATCCGCGGAAACTGGTCAGTCTTTATTGTACTTTTTCTGGAAAATTAACCTTCTGGTGCTTCGACTTTAATATAGTAAATAAAATAAAAATTTAACCATCGTTTGGCGTAGACAAAAATTACGAATGGTTCAATAATTTCGTGACTATCCTTAGAAATTTATTTTTATTACTGGTAGTTTTGATTTGTGTACTTTATGTTCGAAATGTGATTTTACTTCAAATTTCCTATTCCAATCACAAGTTAAAGATTTTTCCTTCTAAATGAAATACGAACGCATCCAATATAAGACAGGACATTGACCTGGCTATTTACTTGACCATTGATTAGATAACTTACAAAACGCCAAGAGAGCGCAACGATCGCCACAACTTGGATTTCCTAATGAGGGTTATGGACTCGTGTCAGAACGTGAGCGTCGCAGGCGCCGGAAACAGTGCGAATTTGGCTGCGAAGGAGGGTACGTATTACTTTTACCAATTATTTATTCAATCACATCCACTTCTGACTGCATTTCTGACCAAATCAAGAACTGAAACAGAATATCATGGGCAAGGAAACACACCTTTATAAAACAAGGACCCAATTTTGGCTAAACGCGACATTCGTAAAAAGATAATATATTTTTATACTCCCGAATCAATTCAAATTCATATCCCACAGCTGAAATTATTCAAACCTACAGTTCTCCAGTAATTGTTTCCTAAACACGATTATCTAACATATCAAAGATCCTGCAATCCCTAAATCACTCCTACTATGTCTGTAGATACGTACCAGAGCCAGGATTCTATCCCGGGGGTGGATTGGGAGGAGTTGGCATAGGTGGAGCCTCGGCTAATGCAGAATCTAGCGGATTCAACGCAGGACCATTCGGAGGATCTGATTCCCTAGCTAACGCAGAGTCTGGTGGATTCAACGCAGGACCTTTTGGAGGATCTGGTGCGTTGGCTAACGCGGAATCAGGTGGATTGATAGGAAGTCCCTTCGGAGGATCCGGCGGAGGAGCTAGCGCGCAGGCGGGTGGATTCAACGGTGGACTCTTGGGTGGATCCGGTGCCGCTGCTTCCGCAGGGGCAGGGGGGCCCAACATTCGGCCACTCGGAGGGGGGGAAAGCCAGGCGAACGCGCAGAGCGCTAACTTCAACTTTGGGCCCTTCTCCGCGTCGTTCAGCACTGCCGACTCCTCGTCCAATAATCAACGGTATTGAGATTCTATAGGTGAGGGATTGTGTGCATAGTCAATTTAATAACGGAATATTCGGGCGAGACAATGGCTACTTGGGACCCGTCGGATACCTTTTGACTTTATGGAAAAAGCTGCCTCCTCAGGTAGCTTCACTTTATAACGGGTGCCCATTTAGTGGCAGGCATATTACTGGGGACAATTTGGACATTTCTGACAATATTATACCGAATTTAGATTCCATTGTTGGATAAAATAAAGAAGAAACATGGAAATAGAAATATACAGGGTGTTCGGTAACTGGCGGAACATCAATTTCAATATTCCTTTCATGTAATATTTAATTCGATACTTTTGTTGTAAATATGGATTAATCGGGACGGCGTATAGGAAAACACCTTTCGAACTACGTACTTTTACAACTGACTTTATTTCTCTCTCGTTCTGTATTCTTCCGCAATCTTCTACAATCTTCCGAATTCTTCTGCCGTTGCTCGGCATTTCGCCTGTTTATAAACAGTCTGTCCCTCTCTCTCATTCGCACTCGTCTCATTCGCACTCGTCTCATTCGCTCAACTTCGCATTCGTACATTGCGCGGCTAATCTAAACAGTCTACACTTTCTGAAATGATTTTGCTTTCCGAAAGAGGCTGAAACCTTTCACGCTAAGATGGTGACGTTATCGCGAGGAATCACGTCGTTCACGCGTCGCCACGAGATGGCAAAGAACACGAGGCGCAACAAATTTCTCTGTCACGCTCCGCGTCGTGCCCCATAACCGAGACTATTAATTGACTTTGCACGCGCGTGTAGTCGCCGCACGCGCCTCGCAGCTTAACGAGCGCCGTGCACAACCGCGACGAATCGGCTCGACGTGAATCAGTTCTTCCTGCAATTCCCTCGGGCGTAAAATGCCTGGGCGTACGCCTCGTTTCTGTTTACGAGGCGAGAATGCTTGCTGGACGATTAATCGCTCGAGGCACGGACCTCTTCCTCGTATTCCCAGCTACTAAACAACGCTCCCGAGCAATGGCGGGTACTAGAGGAACATTGAGACCCTAGAGCTATCGACTATGAAAATCTTGTGGCTAGATTTTTTTTTTTGGATGAAATTTGGATGAAATAACAGAGACTCGAGGAATCATCGAAAGGCGCACGCGCGTGGATCTCGAGGATTCTCGTGTTTCCCTCCCTCGATCTCGAGGACGGGCCGTAAATCCACGCGTGTCGGGTTAACGAACTCTGCCCATTACGGATTTACATTATTACACGAGATGTTTTCCTTTCGGCCTCCTCCAACTGGAACGATAAAGCGAACATCTGTCCATCCGGGCCCTTGGAGGCGGACGGTCAGGTATTTTGGCCTGGAAATCGAGGGAGTCGCGCTGTTTATATTCTCCGAAAACAGCCAATCCTTTAATTAATAATTTCATATATTAGCAGGCTTCGAAAGCTGGCTTCGAGAGCATCATTGATTAAGTTATTGATTAAATTGATTGTATTCGTTAATTGTATCGACTGAGGAGGGATTCTTCATAAATGTAGTCTTCTGTTGTTTAATATATCTGAGTAATTCTCTTTGGTCTTCAATCATGGGTCAATTGGCAATCTTCGAGTTTCCTGATACTTGGCACGTGAACGAGGCATTGGAAGTCATATTTCTTTAGTCATCTTCAGTATTATAGATCAAAATACAGATGTTCTATTTCTATCACTGATGATAACTCAAGAAGTAAAGCTCGAAAATATCCTAAATACTGTTATATATATATAGTAAGCAACTAGTAGTTTAAAAAATCTCCAATATTCACGAACCTTGCCCATTGGAAACCACATTTATTCAGAACCTCTTCTATCTTCATTTCTTGGGTCCGCCCTCACGAAAAGGACCATATCTCCAGATCATGCATCATGCATCATCTCTTTGTACGCAGCGGAACTATGCCAATGAACCTCGTACACGTTCCCAACGAACAGTAATCGAACAATAAATTCCAATTCCTCATCCGCGCATCAGATTTCGCCAACATCAAAGATTGTCGATTCGACAACGTCCCAATTGTTTATCAGCCAATGTTCCACCGCTGAAAGCCCGAAAACTCCCATCTGGCGATACTCCAAAGGAACCCGCGAGGAACAATCGCACAGACGGAGGAGCTCGCCTCCTCCGGTGCCCTGAGGGTTCGCGAATGGAAGGTTAACGAACCCATCGAATTAAAGGAGGTCTTTTCACCTCCGGTGGGTCCGGTGTCGCCGCGCCGGAGCGAACGATCGGCGACGAACGGGGGAACATCTGTCCAGCGAGTCCTAGGTAGAAGATGCAACAATCCTCGCGTGTATGTCAGTTCCATCGAGTGTCTTTGACGTCTCTTTCCCTCTTCCACCCCTTTTTCTCGTTGGCGTCTCGTTTCGTGGCGGCAATGGTCTCTTCGATGGTCACCGGTGCTCACAAAGACAGGCCACGGCGGTGCCGCGACGCGTTGATTATTCAAAACTCGGCGGTAGGTGTGCGCCTGCGTGCGTGTGTGTGGTACCTGCGCGAAAGGAACGCTCGTGTACGCGCGCGTTCGCCCCGAGTCGCATTGTCCTATTGAGCAGCGCTCCTTTTGGTACGGTGTGAAAAAGAATGGACAAAGGGAAAATGAATCTTCTTGGTTCTCAGGCGATCGGCAGACGGCCAGACAGACGGATTAACTCGTTTTAAAGGGATCCTGGAGACGCCATATTGTCGGTGGCCCTCGGGGTACCTCGCGCATACAGGATCTCGGGGCCAACGAGCGCGGGTCCCTAACGTGGCCAGCGAACCGGTCTGTTTTGATCCCGAAATGCGCCTACACGCGGACCCCGCGAGCCTCCGCTTTAAATCTGTTTGCCCAACCCAGGTGGATGTTTGCGATGCCGATATTTCATGCCGTAGTCGTAGCGTTATCTTGTTTGCTTTCGCTCTTGCGGTTGGGTCTATCCAGGGGAACTATTGGGGTATATGATAATTATTTACTGATAATAGATTCCGGGGGCCTTTCTATAAATTGCGTTGGGTTCTTAGGGGTTAGAGGTATTTATATATTCGTTGTAGTGACACCTTCCTCAAAGGAATATTTGACCGTAATACAATTTTCTGTTGTATTAGGTTGTCTCAAAAGTTTCTTTCGTGAGTTGCATTCAATTATTTTCTGTGCCAGTGTTTATATAAATAGACAATCGAATTTCTTAGGCATTGATATAGTAACAGTAATGGAGCGAAATGAATTGTACACAATTTTGTAATGTAACATAAAACATAAAATATTGTGTACGAATTAATTATTAATAAAACGAAAGAAACTTTTCGGACAGCCTAATAATTGTGTTCGTAGTTAACGAAGTCATTCATAAATTACTTTATGATAATAATTGCACGGGCCAGAGGTATTACAAATCAGTCCCAGTTATTCTACAAGGGACCTGTAGAGGCTCCCAAAGATTTCCAATGTACAGGCTGTAGGGTGGTTTTATTAACACAATAGAGAATACTTTCGCGTTTCAGGTAGAATAGCCTGTATTAAGTCAATTATCCTTTCCCCTCGTCTGGTTTTCGCCTCGAAAGCACCAATTTTGCTCCTCTTTCCTTTGCAATGGTACGACAGTAGCCTGGCGAAGATTATTGTTATTATTTCTTTCTTGGAGTCGTAAAGAAACGCAACGGAAGAGTTCACAATCGGTACGTCTGAATCGTTTCTGTATTATTCAAGGGTTCGTTCTGATTTCAAACTGGCATAGAATATTCTTCAACATGTCACATAAAATGCTCGATATCTTAATGCACTTATTAGTGACACAATTTTTCCTTTCATACTGAAAATTCCCAAAGATTGGTAAGGTTGTTTAGAGTCGCGGGTAGCTGCCATTTAAAACCACAGTCCCGAAGGAGCGAGATATAGCGACGACGGATAATCCAGCGAATCTCACTCGACAACCGGCTAATTTACCACAGTCGAAGACATTACACGAACGACTACACGCGAATCGTTCAAATAACATCACTCATGGGGGACGCATGAATTGCAATCATTAAACGCGCCGGGTCGGGAGTGAATCCCGGTATGCAAATCGCGTCGGGTCTCCCTTTTCAAGGGTCATCCAGGAGGGGTTAAAGGTCACAAGTGGTTCCACACCGTGAGCTTATTTATGCACAGAACCTACGGCCGGGAGAATGCAGATTTCAGATTACGATTCGCGAAAGCACCAGGTCCTGTTATTGCGTGTTACAAACAAACCCTGACTGCGTTTAAAGCCAGCGGACGCGAAGCTACGTAATAGGAGAAGGGAGTCAAGTATTATTTTGATCGATCCACTTAGAGATTTGCAATCGATTCTGCCGTGAGAATTTTTGGTAATTAACGAATTGGGAAGTAGTGAGTTGAATTGGTAGCTCAAGGTGAATCCTGAATTTGATAACTTACTAAATAGAGGTGTTTGGGACTTTTGAGTCGGTAGGTGTCGATACTGGAGTCTAACAGGTTAATTGCAGGAGAACCTACACGGTTAGACACGAATGTTTAATAATCCTCGAGGTTGAGAACTCCAAAGGCTATTGGAAGTTTAACATTAGAGAAGCTTTGCTTTTGGCTCTATTAAACTAACCAACCTAGTACCATTAAATGGTCATTTATAACGTCTCGTCTCTCTTCTGAGCTTGATCTAAAGGCTCCGTATATAAACGTTTGTCTTCAACTGGTAGGATGTCGGGACAGGATTTGATAGAAAACCATCTCTGAAGGGGTCTGTCTAGCTTGGGGGGTTCTGTCTAATTTATACTTCAACTAAATTCTTATAGGTTACCGCAGGGCAAACAAATGTATGTGAAAATGTTTAGGCCGATATTTGAGATTTTTCAAAGTATAAGAGTCCTTTGAGAAACTAAGACAAAGCGCTACTTTTATGCAGAATGACGAAGCATGATGCAAGCCAGGATGAATAAGAGTGTTCCAGGAAGCTTGGAAATCAAAGATCATTCGAATTGGAATTTCTTAATTAAGATAATTAGAAGGCAAGCTTCCTTTTAAAGGAGTAAGCCACTTTATTACCTATCCTGACTTAGAATTGTGACGAATACTATATGACGAGTACGACACTGACTGCTCTGGCTCTCGATGGCCAAATAAGAGTTGTTGGGAGAAGAAGAAACGCCTTCCATAACTGTACTGCCCGAAACTACCTAATCGTTAACCTCAACGGAATAAAACATACCCACCAAAGACCTAGGTTTACCTCGATCCCTGCCATAACTCTATCACCATTCGATCCCAAATTTACGAATTTGCCTCCTAAGAGCTGTAAAAGGCCCCAAAATTAGGGATAAACCTGGCTGTTACCTGGGTTCCTGTTAAAATGATTCTTTATTTTCCGCAGGTACGAGGCGTCGAGTGATCGACTTTGACCCTAATTTATTCTGTCGCTGGCCCGATCGCCGATCCGCCGAGCAGTCCGCGGCCATTGTTTACAAACATTCTACGTCACTAGGTATAAGTAAATAAAGCAGACGGGGTACAGAGGTAGGCGAGCCCACCGCCACCCTCCGTTCCAACCGAGATTTCCTGGGAGCGAGTTCCCTTTGTCCGTACGGCAAACCACCAGATGTTCTCGCAAATAAAACCGACAAAATATGGCGACGGTGCATCCCGAGATACGGGGACGAAGGAGGACGGCGTGCGAAGAAAGGAGGAAGACGGACGCAGGACCCGAAGGGCCCGAGGATTAACAGCACAAAGGGAGGCCAAAGAGAGCTCTCCGAGGGCTCGCAAAAAGCGAACACCTAAAATTGGGATCCGAAGAGTGGCGTGCAATGACCGGGCCGATCTGCACACGCGATCTTCGACGCTGGGGCTGCATCATCCTCGAGTCTTCGTATCGAAACTTTCTCCCAGAGAGGAAAGCCTGTTACTCCTGTTGCAAATAAACCGTTCCCAACGAACAAAAGTGTTATCGTTTCGATTCTACCTGGGTGCTTCGGCCAGCGACGAGGAGAGTTCTCGGTTAGATGAAATTAGGATAAATGAGTACGAGTTCGGAAAATTAAGGGAGGAATAGACGGGGTAAATGCTTCTTGTATAAAAGTATAAATCAAAGTAATAGATATTAGGTTGACCCGAAAGTTTCTTTCGCGAGTTGCACTCAATTATTTGATGTGAATGAATCTAATTTCATAGATATTCATGTTGTAATAGTAACGGAGCAAAATGAATCGTGCACAATTGAGTAATGTAACATAAAACAAACTATTGTGCATGTATTTCTTATTAATAAAGCGAAAGAAACTTTTGGGACAGCCTAATACATCTTCGTTATGTGATGTCTTTGATAATCAGTAACGATATCGATGAAGGTTGGCAACGCCATCAACCTGAAATATTAAAATAAATGCCTTGCAAGTTGTTTGCAGAAAAAACAAATTAGGGCCATAAAGGGTCACTTCATAAATTAAGAGAAGATAATTAAGCGAAGGCTTTAGAGTAAAAAATAAATTTAGTTATTGACTATTCAATATTATTCATAGTATTGTTACCATAAGGAATCAGAATAATGTAGAGATCAATATATATTCTTAATATACTCGTCTGGTGTTTTAGTAGGAGACTTAATCTCCTCCGAAGTAGTTCCACAGCTTCCCTAACCCATATCTCCAGGAAAAATATGCAGAATAAAACTGAAAGCACTAAAAGACTTTCTTGACCACCGATTTTCTACTTTCCATCGCAGACTCGACTCCTTGACTGAAATACGATCTGTACATTGTAGAATTTACTCGTTTAGTTCGAAACACAAACTTTCTCTCAGGAGTCCTACAACTTCGTCAACCTACATATACCAAAAGAATATTGTAAAATAACATCGACAAGCTTGAAATAGATTTTGACTGGCATCCGTTATCCATTCTCCATCGCAGAATCCCTAAATCCCACAGGAACTCCTAAAATGCTATCCTTCGGTGCAAAAGTCAAGCCTTCTCCCAAAAAAATCTTACAGTATCACCTAAAGCAGAGATGGGCAAAACTCTAGGCTACGAATAAATTTGAAGTTTGCCGATGTGTTTGTCTCGTTTCCTTCTTTATAAAATGTTCAACAGAGGAAACGAGACAAACATATCGGTTAACTTCAGATTTATTCAAAGCCCAGGTTTTTGCCCACCTCTGACCTAAAGTAAGCCTGAAAGTCCCCTAAATTGGTCAAATCTTAGTGTCCAACGTGATCAAGCTTCCCAAACCTCCACTTTCCTCAAGAATTCCCAAAACCACCCGCAAGCTCCTCGTCTCCTGTTGCACGCAACCCACCCCCAAAACTCCTGATTCTCGAAAAATCTCGAGGCATGATCCAACCTAAGGCCGAGAGTCCCCTAAATTGGTCGCGTCTCGGTGTCCAGAGCACTCAATCATAATCGTGCGACGAGGGGTGCACGGTAGCCGAAAGAAGTGACGTTCGTGACACCGGAGATGCATTAAAGGGGCTCGTTAAAGGTCCGTCGTCCTGATCGTTAAGCATTGTTTAGCCGCTCCTGGACACGTAGAGTCCTGCGGAGCCGGGCAAACCAGTCGGATCGGCTCCGACGTGGAGCGAGACTCGCGCTCGCGAAACGGGGGGAAAAAAAGTGAAATAGAAAGCGGTCTGTCCGGTGCAACGATCTACAGTTTGCTGAACGGTTCGCGGCGCCTCGATCAGGGCCTTACCCCCGTCGTGTTCCTGTTCGCCACGCACTATAGCGAATCCGCGATGCTCTCTTCAAGCCTTCCGCGGCATTGTGCTCGCATTTCTCGTGCGGTTGTCGACTCGGAAAGTATCTTCTGGTCAAGTCGTCGGTAAGTCGGAGAGATTCGAGTGTGGATCCCTTGATCCCTTTGGAACGGTACCCCTGGTGATCCTCGAGGCACTTTCCTCTCGAGTTCCTTGGAATCTTCTTCTTCTCGAGCTGGACGCTGTGCAGATGTCACAATTTCGTGATTGCTCCTTTAGATGGTGAAGTTCGTTATTGGGTGGTTGTCTTATTTTTTCTCTGTTGGAGATCGGGTGGTGGGTCGGGCAGAAGACTGTCTCAGTGGTCTCAGAGACTATTCTGTTGAAAATTCTAAGGGAATAGTCTTCTTCTCAAGCTGGAGGCTGCGTGGATGTTATGTCTTGCGGCTGGATCTCTGAATGATATCTAGTGAAGTTATTGGGTGATTGTCCATTTTTTGAAGGTCAGCTTCTCTGTTGGATTCAGACAATCCTTTCAGTGGTCCCAGAAACTATTTTGTTTAGAATTTCAAGGGAATCCTTTTCTCCTCGAGCTGGAGGCTGTGCAGATGTCACATTTTGCACTTGATCTTGTAGATTCTGAAGTTACCGGATAGTCTCAGAGACTATTTCTTTTAAAATTCCTCGAAAGTTTTTAGACTGCATTCCGACTGACTTTTACTTGGGGATGTTTAAGTGACGAAGTTGAAAATTGGGTACCTATGGAACGGAAAAGTTCCTGTCGTTCGTGTGTGAAGAATATTGCGTTTCACCTGTTAATTGTTACACAAAATAAATTCTTACCCCCCAGCACTGTGTTTCCAGTTGACTAGTCTTTCGTTTAGCAGTATCAGGTGATGGTCTCTGATTTCTCCTCTCTTGAGCTTGTTGACAAGCTGAGCGAAATACGGTGCTAGTACCTTTTCTTAAATACACTTGTTTGGCTTTACATTGTCTGTTTACGCAGTGATTTGCTCTTGATTAGAATTAGAGGACTGCCTATATAGGAGTCATTCGCATTCTAATACCTTCTAATTTAACGTATCATTCTGAAATCATCCATTTGCAAGTTTTTTAATTCATTTGTTTGTATATTTATTTTTTTCTTGGCAGAATTAAGTAACATTTCGGACCTTATCAAAAATTAAACATAAAACTCTAAACTTCGCAAAATGGCGAACCTTTTGGCCCTTTTGGTGATCACATTGGCCTGCGTGATCGTCCACGCCCAGCAACCACCATCCAATCAGAAACGTAAGTAAATACATACTGTGCCAACGAAATTGTTCGCGACGAATGAATAGTTAAGCGATCGTCGATCGACGTGTATTTCTGCAAGAATATTGCGCCACGAAAAGCAATTGCGTTTTCTTATTTTCATTGCACAAAAGTCTTCACAGCGGTGTAGTTTTACCATGCAACCGCAACCTTGATTCAGTTTACTCTGTTTCATTCGCTTTTGCGCTGAATGTAACACGCAATTGAAACAATAGATATTCCATCTCTTTACGTCATTTCGTGCTCTATACAATGTTTCTTTCGAATAGTATTGAATTTAAATAAAAATACTTTGGTCCACGAGATACATTTAACAAGTTATTATTTTTTGTTGGAAGTGATAGATGACTTTTGAAATGAAAATAATAAATATTGGAGTTTATGTGTGATTTGTCTGCTCGATCTTAACGAAAAATTTTTGGCTTATCATTCTTTTCGCCAAAAAATATATCCATTGTCTTGTCTAAATCATAAATATAGATTTTCATAGATTTTTCCTTTCTAAGATTAATTTTAACTTTTTCTTTTTACGTTTCAGCCGTCTTTGGACAAACGTTTGACGAGATCGTGGTCTCATCAGATCTAAACGTCAGAAGAAAGTCCAAGGAAAACCGCCAGGGCAAAAGATTGACTAACATACCTTCAGGCACCACCGGTCCACCAGAGAAATCAACAGCAGTCGCGTCCCGATTCGTTTCAAGCGATGGCAGTCGGATTACTTCTGAAAAAAGACAAAAGAAACGCGAAATTACAACTCTGCAAAACAGGTGAGCCCGCAAGAACACTATTTTTAAAAAGGAATAAGGCAATATAAAATAATTCAAGCGCAAATGAAAAATAAAGGAAACGCGAGAAGAAAGTGGATGGACAATTGGTAGTAAATAGATGCTAGATCACCACTAAGAATATTCTAATTTAAATTTCTAAGATTGCTTAGATTGCTCGAGTCAAATACAAGCTTAATTCAAATATACAGTTTAGTAATTGTGTTGTTCCTATCTCGGTTAAAAATATCCACGTGATTAGCAAAGTTCGACTAGAATAATTTGGAGCATGGCGCCATGATTATTCTATCCACTCCATTACGATGTTTCTTCAAAGCACTAGTAACAAATTAAAAAATAGATTTAAGGTTTGCTCGCATTGAATATTGCTATTCTTACATCGATATTACTTTTTCTGTTTTGCCTTTGGAGTATGGTCATCTCACATGAATTACTCTCTAATTGAATCAATGTTCATTTTAGGTATCTGGACATGGGCGTCGCGGGGTATCTACTGAAATCTAGGAAACGATGAAAATTCCACTCTGAGGACAACCGCACGATCCTCACACACCCAATTCCGACCATACCTTTCGGCCCTCTTTCGGACCATGACCATGTAACAAAAAGGATAATAAAAATTCTCTGTATCACAGCAGTTCTGACTACGAAACCTTATTAAAACCTTATTAAAATCTGCCTCTTTTACAGAAATAAGATAAATTCCGTAAAAGTCAAATATAGTTTATTCATTTTTTATTCGTTCTTTGAGATTTGTATCTAGATTTGAATTTCGGAAATCTTTAGCGAAGAAGTGAATGTATAATTTAATTTGCATAATATCCAGGTTAGAAGAATAATTTTAAGAAAATTAGAACATCCACCTTAAAGTACCAAAAGCAAAATGAGAACAGAAAGATCTTTTTGAAAATCCACTCTTATCTAAAGATATTTATCAAATACAGGTTTCGGTTTTTAGCTTAAAAACTACGAATTTCGTTCCAACATAGCACAAAAGTTATTTCTAAAGTAATTCTGGTGAATTTAATTGACCAATTTCAGCTCAATCGTTAATCAATTCGCGAATATGCAAATCAGGAAGAAATAGATTCTTTTGCGAAGGATAAAATAAAATCGTTTCGAGTGCTCGTTTCGAATGCACCCTCGTGGACAGCGCGTCACGGCACCACAATAAGTTTGCCGCGAGGCTGGCGAATTGTCAGGCATTCCGTGTCCGTCTGCGAGCTGAAAAAATCGGTTGCGCCTGAAATATGGCAGACCAAGCGTCAAAAGGCAGCCGCCATCGCGATCTTCATGCGATGACGCCCCGCGCAGATCCACCGCGCCGCGACTCACGTGACGCGCTATCCCGTGGCACGTGACACGCACGTCCAAAACCTTTACGGACCTTTCCTCCTACCTTCGTCTTTATTCGTTCACTTTGTTTCTCCTTTTTTTCACGAGCGAAATTATCGACTATCTCAAACACTTACGCGGTGCTTTGTATTCACCCTTAATCTAGAAAGCCACTGTTGAACGAGGGTTAGGTTTCATAAAATATATCCTTTATAAGAATTTAATAACTTAGTGGTACAGTAATACTTATTGATAAGAATAGTAGGAATTACCAAGTAAGGAAATAAAATGATGATATACCTAGCAGCCGAAACAAAACTAACTGTCCTCTTAACTTTCGTCTACCATACTTCGAATCATCGCAGAAAACATGTTCGACTATTGGATGGTTCCTGTCTTGAAAAAAGCTTCTCCCGTTTTGATTTATCGTCTAAATCGAGCAGATCCCTGACTTGTTAATTCGTGAAACGACTGGGACCGCCGTCGTCGAATAAGAGATTTTATTCATACGAGGGGAATGTATCATGTATTCCGCGCGTCATCCGCGGCTAGCACTATATATTTTATGGTGAATCCGTGGCTGGACTCGCAGCCACGCTGACGTAACTAAGTGTTCGTCATACTCCTGTATTTGACGTCGTTGCTCTTATCAATGTCCGAGCGGACGTTGATTTAATGCTGGCAAGTTCAAAGGACCAGGCAGCCCTCGGGCGACTGGCGCCTCTAGGAAGCTCGTAAACAACTCGTTCGATCTACAAGTTTAGTTTACCTCTGTCGTTAATCCTTTCTCATTCTATCCTACGGGAAAAGAAAGTTTTTTAATTATTTATACAGGCTTGGAGTAGTCAACATCAGAGACTAGATTGCTTCAACAATTTAGCCCACACGTTTGATTGACAAGCAGTGACTGCAATCAATCGAGGTAGTAGATAGCATCACTGACCAGTTTGATAATGTACCCCATGCATTGACTCGGTGATCGACGACTACAACTCTTGGAGCAGTACATAGCATCAATAATCAGCGATCAAACCTTCGGTCCCTATCACACTTTCATTCTACTTTCTAAAGACGACATTAGGAAATTATTCTTGTTTAAAGAATTTACCTCGTTCAACAGTGGTCGTGAGTAAAGTCCGTTTCCTCTTGGAGTTTTATTACTATGAACGCCATAAACAGCAACACCAGGGTGCAGTAGAACCTCATTCGACCATGGTTTCGGTTTAGGTAATAGAAACTACGGGAGGCCAGAGGGTACTGGGTTCAGTTATAAATTCGTATATCCGAAGCTGAGGATGATTTTCTTCTTACAAGCAAGGGTTAACTGTATCTAACCCCTGGAACTCCCCTAAGGAATCCCCAAGGATCCCTCAAAGCGAACCCAACCCCAGTGGACAGGGTGATAAACTGTCTCTGCGTTTGTGACCGCCGTCAGAGTCCGGAAGCGGCATCGCGTCCCATGAATGCAGATAACCGATTCACGAGCGATTTTTAGTGAGGCCCGTCGATGGTTGACGGAACAGGCAGGTGCATCGAACAGATCTCGTTTCACATCGGGATGCAGAATCCGTAGCCAACGTTGCGAATACTCGCGGCCGTTTATGTCGGCCGACAGTACACCTGCGACTATTTTATGTCTTCCCTGGAAAGACTGGACGGTAAATTCCAGTCGGCTAGCCGGCGTCGATCCTCTGACTGCTGATCAGTGAGATCAGTGGTATAGAACAGACGTGGGAGGAGCAGGGGGAGGATGATGGTTCATCGTCTCTAAGCGAAATGGGATGGAAGACGATCGTTTAGGGAAACTTTCCTTATGGGAGCTTCCTCTGGTGTTGTCGAGCTGGGAGACTGCGGCTGGAATTCAGATTGAGCGATTAGAGTTGTTGAAGAAGGTTATTTCATTTTCGATCAAGATTTTGTATATGATGGAGGGATATCTGATATTGGTAGTTCTCCTTTGGGATTGTTGAGTGTAGTGGTAAGTTGGAGAGAGAGAGAGAGATGTTGGAGATGGTTGCTTCACTTTTGATCAAGACATAATTCCTGATGAAATTATGTTTCATAGCCTTGTTCTTGTGGAAATACTCTGAGCAGTGCCTTCTATGAATTCTATAAATTCTATAAATTCTAATAATTATAGTTATCTTCTGGACTATTATATAGAAGAGTAGGTTCAAAACTCAAAGAATATAGGAACTGCCAAATAAATTTGGTAATTTTCCAAAAACAAATATATCATATTATCATTTGGATTCTCTATAGCACTCTATTGTCATCAAATCCTATTTGTAAACGAAAATACATGCACAAATAAAAAAGAGAAATAGCGTTACATGTAGATAGATTCCTTTTCCTTATTTCTTCCTCGTACCCATCCCATTTCCTACTCAGACAAAGTCGCCTCAAAGAGGCCTCGTTGTTCATTCAGCAGGGTTTTCAACGCCACTGAACAGGATATGCGTCTAGTACGTGTTATACTAGTACACGGTGCAAAACACCTGTCCCCCGCCAATTTATCCTGGAAATTTACAAAATGAACGCAATCCCCGAGGTGTAACGCGGACTTTCAACCCGCCCCGTTGTCCTGATCTTGGCGGGCCGCGTCTCCGTGATTCGTGTTCAAATAGGGGCGCGTTACACGTGTACAAGACCCAATCGGGTGTCGTCGTCCTTTCGGGAATGAATTCACCGAACGAAAAAGGAGCAGGAGGAAGAGGCATGCCCGGAAATCCGCGGCCAACGAGCCCAGCCGAATCGAAGACAAACGATCGAGCAGCCTGGGAAAGCGGCAGCTCCTGTCGCGAAGAGCCTTTGATGATTTAATAAAAATTTATAAATTTATAATGAATTTTATAACAAAAATGTATCAAGCTTCGATTTCCAACGTTAACTCGCGTAGAAATGAGCATAACTTCTTTTAAACTATCTCCGATTCCCCTAACTCTCCCCTATATTTATGACACGCGCTGTATTTCCGTCGCGTTGCCGTTTTTTCCGCAAGTCCTTTCCCTCGGATTTTTACGAGCAGACCTGCATCCGTGAGGTGTAAAATTATTTGCGGTGTCGGAATTATTCCGAGAAACGATCCTGAATTAAACATCGCTATCCACGCGCCCCCGGGATTTCTATTGAATCGTAGATCACCAACGACGGATCCAGTCGGATGAATTGGAAAATCGAAAACAGAAGGGGGAGAAATAATAAACGAAAAAATTTCAATCGGCACATGGACGGAATGGCAATCGGCCTTCTAATTTCTTCCCGGAAATTGCACGCGTGCTAGGGAGTGTCGCTTCTGCGAACAGTGATTGGATTAGCACGTCTTCATCCTTTGTCTGGTCTAAAGAAGGCCACACCGAGAAGATTTTGGAATATAAGAAGGATGTATGCATCCAAAGATTGTCATATTTCATGGTTTCATGATAAAGGGAAGCAGAGGTCAACTGACGCACTTGTGGAAACACTTGTTTTGCAATTTTTATCGCACTTGTTATCTTGCCTAAACTAATGGACTGTTAAAAACAAGGAAAAATCGTGAATGGAATATTTAAATGAGACGCATCTAAATCGCAGGAATCGGTACCCCAAAACTCATTCGACATACCTAATACCCCCCTGCACATGAATATAATGCTGTATTCTCGAAAACGAATAATTCATCAAGGGAACCTCGAACGGCATTAGTGTGAAGCTTTCAAGAAGATGATGAAAACTGAATATAAAAGTCCAGCGAGAAAAGAAACCTTAAAAACATACAATTTGTGGAGTTCCAAAATGATAGACAATGGTACAAAACACAGAATTATGCAAAATGATATAGTCCTGACCTGAATGTTCGAATAAGAAGTTGGAAATAATGTGGGCATACTAATTAACTTCTTCACGCCCTTGGCCACGTATATGGACAAAAGAGAACAAAAAATTTGATAATAAAAAAAAAAGTCATCCCTGAAGAGGTTAAAGTTTAATGAACGTGACATCTATTCCCTTCTGTCTTTGATTCATTATTTTTCCTGTGTCTCTAATAAATAAATGGGATTTTCTTTTTAATAATACGAATTTAGAACAATGGCTTGTTTAAGTTAGTCGTTCGTTAGTTTGCATATTTGTCGCAAAACGTCGAAAGCCGTGGTTCCCAGGAGACGATGTCCGCGGCTCCTGTTTTCGTGAACAGCAGCGCGCACTGAATCAAAAATCAACCGATGTCGGCTTACACGTGCTGTGCAGCGGCATACCGAGTCGGACACGTCCGTCTGCTCACGTGCGAGAACTGTCGAAACGTGAGACAATCGTATCGTTTTTCGCGGTGGGTTTATTCGTTCCGTTCTATAACTAGGGCCGGGACTTCATATGGAATCTTTCAGACCACACCAGAGCAAAAAGATTCCATTCTAAGCTAATTTCCATTACTCGAGGATCCTCGAAATGAAATCACGGAGGCTCCTCCAGAAAACGGTACCATTGGACGTACCGTTTCTGGAGAGTATTCGTAATAAAATTGCAGGAAATCAACAAGGAGAAGTTCGCAATGAATTTCAGAAGAAAGTGATATCGTTGTGGGAGATTCTGAAGAATATTGGTAAAATGGCGCTATTGTGTGATATTATTAAAAATAGTGCAAATTAATATTCCATCGACAAGTAACGTGTGATTGTGCGACGCTATGAAGGTCGTTGCTAAAATGGTACCATAATCGATGCCATCGAGGTCTAAAATGGTACAATAGCACAGACAGTAACCGTTATTTCTATCGATTTTAATATTTTGGAGCTTCCTGCCATTGCTACTTTTCCGCTTCGTCACCGTCGCTATCAATAACCGCATATTCATATCGAGCACTTGCGTAGGATGTTTTCTGCTGCACTCATTACCATTCTGACCCAAATCGAGGCCTCCGATGAGTTGTTAATCAGCCACACGAAACGGTATCGTCCGGTTCCGCTCGAGAATATCCTGGAACTGAACGGGAAATGCCTAGAATTATTATAAGGCACGTTCGAAATTTGATCCCAGCGATATAAAACGGGCATGGACAACTTTGAGTTCCTCGCGCGAACAAAGTAATAATTAATTGATCTTGTTATATCACTACAAACAACGTTGGGAAATTTCATTGTCCTAACTCGATGGCCAGAGGTTGTCGCGATCGCCTTGGATGGAGTGATCGGAGTGATCCGTGGAAAAACGACAGAAAACGGCGAAACAAAGGGATTCCTGAAGACGAATGGCTCAAAAGACCGACGCAGAAACGGACGGCCACTGGATTCCATTGTTATGGGCCTTGCATCATCGTTTTGCATGCCCTCTGCCCGCGGAGATCCTCCACCGGATGACATATGGCGATTCGCCAACTGTTTACGAGCTCCCGTCGATGCGTTCGCCGATACTGAATCCATCCATAACCGCGTTGCCCGAATTTACGAGCCACGTGGAACTGTTTGACGTGCATTAGCGTGCCGGGGCGACTCGCAAAATTATAGCAGAAATCCTCCAAGCCAAGCTTCGTGCATAATACTTTAGAATAAAGTTCGATCCAGTTTCTCAATTTCCTTGAATTAATGTTTCATTTCGATATGAAGTCGATTCTCAATATATTTGTAACACGATAGAGTAGTTTTAATTCAAATTAAGATTAGATTTCTGTGAGAGTATCTTAGCAATACATTGACTGACTTGTCTGCGAGTCAATAAGAATTGCAAGTTGTTATCGATGCTTGTTGTAATTGGTTTCTGGGATATGTGGGGGGCATTGTTGCTATGCAGATGCGTGTCGATAAAAGCGTGTGTCGATTCTCTGAGATCATGATGGTATCTAGGCAACTATAGGTCTGGCGAAGGAGCGCGCGTCGTGAATTTTAACGGGGAACAATGGACTGATTTCTGCGTTCTCTTTGGAGAGGACGATCTGCGAAATAGGATCGTTTTCGCGGTCGTCGAACCGAGCCTTGAATTCCCAGTCACTGAACAAAAGATAATCGCTATAACTTTCAAATTTTATAATATAATAATATAGTAATTCGATTATTCAATCGTTATTCAAAACCTGTCCATGAGAATGTTTCTATCCCAATAACGAAGCTTCAGGTCGCAACATGAAACAGGACTTTTCGATTCATATTGCCTCGAGGAATAGAAACTGCCAGGATCAAAGTCTTCGTGTTCGTCCCAAGCAGAGAAATGGCAGGTTCCATTTTCCTCTCGCGAGGATAATCGTTATGTAAATTCGTCGTGAGAAATCACCGTGAAAAAAAATGTCGAGTTACCGATGTAATTTACGTTTTTGCGAACGATCGCGAATCCAGCTGCATCCGAGTGGAACGGCCGTTCGTCCTATCAGAGCTTGGACGTGGGCTGGTTTGCGTCGCCTGGTCACGCTCGAAAATACGATATATGCGTGACTTGGAAAACGGTGCGTTTGGAAGTTGATTCATGAAATAGTACGAATTCATGAAGTATTCAGCGGCTGGTAGCGGTATACCGACCAGGCGATCGATGGCGATGAATTAATCACCGAAAAGGAATTATGTGGATCAATTTAAATCAAGATGGACAGTTAGGTCTGCTTGATGCCTCTACTAATCGCAATTAAGCTTCATTCAGTGCTGTGCTTTGAGCTAAAATATGTACAAAATTACGACATTTCTGAAATATTCTCATCTAGAAAATCCATCTAATCCAGACCTGTCTATTCGATACCAATTTAATATAATCACTATTTCTGCATGTTTCCAATTCCGGATAACAATGTCTTAGAATCTAATCTAAAGAGGACATCGTCCATACGTGTGTATCCGACAACAATTGACGTTTGATCCTGACTAATCGCAGGTGAATCACGGCCACCTATGCTTGCAGAGTACAGCCGGATTATTTATGAATCGATAGCACGACCGTCTGTCTATTTCTGTCAGTCGAAGGCTCGCTCGTTGCGATGCACAGCGGAACAACCCCCCACCCGTCCCTCTCCCTTAAACGTGGCTGAAATGTGTGATTATGAAATTCTTAAAATAAATCTAATTACGAATGTCTCTATCGTTTAATAGCCATCGCGCATAATTTTGTACAGAGAATCGATAAATCGCGAATTAGAATGTGGACCACGTTTTTGGGAAATCCGTCCCAGCGTGGATCGGTACGAAAGCGATCCGTACATCGGTCCCGATACGGTTAACGACGTCTGTTTGACGTAACCTCTTAATATTAATATTATGTCAGTCATACACGCTCGGACGTCTGCGCGTATGACTGGTCAGAGGCGACGATAACTCTTGGGGATGATCAAAAGTCCGTAAGAGTCCAATGGCGGTGGCCGCGGTGCTCGTGCTCTGAATTTCAAGCGAATACAGACAGATCCGCCTTGACGTGTCACTGTCCCTACCTCCGTTGTGTCTTTTTCAGCTTCGAACTCGCCGCGAGAAGCAACAGAATCACCTAAAACCAATCCTTCGGTTCATTTAACACACATTGGATAGACTATTCTTAAACTTTGACCTCCGTCCCTGAAGACAAGTATTAACAGAGACAAGTACCAGCCAGAGTTCAAGCTGTCAGAAGATGACCTCTCGAAGCCTCCAAGACATTCCATAGAATATTTTTGGATGTCAGCGACTCCCAGGAGGGTGGAAATTCGTGGAAGAAGGGGGTCGCGAAGATCCACGGAGCGTGAAAGGGAGGAATCGAAATTCTGGAAACGTGAATTCCCGTGAAAGTACGCTCACGGTTGAAGGGATCAGCGGAAACCATCGTCCTGGCTCGTTCCTTGGATTGGCGTTTATTTATAGAACGATTGAAAATGTATGAACCTCTGTTATTCTAGCGTTAGAGATCCTCTTATCAGGCATCGATCTCAGTGATTCACGATCAGCGACCACCATCGCTGAACAAGGAAAAGCGACAAACATCCTCCGTATCGTCGATCAAATTCTGGAGACATTGACGTGTATCGAATCGTTTCGGAATTATTTGCATAGTAATAAGAGAATTGTATGGGAGAAAAACATGCGAACGATACCAATCATCCGCGGTGGCTATCTTCTTGTACAGGTTTGAGGTTGATGCATGTGTGCATCAATGCGCACTGTAGGGTTAAACTCACTCGGATCTTCATTGACTTCCATTGGTCAGGTTAAAGGTCAGGTTTTGAGGGGATGTCCGTCTTAACTAACTGTTGTCTCTGCTGAATGCACCCAATGTCCTCTCATCTCACCTAAGTGTTCTCCAGCCCGTAACCTCGGCATCGAGTCCTCCTTGCCTCCAGTCGCGTTGTGTAACTCGATCAGCCGAATTCAGAGGATCGACGGGGATCGCAATTAATGCGTTCGATTCAACGGGTGTCTACTCGCGTATGAGGATCACGTCTCGTTGAACGAGACGGACGTTTGCGTTACGACGATCCTGTTGGGTACGAGGCAACCACCTGACATGTCATGGTGGGGGACCCAGAGGATCCCGTATCCCCGTTCCGCGCGTGGATCCGACCGATCCCGTCCCATGCCCTGCGTCTACGTCGGCGACGTTCCCATCCCCCTAGCTTCTGGTATAAAAGCAATCGCTGCTTCGACGATAGCAGCATCGCGCAAAAAGTTCGCCAGCCAGGTAGACCTTGGGTTAGGTAGTGCTTGGATACCTCGTCGATCACCGCTTACGGGAACACCCAGTGGAAACAGTGTCCTGAAACAGAAATCTCTAACCGGAGGATCAGTTTTTTCAAGTTGCACCTCTTCCTGATCGAACACGTCCTTGGGTCTTCGGGGATGACGCAGTGGATGAGCCTCGTCCTCCTGGTCGTCGCGGCGATCATCGCCGTGGCGGAGTCCAGGGCTATACCCGCAGAACCAAGTAAGTATACTTAGAGATGATGATGATGAAGGGTCGCGATGAGGGCCTGAAGAGGTTGTTCTTGGATGGAGTTCAAAATGTAGCGATTAGAATTTTTGGGGGGATAGGTGATGGTCAGGATTTGGTCACTGCTGGTGAAGATTTTGTGGTATCAGGATCACTGTGGAGGTGAACATCACCGAGGACAATTTTCACGGTCCAGGGACTGTAGTATGTGTTTATACACGAAGGGATGGGACTTTTGTCTATTTGGACCAGTGGGATTCAAATTGATATATCTTACAATTTTTCGTAGATTATAGTTAGCGTTATACTTAGCAGTTTCCAACTTTAAAGAGTGTAGGTTGTGAGGAAAAGAGTGTAGGAGTATAAATTTCATAATTGTCTGTGAGCTACTTGTTAAAAGCCGGTTGCACTCTTCAAAGTTTCAGTGATGCTGGACCCCTACGGCAACCCTATAGTCTTCTTGCGTGAAAAGAGGACAGCCGTGCACCCCTATCCCAATAGGGCGATGATGTTCACCGGCTACTACAGACCAGTGCGACGCTCGAACGGTGGTCAAGCGACGGGCGTCTTCGCCCAAGGCAACGCCGTGAGCGGAGAGGCGGCCTTCTTCGGTGGCATGCAGACGCCACACTTGAGGAACGGTCCAGAACCAATTGAGGAGCAGGAGGTCTCCAGCGCGGAAGCTCAAGCAGCTCCAGGCTCAGAAGAGTCTTACAACTACAACCAACAGACTCCTGTGCAAGAAGAAGGCGGCTACCAGTCGGAAGAACCTCGTCCTCAGGAAGGAAACTATCCTCAGGAGGAAGCCCAGTATCCCCAAGAGGAACCACAACATGGGGAAGAGGATCAAAACCATCACAAGGGCAGCTTGCCTCCTCAGGTACTGATTTAGACCTCTTTTTAACATAATACTCTCTTTTAGAAATTAATTGTATCAAACCTCTACCGATAACCAATACCAATATTGATAGTGATTGGCAGAAATAAAAATCGGTCTTTACAGGGTTAACGCGTTGATCGTTGTACCGAACGCACGCGAGCGCAACCGGTTCGAAATTAGTGTTGCAAACCGTTTGCGCTCTTTGTTTTACCTACTCCACTATCTTTCTTTTACCTAGATTCCACGGTCGCATGCAACTAGTTTCAGAGTGATTTGAAACCGATCAGTTGCTCTCGTGTGCGATCGGCCTTATACGAATATTTGTGAACATTTCTATGAAAATCAAATCGTTCACATCAGGGTCAACCAGAGCCAGAGCCAGTCCCAGTGTACACCACCGAAGCGACTGTCGTGACTCCAGCTGATGAGCCCGCGTACTCTACCCCAGGGACATCTGCGAATCGTCCGAAAGTGAATCGTGGAAAGAAGCCCAAGAAGCCCCCAGTCGTGGTCGAGGACGACGATGACGACGATGACGACGACGACGAGGACGAAGAAGACGATGACGAGCCCACCGTTCCCTTTGTGCCTTTCAAAGGAAACCGTCGCCGTCAGAAGTATCCTAACTTAAACAACTACTTCCCAATGGTGTTCAGCTTCCCTGGAGTGTCCACGCGAGCTGGATCGTCGGGTTCTTTCCCTGGTGCTGTCACTGCGATCGCCAACAGCTACTCCACTAGCAAAAGAGGTGTTGCCAGTTCTGTGGCGACCGCTTACGGGGGAGCTCCCAATGGGTGAGTTTTTTTGATTTGCTTGGACAGTCGATGCAATAAATATTTCAATTTTTTTTTGAGAGAGATGAAGCTATGGCTAGTGGAATATCAAGGTTGGAGAATACATACCTGGTGATAGGTGTGGTGGTTTTCTAATTGACGTAGAGAATATGTTATAATTGAATTGGTTGAATTTGTCCAGGAAAAAACGACGCCCACAAACGTCTGAGGAATAATCGAGGAGGCATCTGATGCAGACTGATCGAAGGACACCACAAACGCCACGTCATCGATGCTGAATCCAAGAAGAAACAGAAGGAGGAACAAACTTTCGCGTTCCTATCAATGTCCTTCCCCGAATGAGTGACTCCCCACCCCTTTTGTACTGCACGAAGCTGTAAAGATTGACCCAGTGAGAGAAATTCGTTCGTTAAATGCATTTTTACGATAGCGATGTCATTAATCATCAGTTCGTTCAAAATTTTGGTTAATAGTGAAATATTTTTTTGAAATTGATACCTGACAGGTGGTTGAGAGGTAATTTATGAAAGAATAGTTCTTCTTGGTGATTCAATGTCTATTCAAATAATGATAAGTTAGTCGAATCCAGGGACAATCTCCCCAGCTGATCTACGAGTTCCCTTCAATTGGCAATCCCATTCTGTAATTTATATTTTCAATTAGTCAGAGCGACATAAGATACCTATTAATTTAAGACTTTAAGATTAATTATAAGGTTGGAAGGAAAATTCTTGTAAAACTTCATTCATTTTACTTGACGCGATTCTCGACGTAACAATCTATAATTACTGGAGGAATTCGCCAATCATGGAATACTGTCCAGTAAAATCGTCAAATAAATTTTAATTACAGTCAAATAAAAGTAAACGGCGTCTGGTACGAGCATGTCTTTTCAATAAAACCTATAATGTGATAAAATAATAAATTGCGTTCCTTGAAATGGGAAAACGATCCTAAACGTAACGGAAACCCTCTGTTTCCTTTGTGGAGTATGAGTTTTAGGGATTTATGAGGTTCAGCAGGGATTCCATAGGTTTAACAAACCTAAATCCGAAGGTCGTCAAATATTGATCTATGCGATAGTTTCTAAGAACAAACGAGGGTCATCAAGCACTAAGACTACCCTTTAATTGCTTCCAGGAAAGCATGCATTAGAAGTCATGACCACGTTCGTTTACTTTTCTACCGATCATCCGCTATTATTTCGTGAAACCCGTTCCATAGAAATACCATTAAAGCTGTTTCACCATTTGCATAGATATTACTGCGAGGGTCACGGTAAATTTTCGATTTACGTAGACACGCGATTTGCTTGCTCACTGTTCGCTGGAAATCGTTACGCGATTGAAAGTGAATCAATCTCTGCTGAAGTACTTCACAAATTGCTATTTTTATGTAGAGCAAAGTATGTTTTCCAAAATTGATTACGTAGAATAACATAAGTGCGCGAAGATTATTCTGGCACTATGTTATAGCGACTATGATATGCTCGATAGCTCATCTTCAACATGATTGAGTAATGAAACGAAACAAGCATGTAATAAATATGATATTTCTTGGTTTAAAATAGGTTTGGCGACTAAACAGATGTTTGTTGAATTCTTCTCTGAACACCCTGTACATTCGTGTGATTCATAGGAAGTTATATCCGCTTCTGATCTCGAAATCTTCCGGTTCCATGGTTTCGAAATTCCTTGAGGCGAGTGCTATTGGCATTGAACCGGTCGTCGAAATCTCACGGAAGCAATTATCTGTCCACCCACCTGGAGCCATTCATTTTGTACAATTCTTTGTTCTCCAATGTTCCTTTGATTCCTGCTTGATTAGCAATTTATTTCCTTCCATTAAACAGCGTGCAACCATACGCTATTTTCTTCTGCTATTCATTAGCGAACAATAAGATGTAGAACTACGCTTAAACTACACTTCTCTGGATAAAGGTCGTTTTTTCCTAAAAGAGAATGTAACGTCTCAGCTGAATTTTTAACGGGTGACATTTAACAATGTTCTGTGGGTGAATGGAGGATGAATAACAGGTTGCATTATGGTGATTATTTTTAGTTTTCTGAACCATCATCGCTACAATTTATTATTCTTTTCTACCAAGCAATTGAAAACATCCAAGAAACCTTTTATTAAACAGTAATCTTCTTACTTTTCAGTAAGTTAAGCTGTTGGTCAATTTCAAGGGCAGGATTCGGTCCACCAGGTATAAAAACGTGACCTTGCCGGTTCGTCGACACCAACCGAAGATCATACAACTTTTCCCAACCACGTAATTCGTCAAATACCGATTAGGCACGGGTTAGTACGTAAAACTTCGCGTCTGCCATGTGCTAATTGACGCTAGGACGTTGGGGGATTCCCTGTATAGCTATAGTATATAGAACGCTCCTTCGCTTTTCTCTTATTTCTTTTGACTTAATGAGGTTGTAAAAACTACCACCAAGTTCGCTTCGTCATCGTCACAAAGGCGAAACACGATTTTCAGATACTGGCGTGTTATACTAATTTTATGGAAAATTTCAGGTTTAATTTAAGACTGCGGTGTCCAACTTTCCAGAAAGGTTCAGAGTCGTATTTTTGGAAATGGAAACAACAGTACTTTTACATACAGGGTGTTAGCTAACTGGTGGCTGTATATCGAAAAAAGATGAACTTTTAATTTACTTCCAGCTCGGTAATCGACATCAATTTAAAGCATGTGTATATCTGCTTCGCATACACGTCTCGGATTGCAGTTTATAATTCTATGAGTGACTAAATGCTACTAGCATTTTTTAAATGGATGCTGATATCGCCATTGAAGATTCAATATTTTATCGAACGAAACCTTGACATTCAGTGTACGCCAGTTAATTTCACCATGAGGCTACGATAGCTGACAAATATGTAGATTTATAACTCCATCATCGTGATCTTCGTTAATTTATTTCACCTTCAAAATTTCCACCTTCCGCGAGAAAGAATCATTCCTAACAAAAGTCCAGGAAATCAGATCTGAGGAAGAAATTGATGAAATCCTTGGTCCAAGAAAGATGAAATACAGGCTGCATAAAAAGAGAGCAAGATAAAAAATAGCTCGAATCATCGTATCCGTTCGATCAGACATCCAGACCTCGAGAATTATTTGTTTGCAGCGTATTAAATGGCGTTGAACACCTCCACAAACTGAAAGCTCATCCGTGCTAATGAGATACGACCATTCCTCGTGAAGTGCTGTTTCGTACCTACGTAAATGCGTTGGGGTATCCCCGAACTCTTCGGACGGTCACGGTTCCTATATAAAGAGCTCCCTGCTGATTTCTCCATCGTCATTTCGCACTCGAACCTCGAAGGAACTTGTAACGCGGAAGTGTGCTAAACATCTTACCAGAAACATGTCGAAGATCCTCTTCATCGTCCTGGTCGCAGTCCTGGCCAACGCTTTTGGATTTCCTGCCACTCAAGAGAAAGGTATACATGAGTTGTGACACTGGGGTGCTTTGATCGAGAAGTCGAGAGTTTTAGAAAACTTGTCTCGAAGCAATGAGAGTAGTAGTTGGTGAAATTAGGTCCTTGGGTGAACTGGATGTTTTAGAGAAGTTGAGGGCTCTCGAGGAACAGGGTGAATTGAAATTGTAGTTTGGGAATTTTATTTCTTGGGGAAACTGTGTATATCGAAGATTTCAGGTTCTTTAATGAACCAGGTGTTCTAAAACTATTGGCTGGTTAGGTTCTTGGGTGAACAGGGTGTTGTAGAAAAGTTGAGGCCTTTCAATAGGCTGGTTGTACTAAAATTAAAATTTAGAATGGTAGGTTCTTGAGAATACTGAGTATTAGACGTAGGTGTCTTGAAATTTTAATTACAGATCTTAGATCCTTATAGAAACTGGCTTTGAAGCACTGGTTGAAGAACTGATTGTAGCAGAGAAGTTGTCTTGCGAAAAACCTGAACAATAAAAACTATATTTGCAAAGGTTAACTGCATTCAATGCAAATGGAAGTGATAATAAAGTTAGCTTCGTCAATCTATTCATCTTCCAGTAGTAATTTCTTGCTCCTCCAACCAACTGCTTCTACGCAGAAAATATTTGACAAGCTCCATCGTAGGTCATTTTTTCATTGCGTTTGAATACAATTGAGAATATTAGTGCGTAAAATAAATGAAGTAGACAGTGTGAGATATCAATAATGTTTCCACTAGTAGCTGAAATATTCGACACAAGTGGTGGCAGAGTTTCTTTTCAATTTCCAAGTGTTAGAGTTACCAGTTCTGTTTTCATTTTGGAATCCTAATAAGTTCTGCACGCATCAAATGAATTACAAACTCCTGTGTCGCGCGCATATTCTCAGTATTGTGACTCATCGTTTAGCGAGCGTCCGAACAATCTGTTAACAGATCAGGACAAATTGTTGTTTGTCGACCTCACATGTCTCGAAGGTTGATGTCGTTTCCACTTTCTGGTTGGTTTACCGTACCTTCTTCTAGTGAAACGCTTCTTAGAACGAGCACTCCTTTCTTTTTATTTACAATGGTGATTCTATTCATAGACTCTTGAGTGCCTTAATTATCGAAATATATTTATTTCAGAAACCCCGCTGTCGAGGATGGTGAGAGAGGCGTTCCCAGATCCAAACCCTCACCATAAACACGGAATCTACGGTATCGGTGGACTTGGAGGTGGATATGGAGGTGGATATGGAGGCGGATTTGGAGGTGGCTATGGCGGTTATGGTCATGGATATGGTCACGGTGGCTACAGACCTGGATACGGTGGTTACGGACATGGCTATCCTCATGGCGGTTACGGAGGCTTGGGAGGTGGCTTTTCCGGCAGCTCTGCACACGCTGGTGCCATAAGCTCACCCTTTGGAAGCGCATCTTTCGCGAGCGCGAGCGCGAAAGCAGGGTAAATATTTCCATTCCGTTGTCTTATACTTGACTTTTTGCGTCAACAAGCAAGCATTATTATTTGGAATAGTATTCCTCTCAGACTCTGGTTTGTACATATCTTTTCCAATAAACAAAAGTATAAGTTCAAGTGTAACCGTAATAACTGACATATTTACTATGGCGTTATACTACGTCTCTTTTAAATTTATTTAAATTTCTTCTCTTCTATTGCAGATCAAGTGGATACGGACGATAATTCCCGGATTGAACGCCTATGACAACGTTTAGTTAGAATGCTCGCTATTGTACGATAATTTCACACTTATGACCACTTTTGTATAATACATTTTTATACCACTTGAAATTTCATGTTACTACTGCTTAGTACTTGTACCTAAATCATATGTTATTTAATTATCGTATACGACTCTGACTCAATAAAGACAGTTTATTTATTAACATTAATTAATTTGCTTCATCCTCTCCATCTTTCAATACCGTTTAAAAATTAGTTTAAATTAGTTAAACATCAATGAATATTCTTGTTAACCATACGTTTGCACGTTAAGACGCTTCGCTCGAGGTACGCACGACTTTATCCGGATGTTTGCAACGAATATTTTGTAAACTACGACATGCCGCGACTCTATTAATCGCGCCCGTCGCGACTATAAAAGCGATTGGTCCGTTAGAAGGCGATCGTTAACTCGCCATAGTCCCTTGGAAATCATTCTTCTTCGAAAAGTCGATTATCCATTTGTGTAAAGATGCAACTCCTCGCTTTTGTGCTGCTGTCGCTCTTTCTGCGGGTGAGTTCTATCTTCCATTTAAATTATTAACGAAACAAAAGATCAGTGCTAGTTTGGAAGTCGTACAATTCCTTTGTTTCCAGGTTCACTGTGGTTCCCTCGCTAAATCAGAATTGACAGGTAATCGAAACATTTCTCCTTGTACGGATTCTAAGTCAATAAATAAAAAAATTATTCTGTCCATTTTATCGCGAAGAGAGCCAAGCTGACTTAGGCCAACAGAGAAGTGCTCGAGTTCACAGGATCGCCGAAGATGAACTCCCTGGAAACGAGAACGCTCGTGCGAAAAATGCCACGAACGAAGAGACAGTTAAAGAAATACCTTCACCTGGGAGCCAGAAACTCGATAAATTTTTATCGGATCTACCTAATTTTGTCGAGGTAATGCAATCCCAGGCAGAATTGTTCAAAGTGTTCAAGTGCATCTTGAAAGAGCTGTCGCGGGAGGGAACCATCGCCATGAAGTATGTTGACCCCGTGAATAATGAGATGACGGACGCTACAGCGTCATCAGTGTCCATTAAACTGGCCTCGAAGAACATTAACGGTCTCAGAAATCTCCTTAATTCTCCGGAAGAGCTGAATATTCATTACCTGGACGGCCAGAATGGCGAGAAACAGCTGTCAGGTAGTCGACTCGGCCATGAGTGCCTCTTTCTTACGTATTTCTTCTTTGTACATCAATCTTTATCAGTCGTCAGGTTTACACTTCCTTCAAGTTCAACAATTTCATTTGCTTCTTTATATTCTTTAAATTATTCAAAGAATTACACGTCACATCAACTGGTGGTCAGTCAGACTTTATAAGATGAAGTCATTTTAATTTCACTATATATTCATTTCTTATTATATTTTATTCTCTAATAAATCCTAATCCTACATAGAAATGTGCAAAGTTTATTTAACAGCAACGAATATGTTGCAATGACTGCTCCAAATATTGTAAATGTTAATACCGCAAGCTTCGCTTCTAATAATTTTCATAATTTATTTTTGGACTAATTTCGTTTGATTTTCTTTTATAGAAGGATACGAAGACGGTCTAAAGTCATTTTTAGCTTCCCAAATTGAAACATCAAACGACCCAGAGTTGAAGACAGTGAAGAACATAGCCCAATACTTGGACAACATCCTGATGGAGGCTCAGAACCTCATAATTCACATTCGAAACATATTCGAAAGCCTTTGCAGGTAAGTAATGACGTATAAACAAATTCATAATGATACCTCGACAGTTTCCAATAGAAATTATTTTTCAGAAAACATCATTCCCACTCCAACTCGTCGTCTCTACCAGAAGTCAATAATCCTGGAAACATCGCTTCAACTGATCAGCCCAAGAAAGTATCGATACTCTGACTACTCCTAAACCATTTCTATAACATTTTTAACGAAACAAGTATTGTCCTAACTCGTGAAAAATTCAAGCTATTATAACGTTAATACTGCAATAAAAATGATCCGTCGATTTTTAAGTGCACAGCATGATAACAAAACTGGTGGTGTTTATTTTTTAAACTTTAAACATTTTATAAACGCAATTGAAATTTGAGTTTTCTAATCTTATTATCAACAAGTTAAATATTCCGATGAAACTAACTTGCAAACTTCATTTCTGATTGTTGAGAAAGTTTGATCGATTCCATTCCGTAGCCGTTAGCGACGAGAAAGAAACCATCGCGACGGTTCTCGTTAACATTTGCCTCTCGTGAAACGGGTAAGTTTATTGTTACTGTAAATCACGGACAATTATAACAATGGAATACAGCAGGCATAGCCTAATTCAGGTAAACTCCACCCAAAGGAGGGCTTAGATTTGCTTGAAAGTGAAGATACGTACAACGAATTGACACGAGTGCTGCTTTGCTACTATGTTTTGCAAAATTAAAGGTTGCTGAAACGTGTGATTATCGATTAATTAAACGAACATTCCCATTTTCAAATAAAGTATTGAAACTGGAAATAAATGTGCCAAGTATTTATTCACAAAAAAGTATTTTGTTTTTATATTTAATATAAACAAGAATATTGAGAATTACAATTTTCGCCCATGCTTTCTATACTTTGTTTGAATTTTTGTTTATAAAATATTCGTCGAAGAAGCTGCAATACCATTTGCAAGCAACATGTTCATGTCTCTATCACGCAGTTTCTTAACCGAACGCTATGAACAATCGCGTGCGCCTATTAATCGCGTGTAAGGGAAGCTCGAGAATCTAAATCAGAACCTCGAAGGTGGTTTGTTATCGTGACGCGATTCAATCTGGTGTGAAATTGCACCTCCAATATCCGAATATAAACCTATCGATTCGATTGCTCGAGTTCAAATTCTCTCAATTAGTGAGACGAATTATCATAAATAATTTTTCGATTATCGATGTTATGCATATTTTATAATTTACACAATACGCAATAAATATAATTGCTTTATTAAATTACTTTATTGTTGAATCTGAGAACACCTGTCGATACGCAACCCGAACTCCAATGCAGCAAGTGAAAGGCATGAGTTCAGGTGCACACTAAGAGTATCATTTAGTTTCTAAATGTGAGTTTCTATTATCCAGAATCACGATTAATATTATATAGAATAATACAATATTATCGAGTGATTGGATATTGTAAAAGGCAATAATTAATCCTATCAACTATTTTTCTGTGAATTTGTAAATTAACATGATCGAGACCATGCTATTATTTTAAACTCTGAATGAGAAATACTGCCAAAATGTTGAGAAACTTTTAATTGAATGCCTTCGAGCGTGATTTTTGTCTGGAAGAAATCGTTTACTGCCTATGATGCCACGATGCGGTAAATTATGCTAGAAATACCTTAAAATGAACGTTGTACTGCTGTAACCGAGAATGATTTCGTACTTCGCGAAGAACATTTCATATTTTATCTCTGACGGAATGGGGTTTCGACACGCATCGATCAGATTTTGCACGGAACAGTTAAAACTACCGAGGAAATGCATTAGTCGATGCAAGGAAATGCATTCTCCTGTTCCTCGGTGAATTTCGTGTAACCTCTTCAAGCCTACTTTTCAAAACAAAGTATATTCTTTCTTGGAATAATACATAAGAGTTCATTTAATTTTTCCTTATTAGAAAGAAAAAGAAAACATATAGTTGACTCGTTTACATAAAATCTAATACTCTATCGAAAAGAGGACTAAGCATATGCTTTTGTTTTATTTAATTAATCTCAGTTGTTGAAGTGTCTTGAAACGTATTTTTGCATACAAAAATATTTGCTCAAAGTTATTCTAGATCGCAATAATTACTAAGATCTTATTAGATCAGAAATAGAATAAAATAAAGTGTAAATATAATTTTCTTTCCTACAGATTGATAATAAAAATCCCGTTTGAAGAAATCCGATACGCAATTTTCCCAGCCCTCTAAAACAGCCTCTGCATGAACTTCCAATTTTACAAACTAGTAATACGACCATAGTAATACGCCTAATGTTGTGCAATTTGCATTCATATGCCAATTGTCCTCAAACGCGTCCAATTCAAAGTGCATTCGGAGTTCATCAATTCGATAGCGTGAACGCGACCGAATCCGAAGCAAGAAGCGTGTGGAGATTGGGTCTCCAATCGAAAACGATGAATCGTTTCGTGCTATTGATCAATCGATCCGTAACCATAGCTTTTATCGTCTTAAAGCGATCAATCTTCCTTTGCGTTTTCGTTCGCTATAATTGGAACGAAATGAAAACTTCATGTGAGTATTTCCATTGATTTGAAAATAAAAATGACTAGCAATGATCTTTCGTCGCTGAAAGAGTACGGAAAGAACGTATTTTATTAACAATGATAAGGGTATTGCAAGGATGGTAGTCGTACAAACAAAACTAAAACCTATTGTCTTTTTTTTTTTAAATTTGTCTCTCTTTTATACCTCTCAAATTTTTATAAAAATATGTTTCTATCCATTAGAACCTTAACCTCCGTCCACTCAAAAATCAATTACTACATCCTTAAATAAAGACACAGCCTGCTTCTTTCTTATTAATTTATGCTTCATATTGTACATTACACTTCTAATTCCTCGTCCTTTACACTATAATTATTTTTTGTTTACCATCAACTTTCATTAACTGAGCAAATAAATAAAATAGCGAGTGTGTGTCGACTTACTGTGGTCTGGAAATTCCTCAGGGATGTCTGGCGAACGCAGCCTCTCGTCGAGCGCGAAACCTCGAATGGATCACGAAAGCGTCGCGGGCGTCGGCGTCGGCGCCGAGGGCGCGCTCGCCGCGAACCTTCGTGCTGGCGCCACCCTGATGAAAAGCGTCTCTATCTTCTTGATGAGTGGCCGCAAAGCCTTCGTGAACCCCAAAAGGCTAACTTCTGCCAGCCCGAAGCACGAGCCCAGAAAAAGGCATCGCAGAAGAATGCCAGACGGTGGTGGCGCGAGGAATTCCACCAACACCATCAGGCTGATCGAGTCGCTCAAGAAGAAAACTAGGTTCTCGTGGCAAGTAAACGCTCTAAAAGTTCATTCGAATCGATAGTTGACGAGGCACAATTTAACAAATAAAGCCTTTTCGTTTGTAAACGTTAGAGCAGACTTTGTTATGTAATATAAATTCAGTGATAAATTTATTTCCTTTTATAAATTTATATTTTAGAAAGTTTGCATAAAGAAGACAGAAAGATGTATTGATATATAATAAGTAAATATCGTGATTTTGTTTTTTTCTTTCTATTTTTATAAACATCAGGCTTCATTTAGTTATTCACACTGGCAATCGAACCTTCTACATAACTTCAACGTTGAAGTTTCACTATTAACTTGCACAATAAAAATGCAATTTGACAGAAGATTCGCAAGAAACAGGGTCCTTTTTTTTTTTAAGAGACGCTGTTTCGTCTTTGAAGAGAGTATGCGACCCTGAAATCACGTTCAATTGCCCGCAGGTTCGAATTGGACAACCTGTGCAAGCTGTACAAGAAGCTAACCAGTTCTGGCCAGCAACAAGTAGGACAGTCGTTTATTATGGGTAGGAGGCAGCAATCGAATCAAGCTATAGAGGTAGCGACACTTCTAGCAAACCACCGTTTCGAATCGCAGGCGTTTTAAGTCGCGTGCGTGAACCTGTCATTTTGTGTTTGCGAGGAAGCATGCGATAGCGCACATCCAAAGCCTTCAATGTCTCAATCGCACGATTCTGGAGAAATCGTGTTGGTTAGATTAAAGAACCGTTTCTACTTGCTAAACCAAGCATTTTACTAGTAAAATAAATGAGAGTACAATTTTGTAGAGACTTTCCGGTACGTAAAGTGATTATAAATTACCTTAACAGGGAATCGACAGAACCATTTTTCGAGACCTTCTGCACAACACGTTCAAGGTGATCACGGAGGACGCATTGGTGGAGAGGATATTTTGCTGCTGGGATCGTGAGAATGAGGGTATCATCAGAATGGAGCCGTGGATCATGGGGCTGGATCTTTATCTTCGCGGCAGTCTACGAGAAAGGATTGAATTTTGTTTCAAAGTTTACGATCTCAACAACGATGGTTTCATCACAAAGGACGAGATCTTTCAGTTGTTCAAGTAAACGTTTCGAAATACCAATAATAATAGTCTTACCCAACGATATTGTTCGTTGTGATCCGATAATATTTTGTCCTTTTAGGAATTGCTTGATAAAGCAGCCAGGAGAAGAGGATCCAGACGAAGCGGTCAGGGATCTGTCGGAATTGGCACTGAAGAAGTTAGACGTCGATCGGGATGGAAAGATTTCCTTTCAAGATTACAAACTGGCTGTTATGGAGGAACCTTTGCTACTTGAGGCTTTCGGGCAATGCTTGGCTACGGAAGAGCACTGTGCTTCCATTATAGCTACATTCCAATAATAAAAGTTCGACAAGTAAGAATAGATCTCTGAAGTGATGTAGGATTGATCCATCAACCAGATTGCCTTCTTCATTGCAATTATTTCTAATCACATTTATACTTTCAACCACCCACCTTCTTCAGTATTCTATTTCCAACAGCTTCCGTCTTTCTGCATCTTGCACACCTATTATCATAAAAAAGAACAAACAAACAATTAGAAGCAATATTCACATTAAAGGGTAAATCCATTTCGAAAATTTGTAATCATGGCACCTGCCGTTTATTAAAAACAAATTCGATAGTAATCGTAATTACAAACAATAATAATAATATTAATAATAATATAATATAATATAATATAATATAATATAATAATAATAGTATAATTACAAAATACGCTCGATCTGGCTTTCTTACAGCGTGTTCGCTGAATCAGTCTTAACCCTCGGATTACCAAGCATCGAAATCACTCGTTTTCGAAGTATACTTCTCTCCTCCGTTTTGTTTTCGTCTCAGGCTCCGTCGATCGTACGTCGAAAAAATACCGATCGAACCGTCGATCCTCGATCGATAACCCGAAGGCTAATTAAATTATAAAACGTTCTAGAGGTATGTTACAGTGATGCAGGGGTTTTTTTCGTTTACGTAAATTGAAACAATTGACTTTTTCTTTTTCTTTTCTTTCTTTCTTTTTTTTTTTACTTTGCCGTGCGCAACAAAATATCTGCTCCTCGTCGCGGTACTTCCGGTTCCGGGGACCCGTGCCGCGACCTCAAGGTTCCTTTTCACGGACACTCGTGTTCCTTCTGTATATATAAATACACACTGTCCATCGACAGTTTTGGGCAGCCTACCATCTTTTTGTAAATAAAGGTTTCTTTCTTTTGTACACACACACACACACACACACACACACACACACACACACACACACA